ATCTTGAGACATGAGTAACTTTTTTTTTCCCTTCGCTTTGGAAGTCAATCGTGAAGTTCATTTGTCAAGTACGTATTTCATTTGAAAAATCGATACGTGTCTGCGGGATTCGAACCTTGGCGTAGTCACGTCACTCGATACGAACACAACGGTCGTCTTATCCTTTAGGCCACGACGTTCTCGATTGACAACCGCGTACCAAAAGACGTGGCGAGGGTAGGCCTCCCACGAGCTGGACCAATGACCTGTTGAAGGTCGGGGGTATTCGCTGGATGCAGACAGCGCAGGCCCTGTCGTTGCCGCGAGGTTTGGGGAGACCTTATTCCCAGCAGCTATCGTCTGTGGGCTAATAAGTAAACGCACAAAAAAGTCTAAATACACCTAAACATATTTTTTTTTAATTTCAAAACTTGACACTGTGACGTTTATAGTGTCAAATATGGCGGCATTCACATTGTGAAGTCTATGGATTCTGGTCTAGTGCAATAGAAAGAACAAAAACTAACCTCCTTGAGTTTGCTAACACTAGCCCTAGCAAGAGCAGTGCTTCGCAGAATCTAGCACCGAATCGGAATCGCGAATCACTGAGAAGATCCGGCGAGAAACTCAGTGGGCTTAATACAGATTATTTGCGATATTTTCGAAAGAGTTTCCGTGAACACGAGCTGATTGAGGAGGTCGTTTTGTTAAATGAACCTCACCGTCAGTCCACGGCAGCCCACTGCTGGACGCAGGCATTTGCCCAATTTTAAACTCGACTAGCAAAAAATCACTATTATTGACGACATACTTCACAATACGATGATTAGTTATGAAATATGAAATTTTATTTATCCGTGCTCGCTTTTAAACTCGTTTTTGTTAGGTATATATTATTAATTCAGACTAGAAATTAGCAAGAAAGAAAGTTCCGATGGCGAACAGAAATTCATTCTTAGTTAAAATCATTAAATAATATCTATTTTTATTAATTTATTCTTCGTTTGCGTGAAGCTCCGTGCTGAGCTATCAATTTTTTTACCGACTTCAAAAAGGAGGTGGTTCTCAATTCGACTGTATATTTTTTTTATGTTTGTTACCTCATAACTTTTGACTGGGTAAATCGATTTTGATGATCCTTTGGTTATTAGAAAACTGACGCTTCGCGTGTGGTCTCATTTCAATTTAGTCTAGTTCTGATAATAGTATCCATAAGAAAACCATATAAGTCTTAAATTTGCATTAAGTACGTGCGCGAAAAATATATGAATAACATAATAACTCAATATCACGCCAACCGATTTCGATTTTTATTGTTTTTAGTGTATAATTAATTTGTTTTGGAATATCTTTTTTTTTCTTTCTTTTTGAAGTCGGTTTTTGTTAAAGCATGTCTATTCACAATTATTGAAATCTTAGCATAATATCCGTCTAATATAGATTCATTTTCATTAAATTATTATGTAGAGGAGTGAATGGCTTAAGCGACATTATTGCCACATTACAAGAAAACCATTTAAAGTTTAAAATTTAGAAAAAAATATCATAACAAAAAAAATCTTCAACTATTTGAATGTGGTAAGCTTAATTGAAGTTCAATTAAAAACATCGAACTGTTGATGCTGATACCGAATAAAACGGATCTTTAATTACAAAGATAAACGTGTTTTGAATACGTGATTATTGTTTTATTTTGTCTATTTTAGTGTTTCTTCAGGTTTAAATGTGTAATAACGGTGGTTTAGTAACTGTTTAGTATCTGTGAAAGTGCACAAATATAGTAATTGACCACCATTTTACTGAGATTATATTTCATACCATAGCATCTCATTTCATTCAATTTCATCCCAGTTGATTAATGTCTCAAATTAATCATCTTCATTTCATTTCATATCATTTCACTCCATATTATCATTTTTCATTGTAATAATAATATAAATTTCTTTGACTTAAAGGTCTTAATTACTAGGTCATAAAATCCCTTAAAAAAACCACCCATGACCAAACACTGTGGAGGAACGTTCATGTGGTCACGACCCTCAGCAGCGAGGGAACGAGATAGATAGATAGAAATAGCACTAGATGAAGAAATCTTTGGATATTCAAATAAAACTTCTCAGATATTTAGCACAGATAGATAAAGGGCGCTCACTTGTCCTGATGAAACTGGAAAGTCCTCCGGGCCACCAGTAATCCCTCAATCATAACAAAAAAAAAAAAGGATGAAACTGAGGTGACCCCCGCTGGAGGGTCCCACCACTGCGGCGTGGAAGCAGCTTAGTAGATGGCTTCGGCGGTCTCCAAAGGCAGTCTCCGTGGACGCAGGCTCCCGAAAAAATATCGCCGCCCCGACCTGGTGGTAGGACCTCTTGTGAGTCCGCGCGGATAGGTACCACCACCCTGTCTATTTTTGCCGTGAAGCAGTAATGCGTTTCGGTTTGAAGGGTAGGGCAGCCGTTGTAACTATACATGAGACCTTAGAACTTATGTCTCAAGATGGGTGACGCATTTACGTTGTAGATGTCCATGGGCTCCAGTAACCACTTAACACCATGTGGGCTGTGAGATCGTCCACCCACCTAAGCAATAAAAAAAATAAAAAAAAACACTGTTAACATTTAAAATTCTCAAACCGCGAAAAATATCAATCAAATCCAATAACCCCGAATCGCTACCTAATTAGAAATTCGTATACAGTGAGAATTCTCATTTATCTATCTATAATTAATGTCTTTATTTGTAATTCAATATTCATCAATTTTATTAACATTTGAATTAGGGATGCAAAATACACAATACATTTTATTCCTGGCCAGTAAAATAGAAGCATTGCTGTTGAGATTGGATTTTTAAATAATTGACTTTTAGGTTTCCGGACACCGAAAAGAAATATAAAACGGAACCATTTTTAAAGTAACGTTGAGATTATTCTATTGTAATCCAAAAGGATGTACAAATGTAGACACCATTATTAATATATTTTTAAATACAACTTTTTTATTATTTATTTTAGAGAGACCATATGAGTCGTCTATTATCAAAGGTGGCAATCTGTGCATTTGGACAAAAATAAAATTATTGATATTTCAATACAGATTCATTTGAATATAATCGTCTCCTTCAAAGAATACGGTTCAAAACCTGCATTAAATAAAGGTTAATAGTTAACCTGTTATTTATCTAAGATGTCATTCGGAAGAGTTTTGCGACTGCCAATGGAATACAAAGTCAATAATTCGTTTTTCTGATTTACCAATAATTATCCAAAAGTCACATTGCCGGCTTTGATAATAGTCGACTCATATAACTTTTTTATTATTAATTGCATACACGTGTGGACGAGCTCACGGCCCGCCTGGTGTTAAGTGGTTACCGGTTAGACATCGCCACTGTAAAATTGTTTTGCTTTAATTATATCGACCGATAACAGCTCGTACCTGAGATGCAATAGGGAAATAATAAACAACAAAACAAATAAATATAAATCATTTCCTATATTTTAAATGCTATACATAATTCGTAACGAAAATAGATACACACACATACATATGAATTTGATTGCCCGCGAATGCATTATTTATCGTTTTCAATACAGTCTTGATTGTTATCGAAATAATTAGAAGCATCCTTCCGAGAATAGATGTTTTATTATATATAATATATGTATTTAATATTAAAATTTATGTAAAATTTGCATTTGTTTTGCGTTTAATTATATTTTTGTTTATGAACACGTGAGCTAAAAATCTGACTTTAAATATATATATGTTTTTAATATGGTCCCATTAAGTCAAGATTTGACATGTGATTTATTAAGGTTATTCAAAATAATGAAAGAGGGAGAGAGGGAAATGGGAGAGAGAGCGAGAAAGAGAGATAATAATGAAATAACTGCTTAATGCCTATGGCATTAAGTCCGCCTTTATATTGTAAAGTATAGAAAGTAAAAATAAGATATGTGGCGTCGTGGGACACCGGATAGGAACGAAGTTCCCTATTGTGGGTGACTCACGTGTATTTATTTATTTTATAATATTTTATTATAATTACACTACACAACAACACATACATACTTTATTTTATATCAACACATTCATTTATCACACACCTATTATAAAAATATTAATTTTAAGTTCTATTCGAGGTATAAAGAAAATAAAACTGGAGGTTTCGCAACAACCCACAACCATTCGGTAACGGGCGAACTTATTGTGGTACACTTCATTCGCGGTTGTTTGCATAAGAGTTAGTGTGTTGCGCAAACGAACGCTCTGAGATCGTGATCAATGATGATAAAAAAATGTTATTTTTTGTACGTTATTACAAAGTTAAGTCGTACACTGTGTGCATTACTAATTTGTACGTTATTAATAATAAAAATGTTATGGACGTTTCTTCCCGGTTAGGGTAACCCTCCGCATCGTCCCATAAGGAGCTTCGTTCCGAAAAATAAAACAATTAATTATTGCCTAATCATTATTCTGGTGTGTTCTCTTTCATCAAAATCCATCCAGTACTTTTTGCGTGAAAGAGCTACAAACATACATCCATACATTCTTAGAAACTTTCGCGTTTATTATAATATTTGAAGGATAAACACCTAGACAAAAAGCGAATTGACCTATTCATCACACGAATGTTTGTCCGATGCGTGAATGGAACACACGACCCCTGGCGTAACAGTTAGGGGCGCTACCGAATCAGTCGATGAATTAATGAATTATTTTCAAACCGACACACTTAGCTTCGTTCACAACTGCATTAAACATCCCCTTGTTACGCCGGTGCTGTGCTCGTGGCTTCATAGCCGGACACTTCCTCAACTTAGAGACAGCTCTCCTCGCCACTACCTTTCATAGATTCCTTTGATTTGCAGTTTCAAGATGGCGGCCTGCAATCTCAAAATGGCGCCGGCGTCAGTTTCGACAATATGGCAGCGATGTTGCTGTGCATAAAAATAATAGTGCGTGTGTTTGTTACAGCTATTAATCTCAAGCACTGTTTGGTCGGTTTACTTCTGCATGGGCCTCTGCATCGGAGCTCCGACGGTCTTCATACCGCAGCTGAGGAAGGAAGCTAATTCCACTGACGCCGTCACCTCGGAAATGGCGTCGTGGCTGTGTAGGTATTTCCGTTTTTCATCTGGTATCCCCTTAGTCAAATTCTAGGATGCCGTAGCTTGATTTAGCGGTACGAATTATCGCGAAGGAACATTACGACATAGTTCAAAATTAGTATCGACCAGGGTAGCCAAATTTCCTAACATATCAATGACTGATCATTCGAAAAAAATAAGTACATATGAGTCGACTATTATCAAAGCCGGCAATGTGACTTTTGGACAATTGTTTGTAAATCAGAAAAACGAATTATTGACTTTGTATTCCATTGGCAGTCACAAAACTCTTCTGAACGACATCCTAGATAAATAACAGGTTAAGTATTAACCTTTATTTAATGCACGTTTTGAACCGTATTCTTTGAAGGAGACGATTATATTCAAATCAATCTGTATTGACATATCAATAACATTTTTTTGTCCAAATGCACAGATTGTCACCTTTGATAATAGACGACTCATATATTGTAGCTGTTATTTTAATTTGATTTATGTAAACGATTCAAGTGTCCTCCATTAATACCAATACTAACTTCTGTTTCAGCTTCGGTATTCGGCTACAGCGCTCTGCCCTGGGTATTGATACTTTGCTGGCTTCTCAACGCGATCGGACGGAAACGGACCTCTATTATAATGTCGCTATCCACAGTGGCAATGTTCGTCGTCTTCTATTTTAGTAAAACCGCCAACGATTTACTTATCACCGAAATACTGACGGGCCTGACGCACGCCAGCACGATGACTGTCACAGTTGTTGCCATAGGTGAATATTCTTCGCCTAAATTCAGAGGGATATTCCTCACTCTAAAATCGGCGTCGTTACTCTGGGGAATTTGGACGTCGAACGCGATCGGAACGTTCTTTCACTGGAGGTACATACCTCTGATGGGAATCTTGTGTTCTCTGCATACATTAACTGTGTTTTACTGGTGCGAATCGCCATATTGGTTGGCGTGCAAAGGTAGATTCGACGAATGCCGAAAAACGCACAGGTGGCTCAAAGGTAACGGTAGAGCTTCGGAGCGCGAGTTAAAAAAATTGATCGATTCCTTAAAACGAACACAAAGCAAAGAGATCGAATTAAAAAGTTTACTGTCAAAAGAGTTTTATATTCCATTATTGTTGTCTATTTTAGTCGTAACGCAATATCATTTTTCCGGGAAATTAGTATGCAGTATTTACGTTATAGAAATCTTAAAAAGGATTACTAATGATGAAGCCACAGCGTACTATGGGATGTTAATTCTCGACGGCGTAACCGTCATCAGCACTTACATCGGCTGTATCTTATGTAGGGTTTTAAAACGCAGGACTCTGCTACTTACGTCTAGCACCATAGGGATTACATTTCTATACATACTAGCTTTGTACTTGTGGCTTATCAGAATTGAAGTCGTGACGGAAATCAAGATGGCTTCGGTCTTGTTTCTCGCGGCTTTTTCGACCTCCATTAGCTGCGGGCCGATGATCATGGCGACGTCTTTGTACGGTGAATTAATACCGTTGAGATTTAAAAGCGTTTCGATAATATTAATTGCATTTACATTCTTCGGTTTTCACAGTACGCTGTTGAAGTTAGCTCCCGCCATTTTTGCTAATTTCGGCTTGGATGGAATGTTTCTATTTTACGCTTCAACATCAACATTAATCGCCATTTTGATTTACAAATATCTACCGGAGACCAAAGATAAAACTTTACAAGAAATCGAAGATTATTTTAAGGATTCGACAAATAATTCTGATGTTACGAATCTAGTTCGCGATAAAATTGTCAGTTGATAATGAATTACTTATATTAGTTACCTTAGAACTTTTTACTGGTGGTAGGACCTCTGGTGAGTCCGCACTGGTAGGTCCACCGTCCCGCCTATTTCTGTCGTGAAGCAGTAATGCGTTACGGCTTGAAGGGTGGGGCAGCCGTTGTAACTATACTGAGACCTTAGAGCTTATATCTCAAGGTGGGTGGCGCATTTACGTTGTAAATCTCTATGGGCTCCAGTAACCACTTAACACCAGGTGGGCTGTGAGTTTGTCCACCCATCTAAGCAGTAAAAAATAAAAAAATTGAACTACATATTTTTGGTAATGCCGATTTTGAAGAGTCTTGTGTGTATGAAAACGCTTCACGTGTGGTCCCATTTAAGTTCTACCAGGATCCAACTATTCGCTTCGGAGTTATCCTTAACACGTTGAATGCCATAAAATCGTACATATTTTCATTCAGGCCATCGTGTTCACCGAAGAGCCTTTTAAAATATCCAAACTAAAGACGGTTTAAAGTCTCTAATTTTTATCTACCGTTCAAATTATGGCATCTATATATTAATACGTGAAGCAAAAATTTTGTATCCCTTTTTACGAAAATTGCGCGGACAGAGGAGTATAAAATTTTCCACACTTATAGAGAATATAGAGAAGAAGTGCACAATGCTAATATTTTTTTAAATAATGCATAAAAGATACATTATATCAATAAAGAAAAACTTACAGACACTACATACCATGTATTTGACGCACACACGCATGCATACTATTTACTGTCAAACTTTTGTTCTTGGCGTCTGTTGTCAAATTGAGAATAGATTAAATATTGTTTGCCTTTGTTAATATTTTTTATAGTGTAGTCTTGGCGAAATTTGTGATTAAAGAAGTATAAAATACAATCATAATAGTGTACAAACTTACAATTCCAATTAATTATAGTCGAATTTCGACTACTGCGGGACCTCTAGTTTTATTAATTTTAGAATAAAAATATCGAGTTGATAATTATAATTACTGATTCCCTGATTCTGGCTTGACCCGAATATGGTGCGCTAGGACCAACGGTGGGTCATAAAGCGTACAACGTGTTAGTAATGCATACACATCACTACACAGGGTCACTACACAAGGGGGTCGCGGGATTGAATCACGCCAAGAGAAGATATTTGTATGATAAATATAAGATGTCTTCTCCAGGGTTATAGATGTATATTAAATATATGTATGTGTATAATAAAAATCTTTCATTTATTTCCGTTATCTGGTACCTGTAACACAAGCTCTTTACGAACTTAGCACAGGACCAGTTAACGTGGCGTGATTGTTAGTAAATATTTATATATTATTATAGGTATATATTATATTATACATCGCGGCCTGCTGAGAAGATCCGGCGAGAAACTCAGTAAGTAGGCTGATGCATGGTAATGGATGTTAGGTTGCATGTCGAACTCATTGTCGAGTTCGACGAGTACGGTTACCGGGGTCCCTAAGCCTGCTCCTAGTGTTAGAGCTGAACGCGTCTAACGCAAGGGTCACAAGATCTGATGGATGCACGTAGAGAAATCCCTAACTAAGCCCGTTCCATGTCTCGTTGCGTGACTTGAATTTTGCTCTAATTAACAACGTGTTTGTTGGTAAGTGTTTAAAAAAAAATAAACCCGCTGAAAATAGCAATTGTTAATTAAATTTATACTTAGCACGTAAAACCGGTCTGGTATATTTACAATTGCTTCGTGTATTATTATTTTTTTAATTAATGTTACACGAAAATCAAGTTCTGATAATTTTATTATGAGAACAACTGAAATTAAGTTGGCAGTGTCGATTGAGAGATTCTCGACCCCCCGTCAAACACGAAAAAAAATTCCTATTAGAAATACGAACATTTAACTCTACATATATGAACATTAAATGACAGCACTTATGGATGATTGTTTCTTTTCCTACCTATGCTGATAGCCTTGAGAGGCTATTTCAGCTTCTCCTTGACATGTAGGTGAGCTCACGGTGCTCAAACCGGGGTGTTGCTAACACTGGCCCTAGCAAGAGCAGTGCTTCGCAGAATCTACCACCGGATCGGAAACGCGACCCACGGAAAAAATCCGGCGAGAAACTCAGTGGGCTGTGTCTATGGGTTAATTCGCTCGTCGAGCCCTTCGTCGCAAGCGACGGGTTCGGCGAGGACGGTGACCGGTGCTTGAGGTACATAAAAGCACCGTTAGTGGATCGGGAGGATCCGTAATGACGTGTTAAACGACTTAAATCTTCGGAACCTATATATAAGCTTATCTTGAAATTGTCGTTAGCGAGATTCAGGCATATGTAAATCAATTATCTTAGATTTGTGTGAATAAACGATAAAGGCAAGATCTTCCACTGAGCGGATGAAACTACTGGCTTGACCGACGCTCCGAATGTTGTTGTTCGGAACTTGTTTATATGTATACTTATATGTAAGTTTTTACTGGTGGTAGGACGTCTTGTGAGTCCGCGCGGGTAGGTACCATCGCCCCGCCTATTTCTGTCGCGAAGCAGTAATGCGTTTCGGTTTGAAGGGCGGGGCAGCCGTTATAACTATACTAAGACCTTAGAACTTATGTCTCAAGGTAGGGCTCCGTTAACCACTTAACACCATGTGGGCTGTGAGCCCGTCCACCCAACCCAATACAAAAAAAAGAAGCTTATCTTGATAATGTCGTAAGCGAGATTCAAGCATCTGTGAAATATCATGTCTTCTGTAATGGCTACCCGCCACATTAATCTATTATAGTCACCGAAATGTAATTAACTTAATGTAAGTTGTAAATAAAATTAAATATATTATGATCATTTATCACAATTTATTTTCCATTATCCGTCAATCTAGTCATAGTATAATGGTGTTAGCTCACAGGAGCATTTTTCTTCTAAGCGATGCTGCGGTTTATCAAACAAACCCTCTTTCCTTTGTTTTGGGTGTCAGTCCTTGAGATAGATCAAAGATAGCATCATCGAATTCTTTTTCCTGCTTACCTTCAATGTATAATGGACACAAATAGGACGAATGAGTGATTGCCTGAAAAAAAACGATCACAGACTGAGATCGTAATGACACGGTCTCATCCTTTTTACGGTAGGCAGCGGCTTGGCTCTGCCCCTGGCATTGCGAAGCCCATGGGCGACGGTAACCACTCACCTTCAGGTGGGCTGTATGTTCGTCTGGCTACAAGGGCAATAAAAAACAAAAAAATCATAACATAATAACAGATAGATAAATAGATTATTACAGTTTACGGTACGTACGGACGTCTTGTGGTAGGTACCACCGCCCTGCCTATTTCTGCCGTTTCAACTGAGACTTTAGAACTCATATCTCAAGGTGGTGGTATTTACGTTGTAGATGTCTATGGTCTCCGGTAACCACTTATCATCAGGTGAGCCGTGAGCTAGTCCACACATATTAATAACAAAATAAAAAAAGCACGACACAAAAATGTATCTAACTATAGCTAACTCTCCCTGTGAGCTATAGTTAATTGTATGAAAAATTCTATCTGTATTTTGTACCGTATGTTCCATGGATATAATTGAAACTAATTTTACAATTTTACGGTTTAATATTTACGGTATACGGTCGAGGAAAATCGTAAAGAAAAATCGAGAGTCATGTCGAATGCTCACGTATCGCCCTCTCTAGAAATAGGATAGGAAGCTCTACGTTCGAAGCTATTATAGTTTACTAGAGGTCCCGCAGTAGTCGAAATTCAATTATAATTGGAATTGTAAGTTTGTACACTATTAAAATACTAAAAAATATTAATAAAGACAAACAATATTTAATCTATTCTCAATTTGACCACATACGTCAAGAACAAAAGTTTGACAATAAATAGTAGGTATGCATGCGTGTGTGCGTCAAATACATGGTATGTAGTATGTGTAATGATTTCTTTATTGATTTAATGTATCTTTTATGCATTATTTTGTATTGGATATATATATGAATATAAGGTTAGGCGAGCTGCACACTACAATTTAAAAAAAAAATTAGCATTGTGCACTTCTTCTCTATATTCTCTATAAGTGTGGAAAATTTCATACTCCTCCGTCCGCGCAATTTTCGTAAAAAGGGATACAAAGTTTTTGCTTCACGTATTAATATATAGATTTAACGGTTTAGTTACGAGGTATCATTTCGTAAAAAAAAAAAGTCGCTTACTGTCACTTAAAGTAAAATTAACATAATAACATCTCATATATGTTTCATGGGGAGTGCTCTGAGGAATTGTTTGAGATGATCCCATCATCTCGTTTTTACCATCGCACCGCCCGCCACCGGAGCAAAGTTCATCTATACTACCTAGAACCACTGCGTTCATCCGCAGTGCGCTTCCAGATATCTTTTTGCCGCGTACCATCCGACTTTGGAATAAGATGTAATTTATATGAACCAATAAAAACCAATTTACCAACAATTTCATTTGTATAATCTATATATTAATACGTGAGGCAAAAACTTTGTATCCATTTTTACGAAAATTGCGCGGACGGAGGAGTATGATATTTTCCGCACTTAAAGAGAATATAGAGAAGAAGTGCACAATGCATTTTTTTTTTTAAATAATGCAGTTTTGAAGTCGTCGTGGCCTAAAGGATAAGTCGTCCGGTGCATTCGTGTGTAGCGATGCACCGGTGTTCGAATCCCGCAGGCGGGTACCAATTTTTCTAATGAAATACGTACTCAACAAATGTTCACGATTGACTTCCACGGTGAAGGAATAACATCGTGTAATAAAAATCAAACCCGCAAAATTATAATTTGCGTAATCACTGGTGGTAGGACCTCTTGTGAGTCCGCACGGGTAGGTACCACCACCCCGCATATTTCCGCCGTGAAGCAGTAATGCGTTTCGGTTCGAAGGGTGGGTTAGCAGTTGTAACTATACTGAGACCTTAGAACTTATATCTCGAGGTGGGTGGCGCATTTACGTTGTAGATGTCTATGGGTTCCAGTAACCACTTAACACCAGGTGGGCTGTGAGCTCGTCCATCCATCTAAGCAATAAAAAAAATGCATATGAGATACATTAAATCAATAAAGAAAACATTACGCACACTACCGTGTATTTGACACAACACATACATAAAAATATACACTTTGTTTACTGTCAATCGGGAAACTTTTGTTATTGTTTAAAGTCTGTGGTCGAATTGAAAATAGATTAATATTGTTTGTCATTAATATTATCGATCTATAGTGCAGTATTGGCGAATACTGTGATAATATTATCGAAATATAAAAGTGTTTCACAATAGAACCATAATAATGTTTAAATTTATAATTTCAATTAATTATAGTCGAATCTCGACTACTGCGGGGCCACTAGTATCTTAAAACACATCAGTTAACTGCTCGACGAATAAATAGATACATGATTAGTTATACGAATTACACGGGTAGCGTAGGAGAAAACGTGCCTCTTAATCATTATTTCCCAAAGTGGGCGATAACGCCCCCTTGTGGGCACTGAAGGTCCAAAGGGGGTAAGACCAAAAAAATAGGGACGTTGTGTAGAGACTTGTGGGGCGATTTGTAATTTCAACTAGGACGACTCAAACACCGACTGAGCTCTCGCTATAGTGGTTTTTAATTAGGTGAAAAAAGGGGGGCGCTAAAAAATAATTGATTCTCAACTTGGGCAGTAGACAAAATAACTTTGGGAACCCCTGCTCTAAATTATCATTCGGCTAACACGTTCTTTTTTTCTTCCACGACATCGTGAAATAAAGAATCTGTCCCCTGTACATATTCGATATTAGTAACGCTTCGATCCGCATTACGCAATAAGGAACCAGAACAATTTTATATGTATTTATTTAGGTATATGTAAGTCGTGGGGTGAAAGGCTAAAGACATTTATCTTTGTAATTAAAGGTCCGTTTTATTCGGTATCAGCATCAACAGTTCGATGTTTTTAATTGAACTTCCATTAAATTTACTCCGTTCAAATAGCTGAAGAAGTTTTTTGTAATGATACTTTGTTCAAATTTTAAACGTCTTATAAAGTTGCAAAAATGACGCTTAAACCAAATACCTAATCTTTTACCCCTCGATATATATATTTTTAGGGGTAATTATGAAACAATAAAAATCATTTGTCTCTTTCGGATGTCGCTTACCAAATGTAATTTCTATTTCATAATCTCTCAAATTACAACAATGTCAAGGATTCCTAAACCCATAAGTTCTGCAAAAGAACTAACCGAAATAAGATAATATTTTTTTTAAAATATAACCTATAAAACAAATGCGTAATGTTACCATTGATATATTATTATGTGTTTATGTTTAAATAACACAAGGCCTCATTTTCCGGAACAAATTAATGTATCGGCTTTTGAATAAAATATGAGTTCCCGCTGAGATGTATTGTTTTGTGTTCTTAAGTCATAAATATTTTGATACAACCGTGTATTTACGAGGAAAATTATCAGTCATTCTGCCGCCATCTTCTTTGGTTCGCGCGTAGCGTGGAGCGATAGTTTTAAAGAAAGAAAAGAGTAAATGTCAAACATTGATGTCGTGTGTTTGCTTAGCCGATAATATTGTTGTTTTTTTTTTGTATTTAAAATAACCAATAAATGTGTGAGTATCATTATCGTTCATAAAAGATTTGGAGTTGTTTATTATCTTAATAAATTAATCAGTGGACGGTAAGCCGCGGTTTTTCGACTCATCGGACTCTTCATTGCTTAGGTGGGTGGACTAGCTCACCGCCTACCTGATGTTAAGTGGTTATCGGAGACCAAAGATATCTACAACGTAAATGCCGACCACCTTGAGACATGAGTTGTAAGGTCTCAGTATAGTTACAACGGCTGCCCCACCCTTTAAACCGAAAAGCATTACTGCTTCACGACAGAAATAGGCGGGGTGGTGGTATCTACTCATGCGGACTCACAAGACGTCCGACCACCAGTAATTACGCAAATTATAATTTAGCGGGTCTGATTTTTATTACACGATGTTATTCCTTCACCGTGGAAGTCAATCGTGAACATTTGTTGAGTACGTATTTCATTAGAAAAATTGGTACCCGCCTGCGGGATTCGAACACCGGTGCACCGCTACATACTAATGCACCAGACGTCTTATCGAAAATCGTTAGGTTTGACTTCGCGGATTCTACAAATCCATTATCAGGAAATTCGATTCTAATCGTCCATTCGATTTCATTCATACAGACATGACTTCGGCAGTTTCGCAAAAGATTTGGCTGTTTGACCCAATACACTGATTGTGTTGACTTGATAACTTGTTACAAATCAGTGAACACCGGTTGCACGCACGAAAAACTGTCACGTTCCGCCCGAGTATGAGTGTGCGAGCAAGAACGCACAGCAAGCGATAGAGAGGCACGACGGGTCCGAGCGTTAATATATAAAAAAAAGTTTTTTCAATTAACTCGTTTGTATTATACAAATTAATGGTAATTCAGTGGTAGTAATTCAATTTAATTTATAAAAGTATGCAATTTTTCATCAATATTTCTTTATGACGTTATCAAGTAAAACTATCGTCCGTAAGCCGACTTTTCAGACAACCATTTTTTTTTTCTACAGCCAACGGTATAAAGGATTATTATCACAGAGTCGTATCTAATGAGGGAGATGATGATGATGATGAGGGAAACAAGTACAGACCGCTGTTGAGGCAGGTACGTAATTAAAAAAAAAAACACGCATGGCACTCGGAGACTGCCGAGTTGAAGCAAGTTTATGCTTCACGTATTAATTAATATATAGATATAGATGTACGTCATTCTTGCTGCTCGTGGATCGCTCGTTACTTTTCTCACTTCCAGATCCTCATAACGAGCCCCGCCTGGATGCTGCTGTTCGCGACAGGCTTTTCATTCGGCGCTCCGACCGTGTTCATACCTCAAATTCGGAAGGAAAAGAATTCAACCGAAGCGATCAGTGACGAAATGGCTTCTTGGCTGTGTAATTATTTTATTAGTCATTTTTCTATAAAGTATTTTGACGTGACAACGTCTTATAATTCGATGGAGCCGGCTGCACGCACGAAAAAACATGACTCATGCGGCGTTACCTCGCTCTGAGGCGATGTGAGCGATGCATCCGCGTGGACAGCTGCTATACAATAATACATTTACATGTTTTCGTCAAGTATGAAGTTCAGTGAAAAGTGAATGTGGTGTCAATTGCTTATAGCAACGATAATTGCGATAATTGAAAAATGAAACCATTCCATCAGTATTTTCTTATGACGATGTCACGTTCAACTATCGTCAGTACACCGACTTTACAGACAACCGATTTTTTTCTTCGAGCGAAGCCGCCTGACATAAGTTATCCGGTTCTTCCATAAAGTCGACTCAAAATGTCTCAGTAAAGAGCCAGCATTTTACTGAGATTATATTTTATCTCATCTCATATCGTATCATTTAATTCCATCAGAAACGGTTAAAGCCGCTATCAAATTAATCAACTTCATCTAATTTCGGTTTATATCATTATTTCACAATGTGGGATGAAAAGTTATACTTAAAGGCTTAGTACGCGACATTTATCTGTGTAATTAAAGGTGCGTTCTATTTGGTAGGTATAAGCTTCAACAATTCGAAGCTTTAATTGAACTACAATTTAAGTTCAAATTTTCAATTTTAAATGGCTCTCTTATAAAGTTGCAAAAATCTCGCTAAAATCAAGTAGCCATTCACCAGTATTTGAAGACCATAGAAGGCTCGGCTTAAAGATCTCGTTGTGAAACTCTTTACCGAGAGCACGACAGCCACGACCCCTCTGCCAAGAGTGTAGCGACTGGGATAGAAAGCTCTAGTTAGCAGGTCATAAAATATTTAAAAAAAAAAATTGGTGCACGAGATAAAAAAATTTATTGCTTAGATGCGTGGACGAACTCACAGCCCACCTGGTGTTAAGTGGTTACTGGAGCCCATAGACATCTATAACGTAAATGCGTCACCCACCTTGAGATATAAGTTCTAAGGTCTCAGTATAATTACAACGGTTGCTACACCCTTCAAACCGAAACACATTACTGCTTCACGGCAGAAATAGGCAGGGCGGTGGTCCCTACCCGTGCGGTCTCACAAGAGGTCCTACCACCAGTAAAAGACATGACATGAAATACTTATGACTTGAAAAAATTTCGCTTTTCAGCTTCCGTGTTCGGATATAGCTCTCTGCCGTGGATCATCGTTATCTGCTACGCCATTACGCGCTTAGGAAGAAAGATCCCTTTCATGTTCGTCTCCATAAACACGTTCGTCTTCAACGTCATCTTATATTTCAGCACTAGCAACACCCAAATGTTAATTAGCGAGATACTACAGGGCATGAACCACGGCGCCAACTTAACTTTGACTATAATAATACTGTCCGAATACACTTCGCCGAAATACAGAGGTGTCTTCTTAACGATAAAATCCGCCACCTTCTATTGGGGTGTGTGGTGCGCGAACGCAATTGGAACATTCCTCCATTGGAAATATATACCGTTGACAGCCATCGTATTGATATTATACAATTTCGTCTCGTTTTTATGGCCGGAGTCGCCTCACTGGTTGGCCAGCGAAGGTAGGTTCGAGGAATGCGCCCGATCATACTTCTGGTTGATGGGCAAAAACGAGTCAACGATAAAAGAATTGGAGAGACTCGTTAATTCGCAAAAAGAATGCATTAAAAATCGTAGGACGTTCGATAGGCATAGAATATTCGAGATCTTGACCGCGAAGCTGTTTTACAAGCCGACGTTAGTGTGTATAGTTATGATGCTGCAATATAATTTCACCGGTAAAATCGTGTGTGCAATGTACGCCATTGATATCATAAAACGCATAACTGGAAGCGAATCGACCGCGTATTACGTGATGCTGCTACTAGATGGCGTTACTGTCTTGGGCATGTACTTCGGTTGTTTTTTAACGAGAGTGGTCAAACGACGCTCTTTACTAATGACCTCGGGCACGACCAGTGTAATTTTTTTATGCATCCTATCCTTGTATTTGTATTTAATAAATTTAGCGTTTATAAACGAATCTAGATTTGTAACTATAGGTTTGTTAGTCGGATTCTCGTTGAGTGTTAGCATTGGACCAGTGATTTTGTTAATATCCACGCACGCTGAGCTGACGCCATTAAAATACAAAAGTCATTGTATGGCCGTTGCCGCGATTTTATACAATATCGTCTCCGGTACACTATTGAAAATATCGCCGTATATCTTTTTGGCTTTCGGGATGCACGGTACGTTTTTATTTTACGGTCTCACTTCGGGATCCTGTCTATTGATACTTTACTTCTGTTTACCGGAAACAAAAGACAAAACCCTGCAGGAAATCGAAAATTATTTCGAAGGTGAAGAAAAAAAAACATGTAATTCAAGTTTAATTTAATCATTACGTAATAAATTAATAAAAACGTGCGAAAATTACTATTCTTTGTTTTATTTTTTGATTGTGTATAACTGATGTTTCTGACGGATTTGAATGTAATTTCACTATAAATATATTAAGTGTATAATCTATGTTCACTATTATACACATTCATGACCTGAATTATCATATAGGATTTTTTTTGGAGTTTACTCCTTTAGAATCGATTTACATATATAGGCCCGGGGTATGAAAATTATGGGGACCAAAATCGTACTAGCATGTCACACGAAATGCGTTATGCGCCTGATTGCGCATGTCACACGAAATGCGTTATCGCAGGTGACGCCGGGCTGCTGCGCCGGCAGTCCGCCACAAAGCCTCGTACTGATCGCGCGTTTCTCTCATTATTGTATTTTCATATATTTGTTAGTCGTTTGTTTTGTGTCTCGTTAATTTGTTAATAATCTGTAGTGTATCGTGTTGTCGTAATATAGAACTATTTCTCGTATTGTTTCGTTTAATTTTTTATATCCAGTAAACTCCAGTCGTGCGTCGGAGCGGACACACACACTTTTTTTCGTTGTTACTATGGAGGTTAGAAGTAAGAAGTATTATCTATGGATAAGAAGCACTATCTTGTATAGGGAACAAGTTGAAAAAGTGTCTACCTGTAAGCGGCGAGTTATTGTTGGAAGGCTCACCGAAATAGCGCTAGTGTAGGAAGTGGAAATTATATGAATATAACCGTTATAAGCAAAATGAGGGCTAGCTCTAAGGCGCTTTTTTTTAAATATTTCCACTTGCTACTGTGGCGCCAACTTAATTGGCCCCCTTTCAGCGGACACTTTTAAATACACTGAAATGGTCCTCCTTGCTTTTCCCATAGAATCTCAGTGTTATCGGGGCAATGTAGAATACAGCAGGTTTGAAACACGTGTGTTCCATTATCCCGGGAAAATGTTTTTTTTTTTAATTGTTGTACGCGTGAACGAGCTCACGGCCCGACTGGTGTTAAACGGTGATAGGAGCCCATAGACATCACCAACGTAAATGCCGCCTCCCATCTCTATACAAGAGTTCTTAATCTTAGATCAATGGTACAACGGCTGCCGCACCCTTCAATTAGAAAGGCATTACTGGTTCACGGCAGAAACAGATAGGGTGATGGTAGCTACCCGTGCGGGCTAAAAGGACGACCTACCACCAGTATTACATTGAGATATAAAAAAAATGCGGGTATGTCTAATAATTACACTATTCAAATTACTAGATATAGAGTATCATTGGCGCGGGTAGTCTGTCAAATTCTGTGCCCTCTTTTTCAGGAATGAAGGATAACTGGTGGCCCGGAGGCCTTTCCAGTTTTACCAGGACAGAGGGGTAAACACGGGCTTAGCCAGGAGGGGTGGGATTTGCCACATCTACCCTAGCGCTTCAATTCGGTGCCCAAAACACTCATTGGTTCCTGTTTGAGACTTGCTAAATATATTCACAATACAATTGAGACATCGATGAATTTTTTTTATTTTTTTTTATTCCTTAGATGTGTGGACGAGCTCACAGCCCACCTGGTGTGAAGTGGTTACTGGAGCCCATAGACATCTACAACGTAAATGCGCCACCCATCTTGAGATATAAGTTCTAAGATCTCAGTATAGTTACAACGGCTGCCCCACCCTTCAAACCGAAACGCATTACTGCTTCACGGCGGAAATGGGCGGGGTGGTGGTACCTACCCGTGCGGACTCCCAAGAGGTCCTACCACCAGTGATTACGCAACCATGGGGAACTTACCTCCTGACAATATTGTTCACGTGCAAACAAACACACAAAAATATTAAAAATAATCTATTTATTGATTATAATATAATACAATACAATATGACAACAGTAAATAGGTTTCTTATTTATTAAGATGCACTTTTTTTGTGTGTTAAATATCAAAGTATAGAGGGCGCGCAATGAAACACAATATGACGCGCCGGGTTGAATGACCTCGGACGAAGCGAGGCGGTTTTCGCTTCCATTGAATTGTTTATATACACAATTACAATAATCTATTTGTAAGCGTATTCTTTCTAATGGAATAACATATTTTTTTTAACTTCAGAGTAAAAGGAATTATGAGCGATGTTCACTAGACCGGTAGACAGGCTCATGTGATAATAAGGTCTGATCACCTGAGATATGAGCTTTAAGCTCCAATTGTATATTATAATGCTGTCAAACAGGAACGCCTGTTTAGTGGCAGGAAGACGCAGAACGCTGGTACCTACCCGCGCGGGCTGCCAGTAAAAGATTCAGTTTTTAAGTTTCATACGAGCAAAACTCAAGGTCATGAGGTCAAGAGTGGTGCATGGTATCATCGCTTTTAGAGAGTTAACGAGTGCGAGAGAGACGGCATGCTCGTGTTTGGCGGCGACTTCACTCCGTTACGCTTGCACGGCGACTCGAGCCGAAAAAGGACAGAAGTGCAACTTCTTAGCGGTCGACGATAGCAACAGGTTAAAGTCGTGTAGTGCTACGATTTGTATCGAAAAAGGGACGGAAGATCTTTCGTTCTCTCTCTCTCTCTCATCAAAGAATTCAATTCGCACTCGTTGTCGATTATGGATCTCACTTACGACATTTACATGGTGGTGTTTTTTTTTATTGCCCTTGTAGGCAGATAAGCATACGGCCCACCTGATGGTGAGTGGTTACCGTCGCCCATGGACTACAACAAAGCCAGGGGCAGAGCCAAGCCGCTGCCTACCGAATTCCTTCACAATAATCACTGTAGCCCCCTGAGTTCCTATATGGGTCTCCAATCACCAATATACGTGGTACCCGACACACCCCTAACCAGGGGCTCGCAGTCTCAGATTCGTTACCGCCATATGCGCCCTCAGGAGCCCTTCGCTGAAGACTTCTTCATTGATAAGGCACGTCATACGCTCGTGCAACATCACTCCTGCCTGATGGGGCCGAAGCTTCCTCGCGAACACCACTAGCGCGGTGCAGTCCCGGGACATCACTAAGCCGTCGCCTCAATGAATTCAACGACTTTCTTGTTGGGCACGACTTTGTGGACCCTCTTCTTGTGCGTGTAAAGAGAGGCCTTCTGCTTGAAGGTTTGTTGGCAGATGTCGCAGGTCAGCGGCCTCTCCCGGGAGTGGATCACCTCGTGCTGAGTCAGAGCCTTCTTGTCCTGAAATTTGAGGTCGAAATTACACTCCGCCCCCTCCCAACCCCCCTCCACCCCCCGGCGTGAAAAATTTACAGAATGGAAAATACAATGTAGACTTGGACGTACCATCCGACTATGAGCTCCCCTCCACGGTGTCTCCCGAGCGCTATGACATATTCTTCTTCAAACGATTCTTGTGAAGAGTACTTAACGGTAGACAGCGGCTCGGCTCTGTCCCTGGCATTGCTTAAGTCCATGAGCGACGGTAATCACTCACCATCAGGTGGCATGCTCGTCTGCCTACAAGAGCAATTAAAAAAAAGACCTAGGACTGAATACACTTCAGGCCGAGTTGGAGGTCGGTGGTGGTTACTGTCGCTAATGGACATCAGCAATGCCTGGCACTGTCCTCTCTCTCCTCGTTTGAAGGACAGGTCACAGCGGCGGTCGGGAACAGCGTGGACTTTACTCCAGGAACAGACGGTGCTTGGTAGAGAAACATCTCGGGGCAAGATCACACACATCTCCGATGGTATATTTGGTATATACTAGTGGTCCCTTGGTAGTCGAAATTCGACTATAATTAATTGAAATTATAACTTTGAACATTATTATGGTTCTATTGTCAAATACTTATTTTACTTCTATAATCACAGATTTCGCCAAAACAACACTATAGCCTCAATTTGACCACAGACTAGAAGCAAAAAGAAAAGTTTGACAATAAACAAAGAGTTTATATATATGTGTGTGTCAAACACATGGTAGTGTGTGTAATGTTTTATTTATTGATTTTATGTATGTATTATTAAAGTATATTTTTTTTTAAATATTAACATTCTGCACTCCTTCTCTATATTCTCTACAAGTGTGGGAAATTTCATACTTCTCCATCCGCGCAATTTTCGTGAAAAGGGATACAAAGTTTTTGCTTCACGTATTAATATATATATATATGGGATGGAAATATATATATATATATATATATATATATATATATATATACGTACAGTGAATCGTTTCCTGCACATCCCGCAGGCGTGGTTCCTCGGCTTCTCCTTCTTCTCGCCGTGCACCCTCATCACGTGCTTCACAACATTCGCCCTGGAGGCTATGGGCTAGAATGGAAAACAAAAGATCATGGGCACTTATGTTAATTTTAAATTCGCTTCTTTCTGTTCTTTGTTTTCATTTTTTTATTTTTTTTTTATTTAATATACTTTCTATTTTTTAGTGGGATTTTCTATAAAAGCGTGTTTTTTATAATAGTTTTTTTAAGCTATTATTTATTTTTCATTTTTTAGTTGAATTACAATTTTTTCAATATTTATATATATTTTTTTTCACTTTTTTTTTAAATATTGAATTGTCATCGGTCCTTAATAAGTATACCAAATTACGAATTAATCCGACGTTTTGAAGGGGGTCAAAATCATGTTCAAAGATTCCGTTACAAACATATACACATACATACGTCAGAAACTAATAAAAGCGTATTAATAAGACTATTTTCCTTATTTCCACTTTTATATTGTTCTTTTCCCAAATCTTCTGTATTATATTAATTAAAAATAATCAGACACCTTTTTTTACGGTTTGCTCATTCAATCGTTTTCGCCATCTTCCTTTTCTCTGTTATTCTCTTATCCATTGCTCTCGATACAGGGAGCAAGAAAATACGTATTTCCTAAATTGTTTTTGTAAGCCCTCTGTAGTTATAGAACCAGTTATGGAGTATATCACCTCCAGGCATATACAGATATATATATATCGACGCTTGAAAGGCAAACGTGACTAAGCGACAATGCGTGAACTTTACAGTAGACTAATTTAAACTTGAAATATCTGACTACAAATTTTATTTTAACGAATCTAGCTGTAGTAGAATCTAGCTAGTAGCTGTAGGATTGAAATGATTTTAATAGACCTAGAAATATATGTTTTGCGCATCGAATATGGTTATTGCCTATCATTTATGTACAAAGCAGTTATTGTCGCTTAGTCACTTTTGCCTTTCAAGCGTCGATATATTTTGAGGTACAAAATCCTAACTTGACTCACCTTTTCGCACACGGGACACTTGTGCGCAGTCTTCCCCAGGTGCTGGTAGTTGAAGTGGTCCTGCATCGCTTCCTTCGTGGGGTAGCCCTTGTTGCACATCGGGCAAGGGTACCTGAGGAGGGGGAACCGCTTTCTGAAGGTCACGTGTCGGATTCAAGGGTCGGCGTGGAGGCTGTTTATCGACGGACTCTTACTGCCGATTTAACATTTAACTAGCTGACCCGGCAGACGTCGTAGGGCCTCAGTCGATAAACAAAAAACCTAACTTTTGTATAAAATAAACTTAAAACACAAAAGGAATCCGTCCGACGGGGGACACATCAAAGGAAAAACAAAATTGTTATTTTCATTTAATTCCGAGCATTTTCATATTTATCTATCTACCTTTTAAACCTTCTCTGGACTTCCGCAAATAATTCAAGACCGAAATTAGCCAAATCGGTCCAGCCGTTCTCGAGTTTTAGCGAGACTAACGAACAGCAATTCATTTTTATACATATAGATAAAATAGATAAATGAAAGATGTATTCCCGATATTTCGGCGGTGTTGCCAGCGCTCCGTGACCACGGATAGTCCGAAAAAATTGGGAAATTTTGGCAAGTTTTTGTTTTTATTGACGTCGTGTTTTTCAATAGATCTCGTTACAAGACTCTTTGGGGGACCAGACGGGAGGAGCAGACAGATATATAAATATAAATAATTACATCCTAATTTTTTTTATCCATATTTTATACACCTACCTACCTTTTATATACTTTCATAAAAAGCTGTTGCTTTGACAATAAGCTTCAAGTGTACTTATTCACAGAGATACATTATATGTTTGTACATATACGTGGCGAAGTTTTTTGTATTTTTTGTACGAAATCATCTATTCTTAAAATTTTAGTGTAATTTTTTTTTTTACTTTTATTACTTAATATAGAGGGTGATGAAAATAATATAATCGAATAATATAATACATATGTATGAGAATCATTACATACACATAGGGCAGTGAAAAACTCACTTCACACATACAGGGTTACTACAGTTCTAAAAATATTGTGAATAGACTCTAATCTCCTTTCGGCTTTACAAGTAGTTTTGTAACACCCTATATACATGTTATATAGATAATAAACACCCAGACATAGAGACACCTCTTGTGAGTCCGCACGGGTAGGTACCACCGCCCTGCCAATTTCTGCCGTGAAGCAGTAATGCGTTTCGGTTTGAAGGGCGGGGCAGCCGTTGTAACTATACTTGAGACCTTAGAACTTATATCTCAAGGTGGGTGGCGCATTTACGTCGTAGACGTCTATAGGCTCCAATAACCACTTAACACCAGGTGGGCTGTGAGCTCGTCCACCCAAATAAGCAAAAAAAATTTAGCCCGATGTGGGAATCGAACCCGCGACCCTCTGCGCGGCTGTCGGGACACTTACTTGAGGACTTGCTCGGTGGCGTGCGCCCTGGCGTATTTGAGGTGCGCTTGGTAGGTCGCGAGGTGGGAGAACACCTTGTTGCACTCCTCGCACTCGTACCGACTCTTGCTCTTGTGCCTCTGGACGTGGTACTTCAGTTGCGTGGACCTCACCATCTTGTGGCATATCGGGCACTCGTCCCGCGGTAACGGACCGTCGTGCAACCTTGAGAGATAATGTGGGTACTTGAAAAAAAATAATGGCACTTTTATATATGTATATGTATAAAAGTGCCATTTTTTTTTCTGGTGGTCCCGCAGTAGCCGAAATTAGCCGACTATAATTAATTGGAATTATAAGTTTGAACATTATTCTGTGTGTGACAGATTTCGCCAAGAAAGATAAACAATATTAACTTAATCTCAATTTGACTACAGACTTTAAGCAATAACCAAAGTTTGACAATAAACAAACAGTATGTGTGTGTGTGTGTGTCAAATACATTGTAGTGTGTGTAATGTTTTCATTATTGATTTAATGTATTATTTATGCATAATTTAAAAAAAAAATTAACATTCTGCACTCCTTCTCTATATTCTCTATAAGTGTGGAAAATTTCATACTCCTCCGTCCGCGCAATTTTCGTAAAAAGGGATACAAAGTTTCTGCTTCACGTATTAATATATAGATAGATATATGAAGATGTATCTTATGTTAGATGCTGGCTATAATTACTTGAGATGGGTGACCAATGTGGATTTGTTCACGAAGGTTTTCTTGCAGTGGTCACACTGGAGGCCCTCCCGGTGGTACCTCGCGACGTGGGTCTTGCGAGCCCTGGTGCTCCTGCGGGGTCAAAGCATTTACGGTCACAGTAAATCGTCGTGGCCTAAACGATAAGACGTCCTGTGCATTCGTATGTAGCGATGCACCGGTGTTCGAATCCCGCAGGGGGGTACCAATTCTTCTAATGAAATACGTACTTAGCAAATGTTCACGATTGACTTCCTCGGTGAAGGAATAACATAACATGTAATAAAAAAGAAACCCGCAAAATTATAATTTGCGTGATTACTGATGGTAGGATCTCTTGAGTCCGCACGGGTAGGTACCACCACCCTGCCTATTTCTGCCGTGAAGCAGTAATGCGTTTCGGTTTGAAGGGCGGGGCAGCCGTTGTAGCTATACTTGAGACCTTAGAACTTATATCTTAAAATGCATGGCACATTAACGTTGTAGATGTCTATGGTCTCCAGTAACCACTTAGCACCAGGTGGGCTAAAAATATATATCACGTCAAAATATTTCTAAAATCACTTATTAGTTCGGTTTTACTGATTAAATATTATATTTTGTTTTGTTTTTATATTTAAATTACTTTTAATACCTACTTGCTCGGCGGCGTAATAAATTAGCATCATGCATTATTTTTAATAGTACCGGTCCGTGTGTAATAACTGTAACCGTGTAACTATACTTGAGACCTCAGAACTTATATCTCAAGGTGGATGGCGCATTTACGTTGTAGATGTCTACGGGCTCCGGTAACCACTTAACACCAGATGGGCTGTGAGCTCGTCCACGCATCTAAGCAATAAAAAAAAAACTCTTTTACAATAAATAATACGAATTACTCACTTAAAGAACATGTCGCATTCCAGGCACTTGTATCCCTCTATGGTGGTCTTGGACAGCAGCCTCCTCAGATCTCCGGGTTTGGCGGGCGGCGCTGCCTTCTTCGTCGCTTCCTGCTTTTTCTTCCTACCCTACGATGAAATAAATTAGGTTACATACTACATGCAAACATCAGCCTACATGTGAGCCCTTAAGGAATCGGTACTAGAACTTCTAAAAAATATATAATATGGACTAAATTATTGTGCTAGCTTCAATTCAAAAACTTGTTTCAGAGTGAAGGAAAGAGAAAGAAAATATGGGCGTGTATTACTCTCTCTCTCTCTCTCTCTAACCCCTACAATCATCATCACATAGTATAAAACAAAGTCGCTTTCTCTGTCCCTACATCCCTATGTATGCTTAAATCTTTAAAACTACGCAACGGATTTTGATGCGGTTTTTTTTAATAGATAGAGTGATTGAAGAGGAAGGTTTATATGTATAATAACATCCATTAAATAGTGGAGACATCAATAATAAATTACAGTTTCAAAAGCGAAGCGAGGGCGGGTCGGTAGTAATATCTAAAACTTAACTCTCTCTTTATCTAATATATAAATCTACAGTGGTTTTTACGGATGTTCCGTTATAACTACTGAACCTTTCATCCGATTGACTTGAAACTTGGTATCCATGTAGAAAATACATGTACTTAATGGATAGGCTAATATTTATGTGAGTGTTGGACTCCCTAATAATAATGACAATAAATAATAATGTTAATTTGAAATGCAAAGCGAAACGGGCGAGTACGGCTAGTAACTTATATCTCCCTGTCAACTTCCGTTCGTCTCGCCCGATCACACTTTTCGTAACGCTCTCGTTACGCACTCACAATCTTACTCCCCAAGTCAAACGTGCGTAAAGAAGTTTAACTTCAAAAACGGTTCGACTAAAGAAAGTAAAGGTGATGTCCACTGCGCGGTCAGTACGTAGCGTACCATATATTGGAATAGAATATGGACAAATCTGGGTTGTTACAATGCTTTTGTGAGATTTAAATTTACGCAAATTACAATTTTGCGGGTTTTATTTTTATTAAACGTTACGTTATCTCTTCACACTGTGGAAGTCAATCGTGAACACATTTGTTAAGTACGTATTTCATTAGGAAAATTGGTACCCACCTTGCGTAATAACTGGTGGTACTCAAGGTGTTTGGCGCATTTACGTTGTAGATGTCTATGGGCTCCAGTAACTACTTAACACCAGGTGGGCTGTGAGCTCCACACATCTAAGCAATAAATATAAAAAAGGTACATGCAATTTGTATCATGTACATACAAATGCACCGGACGTCTCTACCTTTAGGCCACGACAACTTTGTGTGTAAAGAAGTTGAACTTCGTAAACGGTTCCACTAAAGTTGGAACGCGACGTCCATTGCTCGGTGTGCGTACCTTGCTGCCGAAGGGCCCCAGGTCCCCGATCCTGATGACGTTGCTGGGCACCCTGGTCTCGGCGTGGCCGGCCACGTGGATCATCATGATGCCGCGGCTCTGCTCCACGTGGCCGCACAGGTTGCACACGTGCTTCATGTAGTGCGAGTCCACGTGCGAGGTCAGCTTCGACTCCTCCACGTACACGTAGCATATCCGGCACGCCAGGGTGCCCGGCTTCTGCGGGTACAGTGAGGACCTATAGGCACCACTGCGCTGATGTTCCTACTGGTTTCGAGAGCAGGGCAACCCTTGTGCTATAGAACTAACATATACAGCTGTTCCGGCTAGCTGCTGACAGAAATGAATATAGGAAGCTAACGGTCAACCTTCAAGACTGAAGAGGCACTGGAAGAAGAAGAAGAAGAATACAGCTCATAGATGGGTGGTGTCTTTTTCGTCTACCTAAGCTGATAGCCTTGAGAGGCTATATCAGCGAAACCTTAACTAGTAGGTGAGCTCACGGGACTCAAACCTGACGACGTTGCTAACACGAACCCTGGCAAGAGTCGTGCTTCGCAGAATCTACCACCGGATCGGAAACGCGACCCACTGACAAGATCCGGCGAGAAACTCAGTGGGCTGTGTCTGTGGGTTAATTTACTCGCCGAGCCCTTCGTCGCAAGCGACGGGTTCGACGAGGACGCTGACCGGGAAACATACGAGCTAAAATCCCTTAAGGTTATTAGCAGTAGGTAGATAGAAGCATTTTGATGCGAACTGAGGGATTTTAACAGCTTCATCTTTGCTTGGACTAGCTCACGGGTGCCCATGGACATCACGAATGCGCCGTTGCGGTATTCATCACTCACGGCGCGGTGGCAGGACACGAAGTGATCCTTGATGAGCTGCTGGCAGTAGAAGCCCAGGACGCACAGCTCGCACTTGTACACGGAGCTGGCGTAGCTGACCTTGTCCTTGAGTTCCTCTCTGGAAATAAATGAATGAATGAATGAATAGTATCATTGAAACATACCTGAAATTAACAAAACCAATCAAATAAAAAAGATACATTCATTAAAAATAATTATCAGTTGAATACATTTACTTCGAACCATTATTATTATTATAATTATAATAATATTAATATTATAAAGATGAGATCGTTTCAATAGAGGGGGGAGGGCAGACACCGTCCCCGCAGCCACCGGGGGACAGTGTCCGGCTATTGACCCAATTGGCGATTTGACTACCGTAACTTCTCGATCGAGCGGCAGAATCGAATCCCCCCCCCCCTCCACTTTTCCCCCAATCCGAGCACGTTTCCTCCCTATTCCAACGGAACTTCGATCATGTGTCTGAGCATCTTTTTTTTATTTTTATTGCCTAGGTTTGTGGACGAGCTCACGGCACACCTGGTGTGAATTGGTTACCGGAGCCCATAGACAACTACAACGTAAATGCCGCCATCCATCTTGAGATATAAGTTCCAAGGTTTCAGTATAACGGCTGCCCAACCCTTCCAACCGAAACGCATTACTGCTTCACGTCAGAAATAGGCAGGGCGGTGGTACCTACCCGTTCGGACTCACAAGAGGTCCTACCACCAGTAATTACGCAAATTATAATTTTGCGGGTTTCACTTTTATTACACGATGTTATTCCTTCACCGTGGAAGTCAATCGTGAACATTTGTTGAGTACGTATTTCATTAGAAAAATTGGTACCCGCCTGCGGGATTCGAACACTAGTGCATCGCTCGATACGAATGCACCGGACGTCTTATCCTTTAGGCCACGACGATATATATCCGAGACGAGTTAAGTAAGTACCTGTAAGCCAGCATCTGACTCTCGGACATGTATTCGATTTTATAGCCCGCATGCGTTATATCCACTCTCTCGATTTTCGGCCTTTGGACCACGATGGTGTCTTCTTGTGTTGTCGTTAGGGGACTGAAAAATATAAGATATTATTCGATTTTAAAGGCACCGGAAGACGCATGGGGGGCAAATATTATTATTAGTGCAGTCCTTCTTTATATTCTCTACAAGTGTGGGAAATGTCATACTCCTCTGTCCGCGCAATTTTCGTAAAAATGGTACAAAGTTTTTGCTTCACGTATTAATATATAGATTATTACTTCATTAAGTAATTCCAGAACATTCCCTTTTACTATTCCCGCATTATAACATGCTTTATGAAGAAGGATTGAAAAGTTAACTCAGTACAACACCTCTTGATTATATCTCACACAACCCTGGACTGAACTCCTTTTAGGTGTAGCAGACTAACTTTTTATTCTTCTGAGTCGTACACTCCTGGCAGAGTGGTCGTGGTTATGTATGTCTTATTGTTTGGTTGCGGATTTTGTGAGACTTCTCCATCTCTCTCTTTTTATGGCGGTACGTGTACATTCAGTAAGAAAACACTTCTAACCAAGGAGAGGAGGAATATTGTGTTATTTTTTTTTATTACTTGAATTATGTGATTTATCTATCAATAAATAAATTTGGTTAATTAGGACTAAGGAGACTAACTTAACAGATTCGATAACAAACAAACCTCATTGTCAAATGCGGTATTCCATCAGTTTTTATATTATTTTCATACTCATCGACTGTTGTCAACTCGTCAGTTCCCACAACGATATGCGACATCACATCCGACACTGGTCCCCCCAACACGAATTCAGGAACTGGAAAAACGAACAGACGCATCAGTTGACCAAGTATTTGTTATATGAATAAAATAATAATAATAATAACAATATAACTCTTTATTTAACATCATATTATGTACAGAGTAAACTAATAAAACAAAAGTCGGTGATATAAATCGGCGGCCTTATCGCTGAAGGCGATCTCTTCCAGGCAACCTTGCAGGCAGAGGAATAAGTTAACTGAACAGTGCTATATCTTAATAAACTTACATAACAATATATACTTTATATACACATGTGAAAAATAAATACCATATAAGATAAACTTACATACGATTAAATACAAATAAATACTAAAAATATACAAAATAAAATACAAAAGAAGTAGGAACTTAAACAGTTATATCATAGGAGCCATATTATTGTGCAAAGTAGTGCGATTTCAATCTGGACTTGAAATTTTCCGGCGAGGACGATTGTTTGACGCTTAAGGGTAATGCATTCCATAAACGGACTGCTTCAACCGCAAAGGAATGGTCATAAAATGACGTCCCGTGAGCCGGAAACTTCAGAATTAAATTCTCCGATGATCTAAAATATGGTATCATCAGTTTTTTTTCCTAACTAACCTGGTAACCTATGGTGTTATACCAGTGTAACCAAGCGAGTATGTAATCTCACAGGGCTCTAACATGAGGTTGTTGCTAAGACTATCCTTAGCAAGAGCAGTGCTTCGCAGAATCTATCATTAGTACTGAGGGTTTGGGGTACTGTAAGTTTTGTACTATTAATGCATAATTTTTTTATGTTATCCGATAAAATTAAGACAGCCACCTCAAGTGTCGAGTTAACATAACAACAATGTAATGTCTATTAGCTCCAAATTTCACTTATGTAGAATACACACTCACCTTCCAGAATATGGTCTTCGATTTGAAGATTGATATTGTCTCTGACAGCGGTAACCATGTCATAATGCTCACTCTTAACGTCCTCGGAGTTCGTGATGGAGATGTACTGGGTGTCGTCTCCGCCAAAGGTGAAGTCGAAGAATATTTTGTCGTAATCACACTTTGACGAGACATCCAGTGATGATAATGGCTGCGGGAGATAGGTGTGATCCAGGGTCTGTGGGATTTCATTATAGCATCATCATTATTATAAACATTAGAAGATTAATAACACTAAGCCTTCGGTGTCTGGTGTGAGTCTTTTCATACCATATAGTTGTTTATTTTATTACTTATATTAGTGGAAGAGCTAAAGGCCCATCTGTTGCTAAGTGATTACCGGAACCTATATACATCAAATCAACAATTTAAATACCGTCATGCACTTTGAGACATGAATACGAAGTCTCAGTTTTCAGTAAAATGGCTTCCATACTTTTCAACCCTTAATAAATTGCTACTCCACAGTAGAAATAGGCAGGGTGGTGGTACGTACCCGTAATTACCAACAGTTTTGCACAATGCATTAATTAGTTTTTGGGGGTTTGATTTATATTACACAATGTTTATTTCTTCACTGTGGTAGTAATTCGGCAACTTATATTAAGTATGTATTTGACTAAATGGAGGTCGTATTCAGATTAAGATGTCCATGGGATCCACTTCACTGAAATAACTGGAATGCACTTCATAATAGGTAAACAGTGAGCTATTCTACCCACCTAGATAAATAAAACTGGGTTTTTTGAGAGAGAGAGAGAGAGAGAGAGAGTATTCTTTATTGTACACCAGAAAACAAATAAACAGTGCGATACATTAAACACAAAAAAGTACAATTGGCGGTCTTATCGCTAAGAGCGATCTCTTCCAGACAACCATCAGGTGGACAAGAGTCATTTGGAAACGAACTACACGCGGTGTACCATTCCAGTGAAATACATATACATATATGTACATACACATGCATACACACATACATATCTCCGTAAATATACATACAATTAATATACAAAGTATTATAATATAATAGTAATTATTAAAAATAAAAAAATAATTAAATTTTGCTTCTTTACACATAAATAAGAATAAGCAATTTACATATAAAAGATACTTAAAATACATTTGAAATATATACAATTGAAGTAGAGTTTTGATCCTTTACATTTAAATATAGTTTAAATTAAAATGAAATAATAATAATTAATAATTAGATAGATCGTTTAATATAGCAAATATAGGTTTGAGAGAAATGTTTCATGGATTTTGCACACTAATCTAAAGCATTTAGGCAGCGGCTTGGCTCTGCCCCTGGCATTGCTGAAGTCCATGGGCGACGGTAACCACTCACCATCAGGTGAGCCGTATGCTCGTCTGCCTACAAGGGCAATAAAAAATATATATATATATACTCACTTCCTGTGACTGGTTCACTCCTTTGACCTTCAAGTGCTCCTGTGCATTGTGCACCTGCCATTTGAATTTCAGGAACTTCCTCATAATTGCTAAGCACTCCCAGCAGACGAGCTGCTCAGTATCTTGAACCGAATCTCCCATCTAGACACAATATAAAAAAAAAAAACATAAATAACCAATGTAGGTAGCCTTAAAGTTGATCTAATACTTTCTTCAGGTTTTTGCAAAGAAACATGGACAAAATCAGAACCACCATTATGGTCTGATCTCTTTTTTTTATTATCATTATTTCCAACAGTCAACAGCAGTCAACAGTAACACAAAAACCATTAAGTATTTGAAACACCAAAAATAATATAGCGATGATATTATTACAAAAAGATACCGCAATATTAGTTTGATTGATTTCAACATTATTGAATAAATTTTACTCATGCAGTATCGTGAAAATGTAAAACAATCTAAAAATAATTTATGAGCATCTCACATCTTCCTGTGTTCAAGAAAGTACTGACATACAGTATAATAACAATCACAGAAGAAACAAATACAGACAAACCACAATATTTTAATTTTAATCATTTAATTTGTGGTAGGACCTGTTGTGAGTCCGCAAGGGTAGGTTTTTTTTTTTTTATTGCTTAGATGGGTGGACGAGCTCACAGCCCACCTACGAGGTCCTACCACCAGTGTTCACGCAAATTATAATTTTGCGGGTTTGATTTTTTTTAAAACACAATGTTATTCCTTCACCGTGAAAGTCAAACGTTTGTTAAGTACGTATTTCATTACAAAAATTGGTACCCGCCTGCGGGATTCGAACACCGGCGCATCGCTACATACGAATGCACCGGACGTCTTATCCTTTAGGCCACGATGACTCCACAGGTACCACCACCCCGCCTATTTCTGCCGTGAAGCAGTAATGCGTTTCGGTTTGAAGAGTGGGGCAGCCGTTGTAACTATACTTGAGACCTTAGAACTTATATCTCAAGGTGGGTGACGCATTTACGTTGTAGATGTCTATGGGCTTCAGTAACCACTTAACACCAGGTGGGCTGTGAGCTCGTCCACCCATCTAAGCAATTTTTTTTGTTTTTTCTTTTCCTACCTAAGCTGATAGCTTTGAGAGGCTATGGCAGCATAACCGTGCGAGTAGGTGAGCTCACGAGGCTCAAACCTAACGAACGACAGGACTATAGATATGCCAGGGACTATAGAGTCACTGTCTACAATAAGCCAAATATATTACATAAAATAATAAATTCAACTGGTCATCAAATAAACCATATGGTCTGCAGATCAGTTAATAGCCACTAGAGCAGCTGGACAATCTGATTAAATTTGAACTAATAATTCAACTTTGTAGTAAAGTTCACAGATGTGTGATAATAGACTAACTCGCTATAGTATATGATAGAGGAGTATGAAGGGTGAAAACATGTTGCGCTGATTACAGGTAACTGGGAGAGGGGCAGGAGAATGATGATAATGATGATGAGACTGACCGGCTATGAAACTAAAATGTCGCTTTTAAAATCCTCAAGCTACAAATGCTCAATGCTCATATAACATCTGACTTAATAATACCCTTAAATGTCGCTGGACAGCTCTTAACGGCCATCCTCAATCTTTCGAGAAATAAACGGACTGTATTGGTCCAGTATGTATGGTATTATCCTGTATATTTACTTTATTTATTATGGAAACCAACAGCCCAAAAACAAGCATATAATATTTTAGAAAAAGAGCTAAAGCAAAGACGAAACAAATACAAACTAAAATTAAAGAATATTTAATACCATTAAATTTAATTAAGTAAAAAATTTAAATTACGGTCGTTTCGGTCTACATTTCCCCTCGGATATAGGTATAATTGATAAAAGACTGAACATCTAACATACTAATTACAACATAGAGGGAACAGGATAATCTTAGCCAATGTTTTTTTTTTTTTTGAAAAAAACATTACTTACAGCTTCACCCGCGAAATCGAACATCAACAAACGAAAAATATGATACACTTCTTGGGTGTTATTCAAAGCGAATAGTTTACGGTCACCACACAAGCATGTACTGCAGATGATTTTAAAGTTATTGTCGACGTCTTGCTCCATTTTAATTGAAAATAACTTTTATTAAAACTGGGGTTTTTTGAATTTATTATTTCGATATCAAAACAAAAAGCTATACTCCCATTTGAAATTGCCAAATTTTCTTGAATAGATTTCAACTTAATTATGACACTACAAAATGGCTGCTTTACCCAGTGTTGCTAGATCCTATCATTATGAAATAATGTCAAAACTTTAGAAAATTGAAGTCGCCGTGGCCTAAAGGATAAGTCGTCCGGTGCATTCGTGTTGAGCGATGCACCGGTGTTCGAATCTCGCAGGCGGATACCAATTTTTTTAATTAAATATGTACTTATCAAATGTTCACGATTGACTTCCACGGTGAAGGAATAACATCGTGTAATAAAAATCAAACCCGCAAAAATTATAATTAGCGTAATCACTGGTGGTAGGACCTCTTGTGAGTCCGCGTGGGTAGGTACCACCGCCCTGCTTGTTTCTGCCGTGAAGCAGTAATGTGTTTCGGTTTGAAGGGTGGGGCAGCTGTTGTAACTAAAATTGAGACCTTAGAACTTAAATCTCAAGGTGGGTGGCGCATTTACGTTGTAAATGTCTATGGGCTCCAGTAACCACATAACACCAGGTGGGCTGTGAGCTCGTCTACCCATCTAAGCATTAGCAATTCCATTAATTAACCTGTAGCATTTTCGTAGTATATCACGACATCAGAAATAAGTTTTTTCATCGTTTTTATCTTTAAAAATTGAGAATTTCTAATTAAAGTGAAAAACAGTTTGCAATTTTTTATAAATACATATATCAATATCAACAAATTATAAACTGCATACGTTTACAGAAAAGAAAGTGACCACGATACACAGTCACACGTTACGCATGTTAACGTGTGCTGAATTGTGTTCATTCTACTAATCTTGCAAAACATCCTAGTAGTTTTTGGGGAGGTCGTCGAAAAGTGATTGTTTAGTAACGCCTAGCAATTAATTAAAAATTTCAAGCCAAATGAAGTTCATCTAGGGTCTATTTAATTGAAAAATACGCTCGAGGCATTAGTGATTCACTTAGAAGTAGTGTTGGACTTTGTGGCCGCTTCAAATTTAACTTTACCTAACTTTATTTAATATTATTATTAACTACCATAAACCCACATACAACGAGTCAGTTTAGTTGGTGGGACATCGCAATGTAGCAACACGGCAGTATATCTTAGACGGTTTGCCATGCTGAAATATTTTAGGTTTTAATCCGGTTGTGTTTTTACGACAGGCTTAAAGTTATTTAAATTCAGCTTTTCAGCGTTTGTGTGTATGTTAATTAGAATAAAACATACTATAATATGTACGCCACAACATGTTGTCTATGATTCAGATTTATTTGAAAAGTCAGATGTCGAGCCAGATGTCTTGGCTTTGATAAGCTATGTGCAAAACATGTTAAAGTGTAATATCTATCGTGGACTATTTGGCGGGAACGCGAGGAGTGAAGTTGTGTGATTTGTTTTATTTTGTCTATTTAGTATTCCTTCAGGTTTAAATGCGTAATAACGGTAATTTATTAACTGTTTACTATCTGTGAAAGTGCACAAATGTGGAAAAAGAAAATAAAGCCGCTAGACGTAGCTTCTTGGGATCCTCCAAAAAGTCTACTGCAAAACCCTCAGTAAATGACCACCATTTTACTGAGATAATATTTCATCCCATATTATCTCATTTCATTTCATTTCACTTCTTAATGTCATTTTTTATATAGGTATACAATAATAATAATAAATATTTATAAAAGATTAGGCTGTATGGTTTGATACCTTGCCTATTCAGTTGGAAAAATAAAACTACTACTACTACTACTATCTATGGTATTGTCTGTATGGTATAAATCCATTGTCTTTTTCTTCGAGAAAAACCCTACTACCACTATCTATGGTGCAAAATATGCTTGTTGTGTAAATAGAAACAATGTTTTCAGGCCGTGAGGCCCAATTCAATATTAAGTGTTTAATCTATGGCCCAACTTTAGCAAAGTTTACGTAAAAACGGACCAGTAGCTCTAAAATTACGACGTTTTTTGATTCTCATCAATTACTAAAACATTTTCAGTGTCACAAAAAACAGAATGTGAAAGCTTATATTTGTTAGTTCCATATCAACAGAAAAATAAATAAAAACACGTTAGGAAATGATAATTTTTAATTGGAATCACGTTCATCAAGTCTAAGAGAACCATATAAAAATAACAATTCACTATATTATACTATTAATAAAATACCAAAAATGAATGTAAAAAAACCTTCTAATTCTTCGAATAAACTTTGCGTGCTGTGTCTCTGTGTGGGGCGGTCTCTCAATGTTGTCCCAGAAGACAAGATCCTGAAATACTACGTGGACTCTCTGCGAGAGATACCTGTAAGTTTCTGAAAAAACCGTTATGTTTCATTAATTTAAAAAAATATCTCGTATGGCACTCGGGGACTGCTGCGGTAAAGCTATTGCGTAGCATTTTTAATCAACTTATGTAATTATAATTAGACAATAATAATTTAATATTAAAACAATAATAATAAAATAAGACCACGCTTTATTCATAAACAATAACAATAGCAAAACATTAACTGTCCCCTTCACACTCATAAGCGCAAGAAAGAGACGGGCAGACATTTCATAATGCGCATGCAGTGTGACGTCACGCTGTGCGCTTATTCACAAACTCTACAAGCGCAACGTGTGAATGTGTTGAACGCGAGCTACATGGTAGGCAGAGTGGAGGGGTGATATCTTTTATTTCGTTACTGAATTTCTTGATTCGGTCGCCGCGCTCAAAGCCCGCGATAAAAGCTATGCAATAGCTTAAAATCCATTCAAAAAAAAATTACAACATCTTTGTCTTCGTTGTTTCGTCTTTTAGATATTGGATATTAGATATTAAATATCAGATGTTAGATATAGATATAGATAAACTTAATGGAGATATTAACACTTTACCATCTGGCTATGGTTGGGGCTTACTGATTCAAGGACTGTACGGTCTGGATGGCAATACCAATCCGATCTGGCCTAAATGAGACTAATTACATAAATAGGAGCTGCAGCTTACTGGCTATAACTTGCCCATAGATATCAACAACTGAAATGCAGCCTCTCACCTTGAGATATTACTTCTCAGTTCTGTATTGATATGTCTGCCCAAGTCTTCGAACTGAAATGCATTACTGCTTCATGGCAGTATGAGGCAGGGTGCTGATACCAATACAGACTCACAAAACTCCCTACCACCAGTATGAAATAATTATCAGATATAAGCTTCTATTTCTATTTTTTTTATGATATTGTTCTTTTTCCTACCTATGCTGATAGCCTTGAGAGGCTATTTCAGCTTCACTCTGACTTGTGTAGGTGAGTTCACGGGGCTCAAACCGGAGTGTTGCTAACACTGACACTAGCACACTGGATCAGAAACGCGACCCACTGAGAAGATCCGGCAAGAAACTCAGTGGGCTGTGTCTATGGGTTAATTCGCTCGTCGAGCCCTTCGTCGCAAGCGACGGGTTCGACGAGGACGATGACCGGGTTGGTATTGAAGATAAGATGTGTATGACATGGACAATGATGAGATGTAATTTTTTCAGTTACATAGAGTATCATCAGTTCTACCAGTGTGTTGGGAGTGCGAAATACTGCTGAAGAGGGCTGTACAGCTCAGAGAGCAGGTCCAGGATTCTCACAGGATACTGCAAACTAACACTAAAAAGGTGACCGCATGTTAATTTTGGTGTTCATCACAAAATAGTTGTAACGGGTTAAATGGAAAACAAAATAATAGATTTTTACCTATGGAGTTGTAGTTCCACAATATATAAATACTTGAACCATTGTACCATGGTTCACTTGCGGACTAAAAAATAATAATAATAATAATAATAATGGTTGGTTTGATGTAAGTATCAGTTGAATGGAATATTTTAAATGTATTCAACTGATAATTATTTTTAATAAATGTATCTTTTTTATTTGATTGGTTTTGGTAATGTTTAGTATGTTTCAATGATACTATGTACACATAATATGGACTTGTTGTTATTGTCTGCAATAAAATAAATCATTCATACAATACTGACCATTTGAAACATAATTTATGTGTGGCTGGCAATCAACTCTAAATTCAAATGAATCTTATTTAAAAGAACCTGCAGCACTGAGTAACACAGTCCTTTGTTTATTAGATCCTGGTTCACCACCTAGCCAGTAGTGACCCAAACGAAAACTTACCCCTAAACAAACGGTGTACGTGTGCAACTTAGTACGCATAAAAGAAGTGAGACTTCTTTTGTTGTGTGTAATATTGTGGGTTTCTTCATTTTTCATAATTAAATCAATTTTTTCTTGTAATGGGGAATGCTGTTTATAAGAGAAACGACCTTTTCACCATTTATATATATATGTTAAATTATGTATAGAAAAATTAAAAACCTTTTTTTTAATCCTTGATTAAAAACAAAATATTAGTTAGTTAATATGTTACTGCCATCTACAGGAGCAATGAGAAACTAATAACAAACCATCTAGTGGCCGACGCCCGTAAACAGAATGTGTATAAGAGTAATGAATTATCTCGCTTTCTGCTTCTCTCCGCTGTCAAGTGGTTCGCGAGACGCTCTACCTATTTTCTCACTCTCGCTCTTCCTAAATTGTATATTTTCTATCTAGCCATAACGAATCTGCTGAATCTGTCGATGTTTTTTAGAGCCGGTTAAATTTTACTCTCAACGTGCCTAAAGAAGTTTCACTTCAAAAAGTAAAAGTCACTGTTAGGTGGTTTAGTGCTCATATAATGTTACCATCTTCCTCGTGGTATAAGGACGAAGTTCCAACTGTCCATATATAATGGATATCATGACTTCGAGATTAGATTCCATGAGACAAACGGGATGTTGCCGTCGACCCGTTCTTGATCGATACTCATCAACGTTGAGGGAGAGAGTGACAGAGATAGAGTGAACGAGAAAGAGATGAATTTCTTAGCAATCCATGGTTTCGAGATGCGAGTCTCAGTGGAATTGCAGACGCAAGACTACCTGCGGATTAGCGAACCTTGTCCAGGTTCAAGCCCCCTATAAACTCGCATTACTCTCACCTTAATTCTCCCCCTTGAGATGTGACACCGAATCCTCAATCTGCATTGTTGTCTCCTCAAAAGTACAACGAACAAAAGGCATTAATGTTTTCAGTATATAAACAAACATTTACCGACTGAAGTGTCAAGGAAGTCATGTTTGAAGACCACCAAGAACGAGCCCATCGCGATATCGCCGAAACTGAATTGTTCTAGAAGATCAAATGCTCGTGTACGTTTTAAAGATGAAGCTGAAAACGAAGGAAAAACGAAGAATCGTCGAGAATCTTCTACCCTCAACCCCCCAGACGGTGACCATTATTTATCAAAAACAAACAAAAAATTACGATTAAGTTTCTTAACCCCAGATCGGCTATTACAAAACAATGGCCATAATAATATGGCCCATATTTGAGGCCACCAGCGCAAAAGTGGCCTAAGCTTACCTGAGCTTACTATAGTGAGTATGGATACAATGAGGTCTGAATTTACTTTTACACTGCCTCATAGGCAAAAACAAAATGCGCCAAAATAATGGTGACAAAGCCATCTGCTATCTATGGGCGAAACTAGGGATAGGCCGATTTTGCATCAATATTTACTATGTTTTAAATAAATTGCAATATAGTAGAACCACGAATATGAAAAAATGTAGAATATGCCACTTTTGCGCTGACGGCCACATTTTTAGGATTAGCGATCGATGTTTACACTAGTCGACTGGTATGTTCTATGGGTGAAACAGGTTGTGTTTCACGCAAAACTTTCATCCAAAGTTAATGTGGGTAGTACACAAAAAAATAATTAATTCATTAAAGACAAAAATACAAAATCGGAAATTAAATTGGAGCTCAATTTAAATTTCATTTAAAAACAATACAAACCAATATAAAAATCCGACATTTAAGAGAAAAAAAGGACAGTTTTATAAAATGAAATAAAATAAAAAACTGTCCTGCCAAAAACAGTATGAATGGTAGCTTTATCCCACATTACTTGGAGTCAAGTAGCAGTAAGATCAAGCAACCAATAAAAAATGTGCGGTGAGTCATCTAGGGAATCAAAAATATAATTGTAATTTACAGTGATCCAAGAATTCATTAGTTCTGTTGATCACCAACAACAAGATAACTTGGCAAACGTCAAGAGTGTGCCGAAGAGGAAACCTCAACGTCGGGCTCAGAAGAAATCAAAGACAAAGAGTAAGATAAGTTTGGACAAAGAGGTAAGTGGCGACAACCCTATTCGTTAAGGTTGTCTCGACGCTAAGAAAGTCTTTGTTCTCAGTTAGAAGACATCACAATCACGTGACATTGTATATATTAATGTAAAAGCTGTCAAAGAATTTTATATGGTGGGGTTTTTTTTTTTAATATTTATTGCATCGGCCGGTGAACATACTTAGTGTCTGAGTGGTTACAGAAGTACATAGACATCCACTTAAATTATAAATTTGAAAGTGTGTTTGTTTGTTTGTCCTTCTTTCACGTTGAAACGAAGCAACGACAACAGACTAAGATGTTTATAAAGTGACCGTATTAGGTCAGGAGAGTGACATGGGTCCTATCCCGAAAAAGCATCTAATTCTCACGGGAACTTACACTGACGCTGTTGAACAGCCAGTAGCAACGTAAATGTCGCCACCCAAGTTGAGACATGAGTTCTGAGTCTCAGCTCTACAGTACATCGGCTGCCCCGCCCTTCAATACCGAAACGCGTCACTGCTTCACGGCAGAAATAGGCAGGGCGGTGGAGCCTACCCGTGCGGACTCACAAGTCGTTCTACCATCAGTAATACTAAAGTATTACTAAATATTACACGATGCTATTCCTTCATCGTGGAAGTCATTCGTGAACATATCTTAAGAGCGTATTTCGTTAAACAAATCGGTTACTATCTGCGGGATTCGAACCTTGGCACAGCCGCGTCGCTCTATACGAACGTACCGGCCGTCTTATCCCGCAGGTCACGACAACATCGAAGCACTGTTCGTTTATAATGTTTATTTTGTGTATTGTCTGTCTGTTGGTCACACAAACAAATTCTCCTTTCCCCCTCTCAGAAATTCACCGAGTGCTTCCTCAATGAAGTGCCGCATGAAACGAGCGACATTTGCAATCCGACGGACGTACAGATCGTGTTTATGCAAAATGAAGATATAAATGAAAATTCCACCGAGTGCTTCCTCAGTGAAGTGCCGCATGAAACGAGCGACATTTGCAATCCGACGAATGTACAAATAGTGTCTGTACAAGATGAAAATATAAATGAAAATTCCACCGAGTGCTTCCTCAATGAAGTGACGCATGAAACGAGCGATATTTGCAATCCGATGAATCCACAGATCGTGTTTGTGCAAAATGAAGATATAAATGGAAATTCCACCGAGTGCTTCCTCAATGAGGTGCCGCATGAAACGAGCGACATTTGCAATCCGACGGACGTACAGATCGTGTTTATGCAAAATGAAGATATAAATGAAAATTCCACCGAGTGCTTCCTCAGTGAAGTGCCGCATGAAATGAGCGACATTTGCAATCCGACGAACGTAGAGATCGTGTTTGTGCAAAATGAAGATATAAATGAAAATTCCACCGAGTGCTTCCTCAATGAAGTGCTGCATGAAATGAGCGACATTTGCAATCCGACGAACGTAGAGATCGTGTTTGCACAAGCTGAAGATATAAATGAAAATTCTGGGCGCGGTGAGTGTAACGATGTTAGGTTCAAGCCGATAACTTGAATACTCTACTAGGTGGATTCAGCAACACATCTCTTGAGCCCCCTGAGTTTCTCGCCGGATCTTCGCATTGGGTCGCGATTCCGATCCGGTGGTAAATTGGTAAATTCTGCGAAGCTCTTGATATGTAGAGCCAATGTTAGCAAACTCTTTCAGGTTCAATTTAACTGTATAACATGGGCGTGCCAAACAGTCTCGTTCTCATCATCAAGTCCTCTTGTCAAACCGTTCGTGTCGGTATCGAGTCGAGGGACTCGTTCTCTCCCGTGGCATGTCGCAGCCGGAGTGCCACAAGACTTCGCTCGCTCCCCGATAGTTATTAGTATATTTATTAACTAAACCCCGGTCGCCGGTGACACAGTTAGCCCTTTTCGCGGATGATGCCATCTACAACTCGAGTATGAACATGTCGTTCATGCATAGTAAACTCCAGATCGCGTTTACCAATTTATAACATCAACACCACGAAAAGGACAGCTGTGCTTAAAAAAAAAGACTTCTACTAGTAGGATCTCGTCACAAATTAGGCGCGGTAACTCCATTCGTGCCATTAAAATCTTTGGCTGGCCCATACCGTGGGCTTCGAAGGCTAAGTACCTAGGCGTCCCCCTTCGACAGAGGAATGACATTCGGGCCCCACATTAAGTCAGTACGCGATCGAGCCGTATTCCTACTCAGTCGATTCTACCCCAAGGTCTGCGATGTAAATTGTCCCTTCTTATCAAGGTGACACTCTACATAACTTGCATTCGTTCCGTCGTGACCCATGCAAGGGTAGTGAATGAATGAATGAATGATTTATTTTATTTCAGACAACAATAAGTCCACATGTGTACATAGTATCATTGAAACATACTCAAAATTAACAAAAGCAATCAAATAAAAAAGATACATTTATTAAAAGTAATTATCAGTTGAATACATTTCAAATATTCCATTCAACTGATACTTACTTCGAACCAACCATTATTATTATTATTATTATTTAGTCCGTAAGTGAACCATGGTACAATGGTTCAAGTACCGACAGTCATAACGGTCTGTTACTGCCTTCATGATGCTGTTAGGGCTGACCCGGACCCGGCGAATCAGGGATGTGCACCTTTTCCGCATGGTCGTAAAGAAACAGTCGACTCGAGCCTCGGCGAACATTCCCGACGCGCTACAGAACCGAGGCAGCCCCAACAACACCCTGAACGCATTGTTGTATTAGACGCGTAAGGCGCTGTACTGCTTTTTACTATAGAGCACCCACAGGCTGCACGTATAGAAGGACGTACAAAACGCTCTAAATAGAGTAATTTTGACATCCCGCGAACATCGAGCGAACCTGCGGGCAATCATATTAGCTCTTACAGACAGCGCTCACACGGTCCGAACACACATTCACTCTCTCTAGGTTATCCAGTCCCGTTTCTACGGGATAGCTGTCGGAGCTCCGTGGTATGTGGGAAATGTTGAACATTACAACGACTTAAATTTAGTACCGATACGAAAGTTTCTTAAGAAAGCGTCAGAACGCTACTTCGACAAAGGAGCACGACACGAAAACCCTCTTATCGTGGCCAGATTCCCTCTCTGTGCTTGTTGACCTTTCAAGCACCAGTCACCGTCCTCGTCAAACTCGACGATAACGAACGTTCGACGATAGTTCGACGAGCGAACTAGCTCATCGACACAGCCCACTGAGTTTCTTGTCGGATGGTAGATTCTGCGAAGCACTGCTCTTGTTAGGACTAGTGATAGCAGATTCTCTCAGGTTGAGCTCGTGAACTCACCTACCCATCCGGGCGTAGTTGGAATAGCCTCTTAGGCTACTAGCGAATAGGTGGGTCTAAAAAAATTAAAAGAGATGCAAAACAAGATGGCGAGGACGGTTAAACGAGCGATATGTAAAAAATTATGTCCGTTAATTCTTAGTTATAAATAATAGGGAATTAACATATGTACATAGATTGCACTTTTATTTTACGCCCCATTCTACATATCTTTACGGCTATCACCCCAATTATTACATATAATAATATATAGGTACAAATATGACACATATAGGTTATGGGTAATGAAATGGCAAGGGGTCGGATGGACGTGTCGCAAATGGAAGTCCAAATGTTAGCGTAGATTTAAAAGATAAAGCCAAAAACGAAGGTAAGAAGCATCGTCAAGGATCATTCACTGTCTCTTATCTCACATTACGTGGAGTCGAGTAACCGATAAAAAAGGTGCGGTCAGCCATCTAGAGAATAAAAAAAATATATAATTTACAGTGAACCAAGATTTGATCAGTTCTGTTGATCACCAACAACAAGATGCCGTAGTAAACGCCAAGAGTGTGTTTAGGGAGAAATTCCAACGTTGGTCTCCAAAGAAATTGAAGACAAAGAGTAAGATAAGCTTGGACAAAGAGGTAAGTGGCGACAACCCTATTCGTTAAGGTTGTCTCGACGCTAAGAAAGTCATTGTTCTCAGTTAGAAGACATTCACAATCACGTGACATTGTACATGTTAATGTAAAAGCTGTCGAAGTCAACGAATTTTATTAGGTTTTTTTTAAATATTTACATATATCGTATAGACATCCACTTAAATTATATCTGTGAAAGTGTGTTTGTTTGTTTGTCCTTCTTTCGCGTTGAACATAGCAACGGCAACGGACAGAGATGTTTTTGAAAATGAACTGAAATTGAAATGACAGTATTAGGTCAGGAGAGTGACATGGGTCTTAACCCGAAAAAGCATCTAATTCTCACGGGAACTTACACTGACGCTGTTGAACAGCCAGTAGCAACGTAAATGTCGCCACCCAAGTTGAGACGTGAGTTTAAGTCTCAGCTCTACAGTACATCGGCTGTCCCGCCCTTCAAACCGAAACGCGTTACTGCTTCACGGCAGAAATAAGTAGGGTGGTTCTACCTACCCGTGCGGACTCACAAGACGTTCTACCGCCAGTAATTACGCTATTACTGAATATTACATGATGTTATCCCGCAGGTCACGACAACATTAAAGCACTGTTCATTTATAATGTTTATTTTATGTATTGTCTGTCTGTTGGTCACACAAACGAATTCGCCTTTACCCTTCTCAGAAATTCACCACATGCTTCGTCGATGATTTGCCGCGTGCAACGAGCGACATTTGCAATCCGACGAACGCACACAGCGTATTTGTACAAGATGAAGATAAAAATGAAAATTCTGGCCGCGGTGAGTGTAGCGATGTTAGGTTCAAGCCGATAACTTGAATACTCTACTAGGTGGATTCAGCAACACATGTCTTGAGCCTCCTGAGTTTCTCGACGAATCTTCGCAGCGGGTCGCGATTCCGATCCGGTGGTAAATTGGTAAATTCTGCGAAGCACTGCTCTTGATATGTAGAGCGAATGTTAGCAAACTCTCTCAGGTTCAATTTAACCGTATAACATGGGCGTGCCAAACATTCGTTCTCATCATCAAGTCCTCTTGTCAAACCGTTCGTGTCGGTATCGAGTCGAGGGACTCGTTCTCTCCCGTGGCATATCGCAGCCAGAGTGCCGCAAGACTTCGCTCTCTCCCCGATAGTTATTAGTATATTTATTAACTAAACCCCGGTCGCCGGCGACCCAGTTAGCCCTTTTCGCGGATGATGCTATCTACAACTCGAGTATGAACATGTCGTTCATGCATAGTAAACTCCAGATCGCGTTTACCAATTTATGACATCAACCCCACGAAAAGTACAGCTGTGCTCTTCAAAAAAGCCCTTCTACTAGTAGGGTCTCGTCACAAATTAAGCGCGGTAAGTCCATTCGTGCCATTAAAATCTTTGGCTGGCCCATACCGTGGGCTTCGAAGGCTAAGTACCTAGGCGTCCCCCTTCGACAGAGGAATGACATTCGGGCCCCACATTAAGTCAGTACGCGATCGAGCCGTATTCCTACTCAGTCGATTCTACCCCAAGGTCTGCGATGTAAATTGTCCCTTCTTATCAAGGTGACACTCTACATAACTTGCATTCGTTCCGGCGTGACCTATGCAAGGGTAGTATTCGCTCACACGGTCCGAACACACATTCACTCTCTCCAGGTTATCCAGTCCCGTTTCTGCGGGATAGCTGTCGGAGCTCCGTGGTATGTGGGAAATGTTGAACATTACAACGACTTAAATTTAGTACCGATACGAAAGTTTCTTAAGAAAGCGTCAGAACGCTACTTCGACAAAGGAGCACGACACGAAAACCCTCTTATCGTGGCCAGATTCCCTCTCTGTGCTTGTAGACCTCTCAAGCACCAGTCACCGTCCTCGTCAAACTCGACGATAACGAACGTTCGACGATAGTTCGACGAGCGAACTAGCTCATCGACACAGCCCACTGAGTTTCTTGTCGAATGGTAGATTCTGCGAAGCACTGCTCTTGTTAGGACTAGTGTTAACAAATTCTCTCAGGTTGAGCTCGTGAGCTCACCTACCCATCCGGGCGTAGTTGGAATAGCCTCTTAGGCTACTAGCCAATACGTGGGTCTAAAAAAAATTTAAAGAGATGTAAAACAAGATGGCGAGGACGGTTAAACGAGCGATGTGTAAAAAATTCTGCCCGTTAATTCTTAGTTATAAATAATAGGGAATTAACATATGTACATAGATTGCACTTTTATTTTACGCCACATTCTACATATCTTTACGGCTATCACCCCAATTATTACATATAAAAATATATAGGTACAAATATGGCACATATAGGTTATGGGTAATGAAATGGCAAGGGGTCGTCGGATGGACGTGTCGCAAATGGAAGTCCAAATGCTAGCGTAGACTTAAAGGATAAAGCCAAAAACGAAGGTAAGAAGCATCGTCAAGGATCATTTACTGCATCTTATCCTACGTTACGTGGAGTTAAGCAACCGATAAAAAAGGTGCAGCGAGTCATCTAGAGAATAAAAAGAATAATTGTAATTTACAGTGAACCAAGATTTGATCAGTTCTGTTGATCACCAACAACAAGATGCCTTGGTAAACGTCAGGAGTGTACCAAAGAGGAATTCCCAACATAGGTCTCCAAAGAAATTGAAGACAAACAGTATGAAAAGTTTGGACAAAAATGTAAGTGGTGACAACCCTATTCGTTAAGGTTGTCTCGAAGTTAAAAAAGTTATTATTCGCAGATACAAGACATCACAGTCACATGACATTGTACATGATAGTGTAAAAGTTCTCGAAGTTTTTATATATATTGCATAGGCCGGTAAACATACGGCCCATCTAGTGTTTGAGTGGTTACAGAAGTATATAGACATCCACTTAAATTATAAATGTACAAGTGTGTTTGTTTGTTTGTCCTTTCACGTTGAAACGAACCAACGACAACAGACTAAGATGTTTATAAAGTGACAGTATTAGGACATGAGCCGTATCCCGAAAAAGCATCTAATTCTCACGGGAACTTACACTGACGCTGTTGAACAGCCAGTAGCAACGTAAATGTCGCCACCCAAGTTGAGACATGAGTTCAGAATCTCAGCTCTACAGTACATCGACTGCCCCGCCCTTCAAACCGAAACGCGTTACTGCTTCTCGGCAGAAATAGGCAGGGTGGTGGAGCCTACCCATGAGGACTCACAAGACGTTCTACCACCAGTAATTACGCTATTACTAAATATTACACGATGCTATTCCTTCATGGTGAAAGTCATTTGTGAACATAGCTTAAGAGCGTATTTCGTTAGACAAATCGGTTACTGTCTGCGGGATTCGAATCTTGGCACAGCCGCGTCGCTCTATGCGAACGCACCGGCCGTCTTATCCCGCAGGCCACGACAACATCGAAGCACTGTTCGTTTATAATGTTTATTTTGTATATTGTCTGTCTGTTGATCACACAAACGAATTCCTCCTTCCCCTCTCAGAAATTCACCGCATGCTTCATCAGTGATTTGCCTTGTGTTGTGACAAGACGCATTAAAAAACGGAAGAACCTACAGAGAGCATTTGTACAAGTTGACGATAAAAATGAAAATTCTGGCCGCGGTGAGTATAGCAATAGTGCAAGCCCTTTCCTTGTTCATGTCGGAGTAAGGGTAAGGGTAAGGTTTCCCTAGTCCCGACTCCCTTTTTAAGTATCGACCAAATCATCACGGTAGAGGCCAATCCTGCAGCGTCCACCTTGATGGCAGCGGCAAACCAATCGCCTCCGACAAGAAAGCCGCGTTCAGCCCTTCGGAATAACAACACCATTATTGGTGAAAAACAACTTACAAAAGAAAAATAAAGGCTAAAGAAAAGAAAAGGTTGACACGAGAGGAAAAAGAAAAAGATGCTATATAAAAAAATCGTAACTGTGACTCAATCAGTTAAATTTATGGAAACGTCCGAGATAGAGGATCCAATCAAGGATCCAGTTCAGTCCTCCGAGCCTCTACCCGACATGCCTCAGCCTCAACCTAGGGCTGTGGAAAACTCTCAGCCACCACTCCCAACCAAAGGAGTATGACCCGCAGGGTCTTAATTGTAACAAAATATTTACAGATATACAAATCTCGGACGATTGTGTAATAGACGCGGATTACGCTGATGACTCTGCAGAAAAAATGGGATGGAAAGAAAAGAAAAATAGCGTCCCCGATAAATTTAGTGGACGTAACGGAGATATTGAAACTGCCTTCGAGGATGATGTGAGTTTACATGTTGATATTTCGTCATTCACTCAATCATTCGTTCATATTTTTTTGACAAACTAGAATTACATTATGTTGTAAAGATCGTTAAACAAAAACTAAGCAGGGTTTCCATAGTTAACACAACACAATCGAGTGGATAGTGTACAAAAAGCAGAAAACACATTAATGATATGGAGGGGAAGAAAGGCTATGGCTAAGTTTAAGCGACGAGTCTTGGCAGGCGATACTCGACTTCTACGAGTCGAGTCCACCGTCTCGCAGAAGGAAGCGGCGTAACGGTAGACGGAGAGCCCTTCTTACCTCCCATGCCTTCGCCGCCGAGCTGTAGGTGGAGGAGGACGTTCGTCCAACTCTGGGCCCTGTGAGTTGGCAGTCAGTCTCCTCCCGGTGATGGTCATGGGCCGACCTGAGGGGGTTAAGGCTGCGCCGCATGCTACCCTCACTCTAGCGCGCTGGTATCAGGAGGATGGGACGTCGCGCCGGCGGCTGTGGTCCGCGTTTCCGTCGTCGCTGTCGTCATCAAACATACTGAGAAAGAGTAACCCGGTCGACGGTAGGCAAGCTGGTTCTGACCCAGCGGGTTATTCCGCAACATCAGCGGCATCACCCGTGCGGTCAGATGGGCCGCCGTATCGCGGAGATCGGCGTGGATGTTTCGTCAACGACCGCATCTAAGACCCGTCGGTTGGGCGTCCTCGAGGTGGCGCCGCGAGTCGGGATATAGTTTTGACTGCAGGAACCTCTGACTCTCTGACGGGGTTCTGACTCCGGGCGGACGTAGGGTTTGAGAGTGCAAGGTGAGTCGCTTGGAACGGTAGTGGCCTATGCTCCATAGACGCGGATCTTAGGAGGTTCAGCCCTCTTTCTTTCTCGGGTCGGGGACCGTGCCTCCTACGGGGTCCCTGTGCCTAGGGGGCGCGCGGGATATGTGGGATTAGTTCGCGACTACGAACCGCGATCCCAAGGATGTTTTCAGGACCCTACCCACTAAACGATTCTCCTGCACTCTTCGCCCAAGCGTTCGATCCCCTCCGAGGTCAGACCCCGTATGAAGTAAGGGGTTTACCGCGGTCAACACTACACAACCAGACGGCCCGGCTAAGGAAGGCGAAGGACGCCTAAGGACGCATTGCACAAGACGCAGTGCGATGCGGCTGTTGTACAGGAGGCAGCCTTGTACCCCGGTTGGCCGCAACGGATACAAAGGTCACTGTGGTCTACAATAGAGGGGCACTTGGCGAGGCCGTGGCCAGTGCCAAAGCACCGAAGACAACACCACAGTCTAATCTCCTGTCATTGCACGTGGGCTACTATCCAGCCTACGTGCAGTCTCTCTGGGCTATCTAAACATGGACCTTAAGAAGGGGTGCGATCGGGCAACGCGCCCATGTCGTACGACTCCCGGTATATGTACCGCGGAAGTCCCCGAGATTGAAGTTGGCGAGGGCGCAGTTGCCCTGCGACGCGATGGCCACGGCGAATTCCTCTTTTGTACCGCAATTTTCCAGGACCGTTATTTTTATCTCTGCCATTTTAAGGGCTCCCCGCGACGGGCACCACCTTGGGGTCCTGCAGGTTTTCCGTCAGACGGGCTGCCAAATTTTCGGCTACGGCGCTGAAGTTTGCGCCGACGCATTCTAGAAGGCGGGCCCCGTTGGCAGTTTGCCGGACCCTTAAACCACCCCCTCCACGGCGAGGGCGTCTATATTAATACCACCACGTGCCCGGGTCATCACCTGGTGTTAAGTGGTTACTGGAGCTCATAGACATCCACAACGTAAATGCGCCAACCACCTTGAGATATAAGTTCTAAGGTCTCGCGTATAGTTACACGTATAGTTTCTTAGCAATCCATCGATTTGTCATGGGAGTGTCGGTGGAATTGCAGAGGAATTTATACGAAGGCTACGAGCGGACTAGCGACCCTAGTGCAGGTTCAAGCTCCTATCAATGCACAATACTCTCACCGCCAAATAGTGTTCGATAGGAAACACTACAGTGCAGCGGAGTCAACGCAGCATTAATGGCGTTTGAGTGGGAACCGCGTATGAGGAGAAAACCTGGTCTAAAGCGATTTTAAAGAACAAGCGCAAGACGGTGAAACGGAGGCAATTTGTGAGGGCCCTGTGTACCAACAGGGTACCCTAGGACTACAACAACTCACCTCCATTCTCCACCTTGAGACGTGAAACCGAAATCTCAATCTACATTATGTTGTCTCCTCAAAAGACGAACATAAGGTATTAATGTTTTCAGAATTTAAACGAATATTTACAGACCGAAGTATCCAGTCCGCCGCGTTTGAAAATCACCAGCAACAAGCCCACCGCGATATCGTCGAATGTGGATTGTTCTGGAAGTCCAAATGTTAGCGCAGATTTAAAAGATAAAGCCAAAAACGAAGGTAAGAAGCATCGTCAAGGATCATTCACTGCCTCTTATCCCACATTACGTGGAGTTAAGCAACCGATAAAAAACGTGTGCTGAGTCATATAGGGAATCAAAAAAATAATTGTAATTTACAGTGAAAGAAGATTTAATCAGTTCTGTTGATCACCAACAACAAGATGCCTTGGTAAACGTCAGGAGTGTGCCAAAGAGGAATTCCCAACATAGGTCTCCAAAGAAATTGAAGGCAAACAGTATGAAAAGTTTGGACAAAAATGTAAGTAACGACAACCCTATTCGTTAAGGTTGTCTCGACTCTAAGATATTCAGTGTTCTCAGTTAAAAGACATCACAGCCACATGATATTGTACATATTAATGTAAATGTTCTCGGAAGTTTTATTGGTGGTAGGACCTCATGTGAGTCCGCACGGCTAGGTACCATCACCGCGCCTATTTCTGCCGTGAAGCAGTAATGCGTTTCGGCTTGAGGGTGGGGCAGCCGTTGTACCTATACTGAGACATGAGAACTTATATCTCAAGGTGGGTGGCGCATTTACGTTGTAAATTTCTATGGGCTCCAGTAATCACTTAACACCAGTTGGGCTGTGAGCTCGGCCACCCATCGTAAGCAATAAAAAAAAAGTACTGTCACCTTAAAAACATCTCAGTCGTCGTGGATGAAGGACAAACAAACAAACACACTTTCTCATTTATAATTTAAGTGGATGTCTATACACTTCTGTAACCACTCAAACACTAGATGGGCCGTATGTTTACCGGCCTCTGCAATCGAAACGCGTCACTGCTTCACGGCAGAAATAGGCAGGGTCGTGGTGCCTACCCGTGCGGACTCACAAGACGTTCTACCACCAGTAATACTAAAGTATTACTAAATATTACACGATGCTATTGTTTCATGGTGGAAGTCATTCGTTAACATATCTTTAGAGCGTATTTCGTTAGACAAATCGGTTCCTGTCTGCGGGATTCGAACCTTGGCACGGTCGCGTCGCTCTATGCGAACGCACCGGCCGTCTTATCCCGCAGGCCACGACAACATCGAAGCAGTGTTCATTTATAATTTTTATTTTATGTATTGTCTGTCTGTTGGTCACACAAACGAATTCGCCTTTCCCCCTCTCAGAAATTCACCTCATGCTTGGTCAATGAATTGCCGCGTGCAAAGAGCGACATTAGCAAACCGAAGAACCTACAGAGTGCATTTGTACAAGATGAAGATAAAAATGAAGATTCTGGCCGCGGTGAGTATAGCGATGGTAGGTTCATGCCGATAACCTAAACGCTCTATTAGGTCGAGACAGCAACTTCTTCACTTCAATTTCAAGGTGATGGAGCGAATAATAAATACACAACTCCTGAAGTATCTTGAAGATCGCCAGCTGATCAGTGACCGACAGTACGGTTTCCGTCACGGTCGCTCAGCTGGTGATCTTCTTGTATACCTTACTCACAGGTGGGCTGAAGCCTTGGAGAGCAAGGGCGAGGCTCTTGCTGTGAGCCTTGATATCGCGAAGGCCTTCGACAGGGTCTGGCATAGGGCACTTCTATCGAAGCTACCATCTTACGGAATCCCCGAGGGTCTCTGCAAGTGGATCGCTAGCTTTTTGGATGGGCGGAGCATCACGGTCGTTGTAGACGGTGACTGTTCTGATACCATGACCATTAACGCTGGCGTTCCACAAGGTTCGGTGCTCTCCCCCACGCTTTTCATCCTGTATATCAATGACATGCTGTCTATTGATGGCATGCATTGCTATGCGGATGACAGCACGGGGGATGCGCGATATATCGGCCATCAGAGTCTCTCTCGGAGCGTGGTGCAAGAGAGACGATCAAAACTTGTGTCTGAAGTGGAGAACTCTCTGGGGCGAGTCTCCAAATGGGGTGAATTGAACTTGGTTCAATTCAACCCGTTAAAGACACAAGTTTGCGCGTTCACTGCGAAGAAGGACCCCTTTGTCATGGCGCCGCAATTCCAAGGAGTATCCCTGCAACCTTCCGAGAGTATTGGGATACTTGGGGTCGACATTTCGAGCGATGTCCAGTTTCGGAGTCATTTGGAAGGCAAAGCCAAGTTGGCGTCCAAAATGCTGGGAGTCCTCAACAGAGCGAAGCGGTACTTCACGCCTGGACAAAGGCTTTTGCTTTATAAAGCACAAGTCCGGCCTCGCGTGGAGTACTGCTCCCATCTCTGGGCCGGGGCTCCCAAATACCAGCTTCTTCCATTTGACTCCATACAGAGAAGGGCCGTTCGGATTGTCGATAATCCCGGTCTCACGGATCGTTTGGAACCTCTGGGTCTGCGGAGGGACTTCGGTTCCCTCTGTATTTTGTACCGTATGTTCCATGGGGAGTGCTCTGAGGAATTGTTCGAGATGATACCGGCATCTCGTTTTTACCATCGCACCGCCCGCCACCGGAGTAGAGTTCATCCATACTACCTGGAGCCACTGCGGTCATCCACAGTGCGTTTCCAGAGGTCTTTTTTGCCACGTACCATCCGGCTATGGAATGAGCTCCCCTCCACGGTGTTTCCCGAGCGCTATGACATGTCCTTCTTCAAACGAGGCTTGTGGAGAGTATTAAGCGGTAGGCAGCGACTTGGCTCTGCCCCTGGCATTGCTGAAGTCCATGGGCGACGGTAACCACTCACCATCAGGTGGGCCGTATGCTCGTCTGCCTACAAGGGCAATATAAAAAAAAAATCATCTCAGTCGTCGTGGATGAAGGGCAAACAAACAAACACACTTTCACATTTATAATTTAAGAGGATGTCTATATACTTCTGTAACCACTCAAACACTAGATGGGCCGTATGTTTACCGGCCTATGCAATCGAAACGCGTCACTGCTTCACGGCAGAAATAGGCAGGGCGGTGGAGCCTACCCGTGCGGACTCACAAGTCGTTCTACCACCAGTAATACTAAAGTATTACTAAATATTACACGATGCTATTGTTTCATGGTGGAAGTCATTCGTTAACATATCTTTAGAGCGTATTTCGTTAGACAAATCGGTTCCTGTCTGCGGGATTCGAACCTTAGCATGGTCGCATCGCTCTATGCGAACGCACCGGCCGTCTTATCCCGCAGGCCACGCCAACATCGAAGCAGTGTTCATTTATAATGTTTATTTTATGTATTGTCTGTCTGTTGGTCACACAAACGAATTCGCTTTTCCCCCTCTCAGAAATTCACCTCATGCTTGGTCAATGAATTGCCGCGTGCAAAGAGCGACATTAGCAAACCGAAGAACCTACAGAGTGCATTTGTACAAGATGAAGATAAAAATGAAGATTCTGGCCGCGGTGAGTATAGCGATGGTAGGTTCATGACGATAACCTGAACGCTCTATTAGGTCGAGACAGCAACTTCTTCACTTCAATTTCAATCTTGACCATCCTAACTTTTTCGCCTGATCAGCGCAGTGGGTCGCGTTTTCGATCCGGTGGTAAATTCTACGAAGCACTGCTCTTGCTAGGGCCAGTGTTGTTGGCAAATCTGCTCAAGTGGAGCCCAGTGAATTCTCCACAGCGAAACTAGAATAGTCCCTTAGCCAGCGAATAGGTAACGGAAAAAAAACATTGCTGTCTCTGTTATGTGACGCACGTAAAGAAAGAGAAAGAGAGAAGACACTGAAGCCTGACATCGGAAGCCACATAAGTTCTCGTCATCTCACGATTATCTAAAACCGCGACATTATATCTGTAGGACGGGCAAGAACGTAATGTATAAAAAATTGTGAGACGGAGCGTTAAGGTGTGAGCGAGAGAAAACGATAAGAAAGATAGAAATAATGGAGAGATGCAAAGCAATATGGTGAGGACGGTTAAATGGGCGATATGTAAAAAATGGTGTCAGTTAATTCTTGGTTATAAANAAAATTGTGAGACGGAGCGTTAAGGTGTGAGCGAGAGAAAACGATAAGAAAGATAGAAATAATGGAGAGATGCAAAGCAATATGGTGAGGACGGTTAAATGGGCGATATGTAAAAAATGGTGTCAGTTAATTCTTGGTTATAAATAAAGGGAAAATTTTGGAATGATAACATACATAGGTAGGAGAGACCACATTATTGACACCATCCTTAGACATCATAGGGGCGAACCAATCACGTATCGGTAAGGGCAGCGTCTGGCAAACCTTTTATTTTTTTTATTTGGGGGCCTAACCTCCTACGAGGTCCCCACGCATAAGGGGCGAGCGGGGTATATGAGACTCAACGATCTGAATGGTGTTGTGAGCAGACCGCGGGCCCAAGGATTTTAGGGCCCACCCACTAAACGACTCCCCTGCACTCTTACACCCGACGTCCGATCCCCTCCAATGAGATAAGGGGGCTACCGCGGTCAACACTACAACCAGACGGCGCGGCTCACCCCAAGGACGCCCAGCCGACGGAGCCTTCGAGGCGAATCGACGGCTCTGAAACGTCGGCCGTCTCGGTACGGGAGCCCGTCAGGCCGCCCAGACGGTGCCGCCGGTGTCCCGGAATACCCCGCTGGACCAGAACGAGCCTGCCGGGTCAGGACGCGATACACCGCCAACCGGTCGCTCTATTACTCCTCGGCGGCGCGTTAGAGTGATTGATGGTAGTGCGCCGCGCGGCCTCTACCCCCTCAGGTCGCCCCTTGACCTTCATGGGGGGCCGCTACCTACAGGGGCCGGAACGTACGGGCGTATTCCCGCCTCCGGCCCCCGGCTCGACGGCGACGGATCAATGCGGAAAGGGAAGAGCTTCCCCCTCTCTCGCTCCGCCGCCTCCTTCTGCGAGATGTTGGACTCGCAGAAGTCGAGCATCGCCTTCCCGGACGCGTCGCTGCTGAGCATCGTAGCCACGACGCACGGCAGCGAGAGGTCCTCTCCTATGACCGCGACGAGGGCGGCGCGTTGCTCGTCGAATCCAGAGCAACACGCCAATGTGTGTTCCGCTGTGTAATCCTCGGTCCTCGTCGCGGTCTGCGCAATGGTGGCACTGCGCCGTAGGTTCCCTTCTGGCTATTTTATGCAAGTACCGACCGAAACATCTGTGGCCGGTAAGCATCTGAGTAAGCCGGAAGGTGAGGCACCATACGGGTGCGCCGTAGAGTGCCATCGACCGCACTACCCCCATGTAGAGGCGGCGCGCCACCTGATCGCCATCGGCCGAGGACCCCCTGCCCTGTGAACCGATGACTAGCGCTGATATGCGGGAAGAGCTCAGATGCTGAAGGCAGACTATCGAAGAGGCCTACATCCAGCAGTGGAAAGATGCAGCCTGATGACGATATGCTCCTCACCAAACCAACATTAATCACCAGTCTCACCTTGATGAGTAGCGAGCGAATTGCGACTGAAGTGACTACCCTCAATTGTCGTGATAACTAAATTGAGTTTTAATCAGTATGTAGGCGAAGAGCTTGTTATTTATTCTGAGCTCCAGCTCGTAACAGTACTGACTTCAAGGAGCGCGGTCGTGTCTGGCGACAGCCTCCTGTCCCTTAACAGTTACCGCTTGCAGCTCCAAGGGTCCTTAGACACTGGCATGCATCAGAATTGAGTCGTCTACCTCACATCTCTTAATGAGCGTCCGTGAGCACTCGTGAGTACGAGCCGTATCTGGCTCGAGTTCGTGTTGGCTTTTAATTGTAACGAAATATTTGTAGATATTCAAATCTCGGACGATTGTGTAGATGCGGACTTCGCAGATGACTTTGTAGAAGAAAATGGATTTAGTGGGTCCAAGGAAGATATCGAAACCGCCTTCGAGGATGACGTGAGTTTACATGTTGATATTTTATTTAGTCATTCACTCAATCATTCGTTCATATTTTTTTCACAAACTAGAATTACATTATGGTGTGTCAAAGATAGTGACACAAAAACTAAACAGGTTTCCATAATTAACACAACACGAGCAAGAGTAAGCGCAAGACAGGGTGAAATGGAGGCAATTTGTGAGGGTCCTGTGTACCAGCAGGGTACCCTAGGACTACAACGACTCTCCTCCATTCTCCACCTTGAGACGTGAAACCGAAATCTCAATCTGTATTATGTTGTCTCCTCAAAAGACGAACATAAGGCATTAATGTTTTCAGGATTTAAATGAATATTTGCAGACCGAAGTATCCAGTCCACCGCGTTTAAAAATCACCAACAACAAGCCCACCGCGATATCGTCGAACGCGGATTGTTCTGGAAGTCCAAATGCTAGCGTAGACTTAAAAGATAAAGCCAAAAACGAAGGTAAGAAGCATCGTCAAGGATCATTTACTGCCTCTTATCCCACATTACGTGGAGTTAAGCAACCAATAAAAAATGTGCGGCGAGTCATCTAGAGAATAAAAATAATAATTGTAATTTACAGTGAACCAAGATTTGATCAGTTCTGTTGATCACCAACAACAAGATGCCTTGGTAAACGCCAGGAGTGTGCCAAAGAGGAATTCCCAACATAGGTCTCCAAAGAAATTGAAGACAAACAGTAAAATAAGTTTGGACAAAAATGTAAGTGGCGACAACCCTATTCGTTAAGGTTGTCTCGACGCTAAGATATTCAGTGTTCTCAGTTAAAAGACATCACAGTCACATGATATTGTACATATTAATGTAAAAGTTCTCGGAAGTTTTATTGGTGGTAGGACCTCATGTGAGTCCGCACGGCTAGGTACCATGACCGCGCCTATTTCTGCCGTGAAGCAGTAATGCGTTTCGACTTGAGGGTGGGGCAGCCGTTGTAACTATACTGATACCTAAGAACTTATATCTCAAGGTGGGTGGCGCATTTACGTTGTAAATTTATATGGGCTCCAGTAATCACTTAACACCAGTTGGGCTGTGAGCTCGGCCACCCATCTAAGCAATAAAAAAAAAGTACTGTCACCTTAAAAATATCTCAGTCGTCGTGGATGAAGGGCAAACAAACAAACACACTTTCTCATTTATAATTTAAGTGGATGTCTATACACTTCTGTAACCACTCAAACACTAGATGGGCCGTATGTTTACCGGCCTATGCAATCGAAACGCGTCACTGCTTCACGGCAGAAATAGGCAGGGTGGTGGTGCCTACCCGTGCGGACTCACAAGACGTTCTACCACCAGTAATACTAAAGTATTACTAAATATTACACGATGCTATTGTTTCATGGTGGAAGTCATTCGTTAACATATTTTTAGAGCGTATTTCGTTAGACAAATCGGTTCCTGTCTGCGGGATTCGAACCTTGGCACGGTCGCGTCGCTCTATGCGAACGCACCGGCCGTCTTATCCCGCAGGCCACGACAACATTGCAGCACCGTTCATTTATAATGTTCATTTCATGTGTTGCCTGTATGTTGATCACATAAACGAATTCCTCCTTCCCCTCTCAGAAATTCACCGTATACTTCATCGGTGATTTGCCTTGTGTAACGAGACGCATTAAAAAACGGAAGAACCTACAGAGAGCATTTGTACAAGTTGACGATAAAAATGAAAATTCTGGCCGCGGTGAGTATAGCAATAGTGCAAGCCCTCTCCTTGTTCATGTCGGAGTAAGGGTAAGGGTAAGGTTTCCCTAGTCCCGACTCCCTTTTTAAGTATCGACCAAATCATCACGGTAGAGGCCAATCCTGCAGCGTCCACCTTGATGGCAGCGGCAAACTAATCGCCTCCGACAAGAAAGCCGCGTTCAGCCCTTCGGAATAACAACACCATTATTGGTGAAAAACAACTTACAAAAGAAAAATAAAGGCTAAAGAAAAGAAAAGGTCGACACGAGAGGAAAAAGAAAAAGAAGCTATATAAAAAATCGTAACTGTGACTCAATCAGTTAAATTTATGGAAACGTCCGAGATAGAGGATCCAATCAAGGATCCAGTTCAGTCCTCCGAGCCTCTCTCCGACTTGCCTCAGTCTCAACCTAGTGCTGTGGAAAACTCTTAGCCACCACTCCCAACCCAAGGAGTATGACCCGCAGGGTCTTAATTGTAACAAAATATTTACAGATATACAAATCTCGGACGATTGTGTAATAGACGCGGATTACGCTGATGACTCTGCAGAAAAAATGGGATGGAAAGAAAAGAAAAATGGCGTCCGCGATAAACTTAGTGAATCTAAGGGAGATATTGAATCCGCCTTCGAGGATGATGTGAGTTTACATGTTGATATTTATTTAGTCATTCACTCAATCATTCGTTCATATTTTTTTGACAAACTAGAATTAGATTATGTTGTATTAAAGATCGTTATACAAAAACTAAGCAGGGTTTCCATAGTTAACACAATCGAGTGGGTAGTGTACAAAAAAACAGAAAACACATTAATGATATCGAGGGGGGAAAGGCTACTTAGTTTAAGTGACGAATCCTGGCAGGCGATACTCGACTTCTACGAGTCCACCGTCTCGCAGAAGGAAGCGGCGTAACGGTAGACGGAGAGCCCTTCTTACCTCCCATGCCTTCGCCGCCGAGCTCTAGGTGGAGGAGGACGTTCGTCCAACTCTGGGCCCTGTGAGTTGGCAGTCAGTCTCCTCCCGGTGATGGTCATGGGGCGACCTGAGGGGGTTAAGGCTGCGCCGCATGCTACCGTCACTCTAGCGCGCTGGTATCAGGAGGATGGGACGTCGCGCCGGCGGCTGTGGTCCGCGTTTCCGTCGTCGCTGTCGTCATCGAACATACTGAGAAAGAGTAACTCGGTCGACGGTGGGCAAGCTGGTTCTGACCCAGCGGGCTATCCCGCAACATCAGCGGCATCACCCGTGCGGTCTGATGGGCTGCCGTATCGCGGAGACCGGCGTCGATGTTTTGTCAACGACCGCATCTAAGACCCGTCGGTCGGGCGTCCTCGAGGTGGCGCCGCGAGTCAAGTTATAGTTTTGACTGCAGGAACCCCTTGTGACTCTCTGACGGGGTTCTGACTCTGGGCGGAGATCGGATGTAGGGTTTTAGAGTGCAAGGCGAGTCGCATGGAACGGTAGTGGCCTAAAAATAAACCTTGGGCACTTGGTCTGCTCCCAACAGTTGAAGATCATCAAGTCCCACATATCCCGCGTGCTCCATAGACGCGGATCTTAGGAGGTTCAGCCCTCTTTCTTTTTTGGGTCGGGGACCGTACCTCCTACGGGGTATGTGGGATTAGTTCGCGACTGCGAACCGCGATCCCAAGGATGTTTTCAGGACCCTACCTACTAAGCGACTCCTGCACTCTTCGTCCAAGCGTTCAATCCCCTCCGAGGTCAGAACCCGGATGAAGTAGGGGGTTTACCGCGGTCAACACTACACAACCAGACGGCCCGGCTAAGGAAGGCGAAGGACGCCTAAGGACGAATTGCACAAGACGCAGTGCGATGCGGCTGTTGTACAGGAGGCAGCCTTGTACCCCAGTTGACCGCAACGGATACAAAGGTCACTGTGGTCCACAATAGAGGGGCACTTGGCGAGGCCGTGGCCAGTGCCAAAGCACCGAAGACAGCACGTGGGCTTCTATTCAGCCTACGTGCAGTCTCTCTGGCTATCTAAACATGGACCTTAAGAAGGGGTGCGATCGGGCAACGCGCCCATTTCGTACGACTCCCGGTATATGTAGCGCGGAAGTCCCCGATATTGAAGTTGGCGACGGCGCAGTTGCCCTGCGACGCGATGGCCACGGCAATTCCTCTTTTGTGCCGCAATTTTCCAGGCCCGTTATTTTTATCTCTGCCATTTTAAGGGCCCCGGCGACGGGCACCACCTTGGGGTCCTGCAGGTTTTCCGTCAGACGGGCTGCCAAATTTACGGCTGCGGCGCTGAAATTTGCGCCGACGCATTCTAGAAGGTGGGCCCCGTTGGCAGTCTGCCGGACCCTTAAACCACCCCCTCCACGGTGAGGGCGTCTATATTAATACCACCACGTGCCCGGGTCATCACCTCGTGATAGGTGATGCCCTTTTCTTTGGCCACCAGCTCTATCACCCATTCTTTATCGATACTCATCAACGTAAAGAGTGCGAGAGAGAAACGAATTTCTTAGCAATCCATGGATTTGTCATGGGAGTGTCGGTGGAATTGCAGAGGAATTTATACGAAGACTACGAACGGACTAGCGACCCTAGTGCAGGTTCAAGCTCCTATCAATGCACAATACTCTCACCGCCAAATAGTGTTCGATAGGAAACACTACAGTGCAGCGGAGTCAACGAAGCATCAATCGCGTTTGAGTGGCAACCGCGTATGAGGAGAAAACCTGATCTAAAGCGATGTTAAAGAGCAAGCGCAAGACAGGGTGAAATGGAGGCAACTTGTGAGGGCCCAGGGTACCCTAGAACTACAAAACTCTCCTCCATTCTCCACCTTGAGGCGTGAAACCGAAATCTCAATCTGCATTATGTTGTCTCCTCAAAAGACGAACATAAGGNGCAACCGCGTATGAGGAGAAAACCTGATCTAAAGCGATGTTAAAGAGCAAGCGCAAGACAGGGTGAAATGGAGGCAACTTGTGAGGGCCCAGGGTACCCTAGAACTACAAAACTCTCCTCCATTCTCCACCTTGAGGCGTGAAACCGAAATCTCAATCTGCATTATGTTGTCTCCTCAAAAGACGAACATAAGGCATTAATGTTTTCAGGATTTAAACGAATATTTACAGACCGAAGTATCCAGTCCACCGCGTTTGAAAATCTCCAACAACAAGCCCACCGCGATATCGTCGAACGCGGATTGTTTTGGAAGTCCAAATGCTAGCGTAGACTTAAAAGATAAAGCCGAAAACGAAGGTAAGAAGCATCGTCAAGGATCATTCACTGCCTCTTATCCCACATTACGTGGAGTTAAGCAACCGATAAAAAAGGTGCAGCGAGTCATCTAGAGAATAAAAATAATAATTGTAATTTACAGTGAACCAAGATTTGATCAGTTCTGTTGATCACCAACAACAAGATGCCGTGGTAAACGCCAGGAGTGTGCCAAAGAGGAATTCCCAACATAGGTCTCCAAAGAAATTGAAGACAAACAGTATAATAAGTTTGAACAAAAATGTAAGTGGCGACAACCCTATTCGTTAAGGTTGTCTCGACTCTAAGATATTCAGTGTTCTCAGTTAAAAGACATCACAGCCACATGATATTGTACATATTAATGTAAATGTTCTCGAAGTTTTACTGGTGGTAGGACCTCATGTGAGTCCGCACGGCTAGGTACCATGACCGCGCCTATTTCTGCCGTGAAGCAGTAATGCGTTTCGACTTGAGGGTGGGGCAGCCGTTGTAACTATACTGAGACCTGAGAACTTATATCTCAAGGTGGGTGGCGCATTTACGTTGTAAATTTATATGGGCTCCAGTAATCACTTAACACCAGTTGGGCTGTGAGCTCGGCCACCCATCNATGTGAGTCCGCACGGCTAGGTACCATGACCGCGCCTATTTCTGCCGTGAAGCAGTAATGCGTTTCGACTTGAGGGTGGGGCAGCCGTTGTAACTATACTGAGACCTGAGAACTTATATCTCAAGGTGGGTGGCGCATTTACGTTGTAAATTTATATGGGCTCCAGTAATCACTTAACACCAGTTGGGCTGTGAGCTCGGCCACCCATCTAAGCATTAAAAAAAAAAGTACTGTCACCTTAAAAACATCTCAGTCGTCGTGGATGAAGGACAAACAAACAAACACACTTTCTCATTTATAATTTAAGTGGATGTCTATACACTTCTGTAACCACTCAAACACTAGATGGGACGTATGTTTACCGGCCTATGCAATCGAAACGCGTTATTGCTTCACGGCAGAAATAGGCAGGGCGGTGGAGCCTACCCGTGCGGACTCACAAGATGGTCTACAACCAGTAATACTAAAGTATTACTAAATATTACACGATACTATTGTTTCATGGTGGAAGTCATTCGTTAACATATATTTAGAGCGTATTTCGTTAGACAAATCGGTTCCTGTCTGCGGGATTCGAACCTTGGCATGGTCGCGTCGCTCTATGCGAACGCACCGGCCGTCTTATCCCGCAGGCCACGCCAACATCGAAGCAGTGTTCATTTATAATGTTTATTTTATGTATTGTCTGTCTGTTGGTCACACAAACGAATTCGCCTTTCCCCCTCTCAGAAATTCACCTCATGCTTGGTCAATGAATTGCCGCGTGCAAAGAGCGACATTAGCAAACCGAAGAACCTACAGAGTGCATTTGTACAAGATGAAGATAAAAATGAAGATTCTGGCCGCGGTGAGTATAGCGATGGTAGGTTCATGCCGATAACCTGAACGCTCTATTAGGTCGAGACAGCGACTTCTTCACTTCAATTTCAATCTTGACCATCCTAAGTTTTTCGCCTGATCAGCGCAGTGGGTCGCGTTTTCGATCCGGTGGTAAATTCTACGAAACACTGCTCTTGCTAGGGCCAGTGTTGTTGGCAAATCTGCTCAAGTGGAGCCCCGTGAATTCTCCACAGCGAAACTAGAATAGTCCCTTAGCCAGCGAATAGGTAACGGAAAAAAAACATTGCTGTCTCTGTTACGTGACGCACGTAAAGAGAGAGAAAGAGAGAAGACACTGAAGTCTGACATCGGAAGCCACATAAGTTCTCGTCATCTCACGATTATCTAAAACCGCGACATTATATCTGTAGGACGGGCAAGAACGTAATGTATAAAAAATCGTGGGACGGAGCGTTAAGGTGTGAGCGAGAGAAAACGATAAGAAAGAGAGAAATAATGGAGAGATGCAAAACAATATGGTGAGGACGGTTAAATGGGCGATATGTAAAAAATGGTGTCAGTTAATTCTTGGTTATAAATAAAGGGAAAATTTTGGAATGATAACATACATAGGTAGGAGAGACCACATTATTGACACCATCCTCAGACATCATAGGGGCGAACCAATCACGTTTTGTTGTATTAGAACAATTTAGAAATCTTCTTTTGACGTTAGCAAACGAAAACGAATGACAGTTCTTAGGACGGAGGCACCGCTCTTCAAGAAGGCTGGTTGGTAAAATTAATGGCGTCTATGCACCTCCATTAGCTAGGCTCTATCGTAGCACGAAGTTAGCAGAGCTCCGACGATACCGCGATCGTGCTGCCATCTCTCGAGAATCGTGCTGCGTTTCTTTGCTAACAAACTAAGGACCGTCTCCGACACATAGATAGATAGATATATTTATTACGGTTTTATTTTACGATCATCAGCCTAATTATTACATATATGGTATATATTGGTTATTAATTATGAAATGGCTAGGGGTCGGATATATGTGTCGCAGAACCCATGGCCGATGGACCAGACGCGTTCTGGACTGTAGACCACGTACCGGTAAGGGCAGCGTCGGGCGCCCCCTGCCCCGTGGACCGATGACTTGCGCTGATATGCGGGAAGAGCTCAGATGTTGAAGGCAGACTATCGGAGAGGCCTACGTCCAGCAGTGGAGAGATACAGCCTGATGACGATATGTTCCTCACCAAACCAACATTAATCACCAGTCTCACCCTGATGAGAAGCGAGCAAATTGTGACTGAAGTGACTACCCTCAATTGCCGTGATAACTAAATTAAGTAATCAATATATATGCGAAGAGCTTGTTATTTATTCTGAGCTCGAGTTCGTAACAGTACTGACTTGAAGGAGCGCGTTCGTGTCTGGCGACTGCCTCCTGTCCATAAACAGTTACCGCTTGCAGCTCGAAGAGTCCTTGACACTGGTATGCATCAGAATTGAGTTATCGACCTCAAATCGCGCCCGTGAGCATTCGTGAGTACGAGCCGTATCTGGCTCAAGTTCGTGTTAGGTTTTAATTGTAACGAAACATTTACAGATATTCAAATCTCGGACGATTGTGTAAAAGACGCGGACTTCGCTGATGAATTTTTAGCAAAAATTGGATTGACGAGAAAGAAAAATAGCGTCCGCGATAAATTTAGTGGATCTAAGGGAGATATTGAAACCGCCTTCAAGGATAACGTGAGTTTACATGTTGATTATTTTGACAAACTAGAATTACACTATGGTATATTAAATATTGTTAAACAAAAACTAAACCATAGTTTCATAGGGTTTCCATAGTTAACACAACACAATCGAGTGGGTGTAGTGTACAAAAAAATAAATACAAAAAACACTTTAATGATATCGAGGGAGGCTACTTAGTTTAAGCGACGAGTCTTGGCAGGCGATACTCAACTTCTACGAATCCACCGTCTCGCAGAAGGAAGCGGCGGAACGGTAGACGGAGAGCCCTTCCTCCCTCTCGACGCCGTGCCGTCGCCGCCGAGCTGGGGGTCGGAGGAGGACGTTCGTCCGACTATGGCCCCTGTGAGTTGGCATTCTCCTCCCGGTAATGGTCACGGGGTGACCTGAAGGGTCAAGATTGCGCCGCACCCTAAGTTACTCTAGCGCGCCGGCGTCAGGAGGATGAGGCGACGCCTCAGCCGCTGCAGTCCGGGTTGCCGTCGTCGCTGTTGTCGCCGAACATATAAGAGCAACCCGGTCGAAAGTGTATCGCGTTCCGACCCGGCAAGCTGCCCCTGACCCAGCGGGTTATCCCGGAACATCAGCGGCATCACCCGTGCGGTCTGATGGGCCGCCGTATCGCGGAGACCGGCGTGGATGTTTTGTCATCGATCGCCTCGACAACCCGTCTTTGGGCGTTCTAAGGGTGGCACCGCGACTCTGGTTGCAGTGTAGACCACAGAACCCCCCTACTCTGACTGGGTTCTGACCCCAGGTGGAGATCTGACGCAGAGTGCAAGGGGAGTCGTTTGGTGGGTAGGGCCGTTAAACATCCTTAAACCCGCGGTCTACTGCAGACCGTCAAGTCCCACATAAACCGCGCGCCCCCTAGGCGCGGAAGCCTCAAATGAGGTTCGGCCTCCTGCCCGAAAAAAAAAATGGTTGACAGCAGCTTGACTCTGGCCCACGCATTGCTGACTGGCACTCGCCATCAGATGGGCCATATGCTCGTCTGCCTACAGTGTGATCTATCGTACTCGCTAACTTTGCACCGACAGACTCCCTACTTTTCCAAAGCTTAGACAACTTGTTGGGAGGGAAGTACAAAATGGCTTTGAAGAGTTTGTTGAAAAACCTATATGAGCAGTTTTTTGTCTTTCCTTTTGTTCCTATATAGTAATGATTCGTCTTTATAACTCAGGTACAGAATGTATAGTATTAGCTACACTACACTAGTTTGGAAGGGTCGACACCAACCCATTCTTTATCGATCCACATCAATGTAAAGAGAGAGAAAGAAATGAACTTCAAACGTGTGAACTTCATGCAAGTGTCAGTGGAATTGCAGAGTAATTTATACGAAGGCTACGAACGGACTAGCGACCCTAGTGCAGGTTCAAGCTCCTATCAATGCACAATACTCTCACCGCCAAATAGTGTTCGATAGGAAACACTACAGTGCAGCGGAGTCAACGCAGCATCAATCGCGTTCGAGTGGCAACCGCGTATGAGGAGAAAACCTGATCTAAAGCGATGTTAAAGAGCAAGCGCAAGACAGGGTGAAATGGAGGCAACTTGTGAGGGCCCAGGGTACCCTAGAACTACAAAACTCTCCTCCATTCTCCACCTTGAGGCGTGAAACCGAAATCTCAATCTGCATTATGTTGTCTCCTCANGCAACCGCGTATGAGGAGAAAACCTGATCTAAAGCGATGTTAAAGAGCAAGCGCAAGACAGGGTGAAATGGAGGCAACTTGTGAGGGCCCAGGGTACCCTAGAACTACAAAACTCTCCTCCATTCTCCACCTTGAGGCGTGAAACCGAAATCTCAATCTGCATTATGTTGTCTCCTCAAAAGACGAACATAAGGCATTAATGTTTTCAGAATTTAAACGAATATTTACAGACCGAAGTATCCAGTCCGCCGCGTTTGAAAATCACCAACAACAAGCCCACCGCGATATCGTCGAATGTGGATTGTTCTGGAAGTCCAAATGTTAGCGTAGTTTTAAAAGATAAAACCAAAAACGAAGGTAAGAAGCATCGTCAAGGATAATTTACTGCCTCTTATCCCACATTACGTGGAGTCAAGTAATCAATAAAAAATGTGCGGCGAGCCATCTAGGGACTAAAAAAAAATTGTAATTTACAGTGAAGCAAGCTTTCATTAGTACTGTTGATCACCAACAACAACATACCTTGGTAAACGTCAGGAGTGTGCCTCGCAAGAGGCAATCCCGATATTGTTCTCCAGAGAAATTAAAGAAAAATAAAGAAAGAAATAAAAGAAACAAGATAGCTTTGACCAAACAGGTAAGTGTTGACAACCCTATTCGTTAAGGTTGTCTCGAAGTTAAAAAAGTTATTATTCTTACAGGATGATATTTCTTCATCGCGAAAGTCATTCCTGAACGTATCTCAAGAGCGTATTTCGTTAGATAAATCGTTTCCTGTCTGCGGGATTCGAACCTTGGCACGGTCGCGTCGCTCTTTTTGAACGCACCGGCCGTCTTATCCCGCAGGTCACGACAACATCGAAACACTTCATATATTGGATTGGGGAAAAAGTTTCTTCGCATTTTTTAAGAAAATTCACAACATTTTTTAATATAGTTTATTTACATTTAACTAAAGTATGTAGGTACCATTTTGTTCGATAACTTTTTGCCATATTGTAGGTAAGGACATGATCCCATTGCTATAGAAATTTTGGGGCTTCCCGATCTAATACCGCGACAATTGGTTTTGACAGTCCTCTCGTGATGTTAACCTGACACTATCTAAAGATTTCTGAAGACACCGAAACAGGTGGAAATCTGAAGGTGCAAGGTCAGGACTATACAGCGGATGCATTAACACCTTCCAGCCAAGCTCTCTTAATTTTTACTGAGTGGCTAAAGATGTGAGGTCTAGCGTTATCATGATGAAAAACTACACCCCTTCTGTTGATTAATTCCGGCCGCTTTCTTTCAGCTTCTTGCTTTAATCTCATCAGTTGTTCGCACTAGAGTTTAGAATCGATGGTCCTGCCTGGTGGTAACAGCTCATAATGAATAATGCCCTTCCAATCCCACCACATACAGCATCACCTTGTTGCGAGTTAACGCGGGTTTCGCCACAGTCTGTGAAGCCTGACTGGCCTTTGACCACGACCTTTTTTGCTCGTTCTTGTCGTACGTGATCCACTTTTCATCACCAGTTATCAGCTTCTTCAAAAATAGTTTGGTTTCATTACGTCGTAATAAAGAATCACAAATGAGTACACGGTTTAATAGGTTTCTTTCAGTGAGCTCGTGAGGTACCCAAATATCGAGCTTTTTTTGTGTACCCAGTTTTTTTCAAATGCGCCCAAACTGTTTTGTTGTCAATTCCCAGTTCTTCATATACGTCGTAATTACTGATATGCTGATCTTGCTCCACTTTCAAAAATGGCATCCATTTTATCCGTAATAGGGCGACCAGAGCGACGTGTATCCTTGACATCAAATTTTCCGGATTGAAAAGGCTTAAACCAAATTTGTGCTACTCTCACAGACACTGCACTAGGTCTATAAACATTGCAAATTTGTTTCGCGCCTTGCGTTGCATTTTGTACTTTTTTTGTAGTAAAATTTTAAAATGTATCGAATTTCTTTGTTAGATTCACTCAACTTAACAGTACGAAAAATAAATAAACTTCACACATCTTCCTAATTTGAATTTAGAATTATCTTTTTTAAAATTGAAACTTTTAATTATAACCAAAATATAAAATATATAATAACCCAAACCAGCCAGATACAAATAGTATAGCCACAGAGATTTTATTACAAGTTCATACATACTATAATGCGAAAAGACTTTTTCCCCAACCTATTATAATTTTTCGTTTATGTATTGTCTGTATGTTTGGTCACACAAACGAATTTCCCTTTCCCCCTCTCAGAAATTCACCCTATGCTTCATCAATGAATTGCCGCGTGCAACGAGCGACATTAAAAAACCGTCGAAACTACAGAGTGGATTAGTACAAGATGAAGATAAAAATGAAAATTCTGGCCGCGGTGAGTATAGCGATATTGGGTTCAAGCCGATAACCTAAACGCTCTACTAGGTCGAGACAGCAACGCATCTCTTGAGCTTCCTGAGTTCCTCGCCGGATCTTCGCAGGGCTTCGCGTTTCCGATCCGATGGTACATTGGTAAATTCTGCGAAGCACTGCTCTTGCTCGGCCTGGTTTCTGACCCCGGGCGGTGATCGGGCGTCGAGTGAGAGAGTACAAGCGGAGTCGTTTGGTTTGGTGGAGGGCCCTAAAACATCCTTGGGCCCTCTCAACGTCTCCTCTCAACGTCTACGGCCCGTCCAGTCCCATATACCCTGCGCGTCCCCTAAACACGGAAAAGATTCGTATGAGATTCGGCCCACTGACCGAAAAAAAAGTGGCCGAATGTACGTGTCGCAGAACCGATAGCCAATGGATCATACGCGTTCTGAGCTGTAAGACTACGTACCGGTAAGAGCAGCGTCGGGCGTCCCCCTGCCCCGTGGACTTGCACTGATATGCGAGAAAAGGTCCGATGCGTGAGGCAGACTATCGGAGAGACCTACATCCAGCAGTGAAGAGATGCAGCCTGATGACGATATGTTCCTCACCAAACCAACATTAATCACCAGTCCCGCCTTGATGAGAAGCGAGCGAATTGTGACTACCCTCAATTGTCGTGATAACTAAATTGAGTTTTAATCAGTATATAGACGAATACCTTATTATATATTCTGAGCTCCAGCTCGTAACAGTACTGACTTGAAGGAGCTCTGTGTGGTGTCTGGCGACTGCCTCCTGCCCCAAACAGTTACCGCTTCCGGCTCGAAGGGTCCTTGGACACTGGTATGCATCAAAATTGAGTCGTCGACCTTAAATGTCTTAGTGAGCACTCTTGAGTACGAACAGTCTCTAGCTCGAGACCACGTTGAATTTTAATTGTAACGAAACATTCACAGATATTCAAATGTCGGACGATTGTGTAATGGACCCGGACTTCTCTGATGACTCTGGAGAAGAAATGGGATTCAATCCCATCCCATCAGAAAAGAAAAGTAGCGATAAATTTAGGGGATCTAAGGGAGATAATGAAACCGCCTTCAAGGATAACGTGAGTTTACATGTTGATATTTATTTAGTCATTCATCCAATTCATTCGTTCATGTTTTTTTGACAAACTAGAATTACATTATGGTGCATTAAAGATAGTTCAAACAAAAACTAAACAAGTTTCCATAATTAAGACAACACAATCCACTGGGTTGTTAAAAAAAAAAACAAAAAACAAATTAATGATATCGAGGGAGGAAAAGAAATTTGGTTTAAGCGACGAGTTCTGGCAGGCGATGCTCGATTTCTGCGTCCGCCAACCCGCAGAAGGAGGTGGCGGAACAGGAGATGGAGAGATCTTCTTCTTTCTTAGCAATCCATGGATTCGTCAGTGAAATTGCAGAGGAATTTATACGAAGGCTAAGAACGGGCTAGCTACCTTAGTGCCGGTCCAAGCGCCTATTAATGCACAATACTCTCACCGCCAAATAGTGTACCATAGGACACATCACGTCGCAGCGAAGTGGCAACCGCGTGGCAAGAGAAGATCTGATCAACGACTCTCCTCCATTCTCCACCTTGAGACGTGACACCGAAATCTCAATCTGCATTATGTTGTCTCCTCAAAAGACGAACATAAGGCATTAATGTTTTCAAAATTTAAACGAATATTTACAGACCGAAGTATCCAGTCCGCCGCGTTTGAAAATCACCAGCAACAAGCCCACCGCGATATCGTCGAATGTGGATTGTTCTGGAAGTTCAAATGTTAGCGTAGACTTAAAAGATAAAGCCAATAACGAAGGTAAGAAGCATCGTCAAGGATCATTCACTGCCTCTTATCCCACATTACGTGGAGTCGAGTAACCGATAAAAAAGGTACAGCGAGTCATTTAGAGAATAAAAATAATAATTGTAATTTACAGTGAACCAAGATTTGAGCAGTTCTGTTGATCACCAACAACAAGATGCCTTGGTAAACGTCAGGAGGGTGCCTAAGAAGAAATCCCAACATAGTTCTCCAAAGAAATTGAAGACAAACAGTATGAAAAGTTTGGACAAAAATGTAAGTGGTGACAACCCTATTCGTTAAGGTTGTCTCGAAGTTAAAAAAGTTATTATTCTTACAGGATGATATTTCTTCATCGCGAAAGTCATTCCTGAACGTATTTCAAGAGCGTATTTCGTTAGACAAATCGGTTCCTGTCTGCGGGATTCGAACCTTGGCACGGTCGCGTCGCTCTATTTGAACGCACCGGCCGTCTTATCCCGCAGGTCACAACAACATCGAAACACTGTTCATATATTGGATTGGGGAAAAAGTTTCTTCGCATTTTTTAAGAAAATTCACAACATTTTTTTATATAGTTACGTTCTGTTTTGTTATTCCCTTCCCACAAAACCAGTTTCTATTCTCACTCCTTTACTGTGCACGCGGTCAGACTGTGGAATTCGTTGCCGGCTGACATCCGAGTTTGCAAGTCTGTTTCTGTTTTTAAATACAAGGTCAAACAATTTTATCTCTCATCAACCGAATGATCATGGTTCTATACTCTTCGTATATACGAGTGTTACTGTGTTACTTATGATATTTGCTATGTGTATGTGCTATAATTCTCATGTTGTATTTGTTATTTTAGTTATGTGTTATTTGTTCTACACACACTTATCATTTTTTATTATTATTCTCATTATCCTCTCGCAGGTCTGCTGGAAGAGATTTCTCAAAGAAATAAGCAGTGCCTTTGTACATAATTTTCCTATTACTCTGTACTGTGTCTTGTTTTCTGTGTGTACATAAATAAATAAATTAAATAAAAATAGGTTTATTTACATTTAACTAAAGTATGTAGGTACCATTTTGTTCGATGACTTTTTGCCATATTGTAGGTAAGGACATGATCCCATTGCTATAGAAATTTTGGGGCTTCCCGATCAAAATACCGCGACAATTGGTTTTGATAGTCCTCTCGTGATGTTAACCTGACACTACCTAAAGATTTCTGAAGACACCGAAACAGGTGGAAATCTGAAGGTGCAAGGTCAGGACTATACAGCGAATGCATTGACACCTTCCAGCCAAGCTCTCTTATTTTTACTGAGTGGCTAAAGATGTGAGGTCTAGCGTTATTATGATGAAAAACTACACCCCTTCTGTTGATTAATTCCGGCCGCTTTCTTTCAACTTCTTGCTTTAATCTCATCAGTTGTTCGCAGTAGAGTTTAGAATCGATGGTCCTGCCTAGTGGTAACAGCTCATAATGAATAATGCCCTTCCAATCCCACCACATACAGCATCACCTTGTTGCGAGTTAACGCGGGTTTCGCCACAGTCTGTGAAGCCTGACTGGCCTTTGACCACGACCTTTTTTGCTCGTTCTTGTCGTACGTGATCCACTTTTCATCACCAGTTATCAGCTTCTTCAAAAATAGTTTGGTTTCATTACGTCGTAATAAAGAATCACAAATGAGTACACGGTTTAATAGGTTTCTTTCAGTGAGCTCGTGAGGTACCCAAATATCGAGCTTTTTTGTGTACCCAGTTTTTTTCAAATGCGCCCAAACTGTTTTGTTGTCAATTCCCAGCTCTTCATATACGTCGTAATTACTGAAATGCCGATCTTGCTCCACTTTTTCAAAAATGGCATCCATTTTATCCGTAATAGGGCGACCAGAGCGACGTGTATCCTTGACATCAAATTTTCCGGATTGAAAAGGCTTAAACCAAATTTGTGCTACTCTCACAGACACTGCACTAGGTCTATAAACATTGCAAATTTTTTTCGTCCCTTGCGTTGCATCTTGTACCTTTTTTGTAGTAAAATTTTAAAATGTATCGAATTTCTTCGTTAGATTCACTCAACTTAACAGTACGAAAAATAAATAAAAATCACACATCTTCATAATTTGAATTTAGAATTATCTTTTTTAAAATTGAATCTTTTAATGATAACCAAAATATAAAATATATAATAACCCAAACCAGCCAGATACAAATAGTATAGCCACAGAGATTTTATTACAAGTTCATACATACTATAATGCGAAAAGACTTTTTCCCCAACCTATTATAATTTTTCGTTTATGTATTGTCTGTATGTTTGGTCACACAAACGAATTTCCCTTTCCCCCTCTCAGAAATTCACCCTATGCTTCATCAATGAATTGCCGCGTGCAACGAGCGACATTAAAAAACCGTCGAAACTACAGAGTGGATTAGTACAAGATGAAGATAAAAATGAAAATTCTGGCCGCGGTGAGTATAGCGATATTGGGTTCAAGCCGATAACCTAAACGCTCTACTAGGTCGAGACAGCAACGCATCTCTTGAGCTTCCTGAGTTCCTCGCCGGATCTTCGCAGTGCTTCGCGTTTCCGATCCGATGGTACATTGGTAAATTCTGCGAAGCACTGCTCTTGCTCGGCCTGGTTTCTGACCCCGGGCGGTGATCGGGCGTCGAGTGAGAGAGTGCAAGCGGAGTCGTTTGGTTTGGTGGAGGGCCCTAAAACATCCTTGGGCCCTCTCAACGTCTCCTCTCAACGTCTACGCCCCGTCCAGTCCCATATACCCTGCGCGTCCCCTAAACACGGAAAAGATTCGTATGAGATTCGGCCCACTGACCGAAAAAAAAGTGGCCGAATGTACGTGTCGCAGAACCGATAGCCAATGGAGCATACGCGTTCTGGGCTCTAAGACTACGTACCGGTAAGAGCAGCGTCGGGCGTCCCCCTGCCCCGTGGACTTGCACTGATATGCGAGAAAAGGTCCGATGCGTGAGGCAGACTATCGGAGAGACCTACATCCAGCAGTGGAGAGATGCAGCCTGATGACGATAAGTTCCTCACCAAACCAACATTAATCACCAGTCCCGCCTTGATGAGAAGCGAGCGAATTGTGACTACCCTCAATTGTCGTGATAACTAAATTGAGTTTTAATCAGTATATAGACGAATACCTTATTATATATTCTGAGCTCCAGCTCGTAACAGTACTGACTTGAAGGAGCTCAGTCGTGTCTGGCGACTGCCTCCTGCCCCAAACAGTTACCGCTTCCGGCTCGAAGGGTCCTTGGACACTAGTATGCATCAGAATTGAGTCGTCGACCTTAAATGGCTTAGTGAGCACTCTTGAGTACGAACCGTCTCTAGCTCGAGACCACGTTCAATTTTAATTGTAACGAAACATTTACAGATATTCAAATGTCGGACGATTGTGTAATGGACCCGGACTTCTCTGATGACTCTGGAGAAGAAATGAGATTCAATCCCATCCCATCAGAAAAGAAAAGTAGCGATAAATTTAGGGGATCTAAGGGAGATAATGAAACCGCCTTCAAGGATAACGTGAGTTTACATGTTGATATTTATTTAGTCATTCATCCAATTCATTCGTTCATGTTTTTTTGACAAACTAGAATTACATTATGGTGCATTAAAGATAGTTCAAACAAAAACTAAACAGGTTTCCATAATTAAGACAACACAATCCACTGGGTTGTTTAAAAAAAAAACAAAAAACAAATTAATGATATCGAGGGAGGAAAAGAAATTTGGTTTAAGCGACGAGTTCTGGCAGGCGATGCTCGATTTCTGCGTCCACCAACCCGCAGAAGGAGGTGGCGGAACAGGAGATGGAGAGATCTTCTTCTTTCTTAGCAATCCATGGATTCGTCAGTGAAATCGCAGAGGAATTTATACGAAGGCTTCGAACGGGCTAGCTACCTTAGTGCCGGTCCAAGCGCCTATTAATGCACATTACTCTCACCGCCAAATAGTGTACCATAGGACACATCACGTCGCAGCGAAGTGGCAACCGCGTGGCAAGAGAAGATCTGATCAACGACTATCCTCCATTCTCCACCTTGAGACGTGACACCGAAATCTCAATCTGCATTATGTTGTCTCCTCAAAAGACGAACATAAGGCATTAATGTTTTCAGAATTTACACGAATATTTACAGACCAAAGTATCCAGGCTGTCGCATTTGAAAATCACTAAGAACATGTCCATCGCGATACCGCCGAGAAACAGTAGAATAAGCTTAAACGAAAAGGTAAGTGTTGACAACCCTATTCGATAAGGTTGTCTCGACGCTAAAAAAGACATTGTTCTTACTTAGAAGACATCACAATCACGTGACATTGTACATATTAATGTAGAAGCTGTCGAAGTCAACGAATTTTCCAGTGTTTTTTTAATATATATATATTGCGTAAGCCGGTAAACATCCATCTAGTGTTTGAGTGGTTACAGAAGTATATAGACATCCACTTAAATTATAAATGTAAAATCTAATTCTCACGGGAACTTACACTGATGCTATTGAACAGCCAGTTACAACGTGAATTTCGCCACCCAAGTTGAGACGTGAGTTCTAAGTCTCAGCTCTACAGTACATCGACTGCCCCGCCCTTCAAACCGAAACGCGTTACTGCTTCACAGCAGAAATAGGCAGGGCGATGGTGCCTACCCGGGCGGAGATTCACAAGACGTTCTACCACCAGTAATTACGCTATTACTCAGTGGCGGAAGTCATTCGTGAACATATCTTAAGAGCGTATTTCGTTAGACAAATCGGTTACTGTCTGTGGAATTCGAAACTTTGCACAGCCGCCTCGCTCTACGAACGCACCGGCCGTCTTATCCCGCAGGCCACGACAACATCGAAGCACTGTTGTTCATTTATAATGTTTATTTTATGTATTGTCTGTATGTTGGTTACACAAACGAATTCCCCTTTCTCACTCTCAGAAATTCACCGTATGCTACATCACTGATTTGCCGCGTGCAACAAGCGACTTTAGCAAACCGACAAACACAGAGATCATGTTTGTACAACATGAATATAAAAATGAAAATTCTGACCGCGGTGAGTATAGCAATGTTGGGTTCAAACCTGAACACTCTACTAGGTCGAGACAGCAACACATCTCTTGACCTTCCTGAGTTTCTCGCCTGATCATTGCGGTAGGTGGCGATTCCGATCCGGTGTTAAAGTGGTAAATTTTATTTATTTATTTATTCATAACTTCTTATACTATAAAGTATAAAGGCGGACTTAATGCCATAGGCATTCTCTAACAGTCTACCTTAGGGGAGTGCAGAGATGAAGCTTGGTAGGTGTAGTGTGAAGGTGATATTACTTGAACATAATAATATGTGTATATATAACATACAAATTTAAAACAACATATATATAACATATTATGTGTTAATTATATGTGTTAAATTTATAACACATATAACAACATATAAATTTAGCGAAGCACTGCTCTTGCTAGAGCCAGTGTTGGTAAAGTCTCTCCTACCAATCACAGCGAAGCTGGAATAGCCCTTTAGGCTACCAGCGAATAGGTAACGGAAAAAAACATTAAAGAAACGGAGAAGTAGGAGTGGGTGATATAAATCGTATATAGATTCAATATCTATATATCGCAGCAATATCGTTGAATCCGATATCGCCCCGCACGAAATCTATATATCGATATCAGCCGATACACGATATTGCTCGATGTGATGCGCATCGGCATATCGGACCGATTCGTGAATCGAAACCTATATTTCGATATCAGCCGATACACGATATTGCTCGATGTGATGCGCATCTGCATATCGTACCGATTCGTTAATATCAGCAATATTCGTTTGGTTCATATCGAATCGGCCAGAGTGAGTGAGCGCACGATAGGGATATCATGTGATTAATGAAACAGAAACAGGCATTATCCATACAATTGTAAACCTTATATTTAAGTCCATATGTCTGTAAATTATTCTTAGTGTATCAGCAGGATACAATTTAGGAAAGAAGTTTCAACTTTCGACCCTAACTTGAATGCAGTATAGCCTATTTGCATCGTTGAATTTAATTTCACGCGCTTTGACCTTGAACTAGAATTTTTGGACAAGTGTTTATAAATATGTACTTAAAAGTTTTTTGTGTTTGATTTTTAAAGTACACATTTTTCTATTTTTAGTTGAATCCAAATAATTGAGTTTATTTCTTGTGTTTGTATTAAACTTTTGAAATCTACTCTTTTGGTATATTTTGTAATTTTAAATTAAGACACAAAATACTAAAAACTGAAAATAATGTAGCCAGTCCTAAGCCTGGTAAAAGCATGAAGGAAAGTTTTTTTGATATTTTTATTTTCATGTTCTTTTTATTACTTTAAGATCATATTATAAATTGATATCAGAAAACCAACCGTATAACGTTGACTTAAATCTATATCTACTACGATATTATATCAGCGTATCGTTTCAAATCTCAAATATCATGAATCGAGAAAATCTACTAGCATCCATCAATATATAGATTCAGAAAATATATAGATTCAATATCCGATATTGATACTCGATATATAGATACGATTCGATACGCGGCAAAACCGATATTACCCACTCCTACGGAGAAGACACTGAAGCCTCACATCGGAAGCCAACATACGTCCTCGTCATCGCTCGATCATCTATAATTGTGACATTATATCTGTAGAACGTGTGAGAACGTAACGTATTATAAAAAAACGCGGGACGGAGCGTTAAGGTGCGAGCGAGAGAAAACGATAAGGAAGAGAGAAACAATAAAGATATGCAAAGCAAGATTTCGGGAATGATTAAACAACCGATGTGTAAAAAATGGTGTCATTTAATTCTTAATTATAAGTACTTAAAGGGGAATAAAGGGAATTATTTGGGAAAATAATTCCCTTTATTCCTTTTGACTCCATACAGAGGAGGGCCGTTCGGATTGTGGATAATCCCATTCTCACGGATCGTTTGGAACCTCTGGGTCTGCGGAGGGACTTCAGTTCCCTCTGTATTTTGTACCGTATGTTCCATGGGGAGTGCTCTGAGGAATTGTTCGAGATGATACCGGCATCTCGTTTTTACCATCGCACCGCCCGCCACCGGAGTAGAGTTCATCCATACTACCTGGAGCCACTGCGGTCATCCACAGTGCGTTTCCAGAGGTCTTTTTTTCCACGTACTATCCGGCTATGGAATGAACTCCCCTCCACGGTGTTTCCCGAGCGCTATGACATGTCCTTCTTCAAACGAGGCTTGTGGAGAGTACTCAACGGTAGGCAGCGGCTTGGCTCTGCCCCTGGCATTGCTGAAGTCCATGCATGAAGTCCATGCAGGCGACGGTAACCACTCACCATCAGGTGGGCCGTATGCTCGTCTGCCTACAAGGGCAATAAAATAATAATAATAATAATATTCATAGATAGAAACAAGTATTACGGTTTTATTTTACGCGCCACGTATCCCAATTCTACATGTCTCTCACAATTATTACATACATTATACATATGAATTATGGGCTATGAAGTTGTTTTTTTTGTGATTGAGGGATTACTGGTGGCCCGGAGGCTTATCCAGTTACACCAGGACAGGCTCAGCCAGGGGGGTGGGATTTGCTAACAGCTACTCGAGCGCCTCCAAAGAAGATCTAACAACTCGAATAGCTTGAGTAGCTGCTATGCGAATGAATCTACTGGCAGATCGGAATCTGGCGAGAAACTCAGCGAGCTACTGTTAAGGGCGGGCTGCAATCGAACTCTTTGTCACGTCTCATTGAATGCCGCGAGTCGGCCTGAGGGACTTACGAGGGGGGCATAGTACTACCGTATCCGACTTGAGAGTACGAAGTAAGGGGTAGTAAGACCCGTTGGGAGGGCGAGAGTTCTTCTTAGAAATCAGACCATCTGGCATTGAAGTGGCAAGGGGCCGAATGTACGTGTCGCAGAACCGTAAGCCAATGGAGCAGACGAGCTTTGGACTGGAAGTCCACGTACCTGTGAGGGCAGCGTAGGGCGTCCCCCTGCCCCGTGGACTGATGACTAGCGCTGATATGCAGGAAGGGGTCCGATGTTGAAGGCAGACTATCGGAGAGGCGTACATCCAGCAGTGGAGAGATGCAGCCTGATTGTTCCTCACCAAACCAACATTAATCGCCAGTCCCGCCCTGATGCGAAGCCAGCGAATTGTGACTGAAGTGACTACCCTCAATTGTCGTGATAACTAAATTGAGTTTTAACCGATATATAGACGAATAGCTTGTTATATATTCTGAGCTCCAGCTCGTAACCGTACTGATTTAAAAGAGCGCGGTCGTGTCTGGCGACTGCCTCCTGCCCCTAAACAGTTATCGCTTCCGGCTCGAAGGGCCCTTGGACACAGGTATGCATCAGAATTGAGTCGTCTACCTTAAATCGCTTAGTGGGAGCCCGTGAGCACTCGTTAGTACTAGCCGTCTCTAGCTCGAGACCGTGTTGGGCTTTAATTGTAACAAAATGTTTACAGATATTAGAATCTCGGACGATTGTGTCATAGACGCGGACTTCATCGATGACTCTGCAGAAAATTTGGGATCTAAATTTTGGGGATTTCAAGGAGATATTGAAACCGCCTTCGAGGATGACGTGAGTTTACATGTTGATATTTTATTTAATCATTCACTCAATAATTTTTTTTTTTTTTTAACAAACAGAATTACATTATGGTGTATTAAAGATAGTTAAACAAAAACTAAACAGGTTTCCATAGTGAACATAACACAATCGAATGGGTAGTATACAAAAAACAAATTAAGAATATCAAGGGGAAAGGCTATTTAGTTGAAGCAATGAGTCCTGGCAGGCGATGCTCGACTTCTGCGAGTCCATCATCTCAGAAGGAGGTGGCGGAACGGGAGAAGAGAGCTCTTCTTCCCTCTAGGTGCCGTTTTTTTTTTGTCTTGCCGTCGCCGCGGGGTCGTCGTTCGGCGTCGTCGATGTTGTCTCCTCAAAAGACGAACATAAGGCAATAATGTTTTCAGAATTTAAACGTTATATATTATTTACAGGCTGAAGTGTCCAGGCTGTCGCGTTTGGAAATCAGCCAGAACGAGTACATCGAGATTTTACCGAATGTGGATTGTTCTGGAAGTCCAAATGTTAGCGCAGATTTAAAAGATAAAGCCAATAACGAAGGTAAGAAGCATCGTCAAGGATCATTCACTGCCTCTTATCCCACATTACGTGGAGTCGAGTAACCGATAAAAATGTGCGGTGAGCCATCTAGAGCAGCGGTCGGGGAAGCGGGGTAAATAACCCCTAATGGGGTAAAATCAACTTTTGGGGGGTAAAAATGAAACTTTTGTGAGTAAAAAGTATATATTGAAGTGAAACTTCTTTAGAATCGTTAAATTTTTAGTTATTGTTTTCTTTTCAAAATTATCATGGGGCCTTTAATATGAAAGATGCTAAAAAGAAGCAATTTCGTTCTTTTTTTTGTTCTTCGCCATGTTGTAATATCAACTTACACAACAATGTTTTGGGGTAATAATTAAAAAAAATCCCCGACCGCTGATCTAGAGGATCAAAAAAATTATTGTAATTTACAGTGATCGAAGACTTCATCGGTTCTGTTGAACAAGAACGAGAAGAAGATACCTTGGTATACGTCAAGAGTGCGGCGGCGAACGGTAATCGGTGGACTCAAAAGATAATAAAAAGAAATAGTAAGATAAGCTTGGACAAAAAGGTATGTGTCATCAACCCTATTCGTTAAGGTTGTCTCGACCTAGTGTTTGAGTTTTTATTTTATTTTTATTGCTTAGATGGGTGGACGAGCTCGCAGCCCACCTGGTGTTAAGTGGTTACTGGAGCCCATAGACATCTACAACGTAAATGCGCCACCCACCTTGAGATATAAGTTCTAAGGTCTCAGTATTGTTACAACGGCTACCCCACCCTTCAAACCGAAACGCATTACTGCTTCACGGCAGAAATAGGCAGGGCGGTGGTACCTACCCGTGCGGACTCACAATAGGTCCTACCACCAGTGTGTTTGCTTGTCCTTCTTTCACGCTGAAACGAAGCCACGACAACGGCCTAAGATGTTTATAAAGTGGCCGTATTAGGTCGGGAGAGTGACATGGGTCCTATCCCGAAAAAGCATCTAATTCTCACAGGAACTTACACTGATGCTGTTGAACAGCCATTAACAATGTAAATGTCGGTACCCAAGTTGAGACATGAGTTCTGAGTCTCAGCTCTACAGTACATCGACTGTCTCGCCCTTCAAACCGAAACGCGTTACTGCTTCACGGCAGAAATAGGCAGGGCGGTGGTGCCTACACGTGCGCACTCACAAGACGTTCTACCACCAGTAATACTAAAGTATTACTAAATATTACACGATGCTATTCCTTCATCGTGGAAGTCTTTTGTGAACATATCTTAAGAGCGTATTTCGTTAGACAAATCGGTTACTGTCTGCGGGATTCGAATCTTGGCACAGCCGCGTCGCTCTATGCGAACGCACCGGCCGTCTTATCCCGCAGGCCACGACAACATCAAAGCACTGTTCGTTTATAATGTTTATTTTATGTATTGTCTGTCTGTTGGTCACACAAACGAATTCCCTTCCCCCCTTTCAGAAATTCACCGAGTGCTTCCTCAATGGTGTGCCGCATGCAATGACGGACCTGCATAGCGTATTTGTAAAAGAAGAATTTAAAATTGAAAAATCTGACAGCGGTGAGTATAGCGATATTAGGTTCGCACCAAATAACCTAAGCACTCCGCAACACATCTCTTGAACTCAACGAGTTTCACGCCGCATCTTCTCAGTGCGGGTTACTTTACTTTTCGAGCGTTCTCAATGTTACCATTCCTTTTATATTTGTTTCTGCTATTCGACGATAGATGTCGTTACTCTTACCGGCGTAACATTATTTATTCTGAGCTCCAGCTCGTAACAGTACCGACTTGAAGGAGCGCGGTCGTGTCTGGCGATTGCCTCCTGTCCATAAACAGTTATAGTAAGCGGCACGTAAGTTGGCAAGGTTTTGGTGTAGTGAGGGGTAATGTCGCGCATAGTGCACATTGCAACAAAAAAATGGTCACTTTTATTGCCCGCATATAATTTAATTTAATTATATTTTATTGTTTATTTGCCATAACTTATTTTTAAGCCTGTGTGTTTTGAAGAAAGTTAAAGAAAAGATAGGAATTTGTGAAGTGTATTAGGTGTTATAAATAAAATACAATTAAAAGTTAAGAAGTTTATTTTAAAAAATATACTTAATATTAAAAATTATTTGTCGCCGTCGTCGACTCTTGCCAAGTTACGTGCCGGGGACTATACCGCTTTCGGCTCGAAAGGTCCTTGGACAGTGGTGTGCATCAGAATTGAGTCGTCGACCTTAAATGTCTTAGTGAGCACTCTTGAGTACGAACCGTCTCTAGCTCGAGACCACGTTCAATTTTAATTGTTACGAAACATTTACAGATATTCAAATGTCGGACGAGTGTCCAATGGACGCGGACTTCGCTGTTGACGTTGCAGAAAAAAATGGATTAAGTGAATCTGAGGGAGATAGTGAAACAGCCAACGAGGATGACGTGAGTTTACATGTTGATATTTTATTTAGTCATTCACTCAATCATTCGTTCATATTTTTTTCACAAATGTTCCATGGGGAGTGCTCTGAGGAATTGTTCGAGATGATACCGGCATCTCGTTTTTACCATCGCACCGCCCGCCACCGGAGCATCCATACTGCCTGGAGCCACTGCCTCATCCACAGTGCGTTTCCAGAGGTCTTTTTGCCACGTACCATCCGGCTATGGAATGAACTCCCCTCTACGGTGTTTCACAAGCGCTATGACATGTCCTTCTTCAAACGAGGCTTGTGGAGAGTATTAAGCAGTAGGCAGCGGCTTGGCTCTGCCCCTGGCATTGCTGAAGTCCATGGGCGACGGTAACCACTTACCATCAGGTAGGCCGTACGCTCGTCTGCCTACAAAGGCAATAAAAAATAAAATAAAATAAAACTAGAATTACATTATGGTGTATTAAAGATAGTTAAACAAAAACTAAGCAGGGTTACTATAGTTAACACAACACAATCGAATAAATAAAAAAAAACTACTACTTATAAATCGCAAGTGATTAATATTAGAGTATGTATAAAATGAATAAAACGAATCATAGAACGTGATTAAGTAACCTTAGTATTTATTTTTATTGCTTAGATGGGTGGACGAGCTCACAGCCCACCTGGTGTTAAGTGGTTACTGGAGCCCATAGACATCTACAACGTAAATGCGCCACCTACCTTGAGGTATAAGTTCTAAGGTCTCAAGTATAGTTACAACGGCTGCCCTACCCTTTAAACCGAAACGCATTACTGCTTCACGGCAGAAATAGGCAGGGTGGTGGTACCTACCCGCGCGGACTCACGAGAGGTCCTGCCACCCTGTCAATTGGGTCTTTTTAGCAACACGAACGATTAGCGTATCTTCTCTGGGACAGGTTTTTCGTGGTCGAGCCTTTCTGAGAACGTTTTCAACAGTTCCATGTGTTTTATAATGATCAATTGCATTAAAAACTTTCATAACAGAAGTTTCAATGCTCTGCTATTCTTCTGTACGCCCACGTATGATCTATTTGTAAATTAACTATTTTTGACCTAGTTGACGTGTCACAGTTTTAATTTTTTGCCCATTTTGAATAAAATAAAATTTAGCTAAACTTTTGAATTTCCGCCAAAACAATAATAGAAAAAGCCAAGAAATAAATGTTATGCTCCAATTTAAAAAAAAAAGAGCGAGCTATGGCTGCTTTTTTTAAATGTTTCTAATTAGGCGTCCAAATAATAGAAAACTCCTGTATGTGTAAGACTCATTTTGTAATTAAAATTATGATATGTTTTATATTTTATATGCATTTAATGAGTTTTTTATTTGAATATCTATTTTGTTGCATGACTTAATTATTGAATGTGTATATTTTTAAAGGAACATTTGTACTTTGAAATTATATTTTCTTTATTCATAAGAAGTATTTCAATAATATTATATGACCACCACTGTATAATATTCATTTTATGTATTGTCTGTATGTTGGTGACACAAACGAATTCCCCTTTCTCCCTCTCAGATATTCACCGGGTGCCTCCTCAATGAAGTGCCGTATACAACGAGTGATATTTGCAATCAGACTGACCTAGACCTAGAATTATTTGTAAAAGATGAAGTTAAAAGTGAACATTCTGAGAGCGGTGAGTATAGCCATGTTAGGTTCGCACCAAATAACCTAAGCACTCCGCTAGATCGGAACACCTCTCTTGAACCCATCGAGTTTCATGCCGGACCTTCTCGGTGAGTCGCGATTCCGATCCGGTGGTAGATTCTGCGAAGCACTACTCTTGTTAGGACTAGTGTTAGCAAATTCTCTCATGTTGAGCCGGTGAGCTCACCTACCCATCGGGGCGTAGCTGGAATAACCTCTTAGGCTACTAGCAACTAGCTGGGGGAAAAAAAAATTAAAAGAGATGCAAAGCAAGATTGCAAGACTTGAAGGAGCTCAGTCGTGTCTGGCGACTGCCTCCTGCACCCAAACAATTACCGCTTCCGGCTCGAAGGGTCGTACGACACTGGTGTACACCAGAATTGAGTCGTTCAAATCGCTTAGTGAGCGCCTGTGAGCACTCGTGAGTACGAGCCGTTTCTAGCTCGAGATCGTGTTGAGTTTTCATTGTAAGGAAACATTTACAGATAATGATATCTCGGACGAGTGTCCCATAGACGCGGACCTCGCTTTTGACGTTGCAGAAAAAAATGGATTAAGTGAATCTGAGGGAGATATTGAAACCGCCTTCGAGACTGACGTGAGTTTACATGTTGATATTTATTAAGTCATTCATTAAATCATTCGTTCATATATTTTTGACAAACCAGAATAACATTATGGTGTATTAAGGATAGTTAAACACTAAACAGGTTTCCATAATTAACACTTGACACCAACAATCGACTGTTAGCAACACTCAAGGGCGGATCCAGCTATGGCGCCAGGAGGGTGTCACATAGTCAAATTTAGATGCGTTCGTTCCCAAACGTTTGCCATTATACAAAGTTAATATATTAAATGAATTAAATATTGAAGGTATGTAGTTCTATAACATCTGTATGGTGACAAAATATATAAATAAAATCATTATATTCAATTAGTGGTCCACCTAAGTCCTGGAACCAGCTCAGGGTGTGGTCATGACCCCCATGACCCCCCCCCTGGATCCGCCATTGGCAACACTCCGGTTTCAACCCCGTGAGCTCACATACATCCTTCGTTATTTCCACAATTTTAATGTTATATATGTTACGGTAAAAGTAGATACTTTTTTTTTATTGCTTAGTTGGGTGGACGAGCTCACAGCCCACCTGGTGTTAAGTGATTACTGGAGCCCATAGACATCTACAACGTAAATGCGCCATCCACCTTGAGATATAAGTTCGAAGGTCTCAAGTATAGTTACAACGGCTGCCCCACCCTTCAAACCGAAACGCATTACTGCTTCACGGCAGAAATAAGCAGGGTGGTGGTACCTACCCGCGCGGACTCTCAAGAGCTCCTACCACCAGTAAAAATACTGCGGCAAATGTACACATTTTCTGGTAAATGTGCACATTTGCCACCTCGGTTGGGTAATGTGCATTTCACTAACATTTACAATTTCAAAGAAGGTAAATGTACATTGAATTCACAATGACCATGTCGTTTTGGTAAATGTGAGCATGGCGTACAAAATTAGAAATCCCAAGTGCTAGTATAGCGCATGCGCTTGCTTTTTTTTTAAGGGATTTTATGACCTGGTAACTGAGACCTTTAAGTCATATCTTATTTTAATTTATATTCATATTTTTTATGAAAAATGATATTATGGAGTGAAATGAAATGAAGATGATTAATTTGAGACATTAATCAGCTGGGATGAAATGAAATGAAATGAGATTATATGGGATGAAATATAATCTCAGTAAAATGGTGGTCATTTACTAAGATTTTTTCAGTGGACTTTTTGGAGGATCCCGAGAAGTTACGTCCAGCGGCTTTGTTATATTTTCCCACATTTGTGCACTTTCACAGATATTAAACAGTTAATAAACCACCATTATTACACATTTAATCCCGAAGAAACACTAAATAGACAAAATAAAACAAATCACACTTCACTCATCGCGTTCCCGCCAAAAAGTCCGCATGCGCTTGCGTAACCTAACCTAACCTAACCTACGACATATTATATAATATGCAAAAAAAAAGTATGTTTTGTTTGTCATTTGTATTTTTTAATTAAAATAATTTTCACTGCGAAAACATGTCACTTTTCAATGTATTTTTTATTTATTTTTTCTATTGTTACACTTATATTTTTTACGGACTCGCCCCTCGGCCCGCGAGCTAAACGCGCGATAAGCGAGTCCGTTACAAAATTTTATTTCTTTTTTATTATTTTTACACTATAGAAGATTCAGAACATGGACGATGAGGGGGATATGACTTTGAAAGTAAAACTTGAAGACAACGAAGATTTACAGTCTGATTGTCTCGAAGAGGAGAATGATAGCGAGTGGATGCGCGTAGGTGAGTTTGACGTCCGCCTGTCACCTTTGATTATTGGTTGGCTGGTGGAAATGTGTCTTAGGGTTTCCCAACGGCCATCTAAGTATTACCTCTTGTGAGTTCGCGCGGGTAGGTACCACCACCCTGTCTAATTCTGCCGTGAATGTGTTTCAGTTTGATTGACGGGGCAGCTGTTGTAACTATACTGAGACCTTAGAACTCATACCTCAAGGAGGGTGGCGGTATCTAAGTTGTAGATGTCTATGGGCTCGAGTAACCACTTAACGCCAGGTGGGCTGTGAGCTCGTTAATCCATCTAAGCAATAATGAGTAAAAGTACGAGGAGGAGTACGAGCACTTTGAGCGAGGAAGGCTCTTTTTTACTGCTCATTTTGATTAACGTGCCGCTGAGTGGTAATCAGAGCTCATAGACATCAACCACGTTGAGACACGAGTCCTGAAGTCTCAGTTTTTACAGTACAACGGCTGCCCCACCCTACAAACAAGAACGCGTTACTGCTTCGCGGCAGAAATGGGCAGGGCGGTGGTAACTTTGAAAATTATGAAAGCTTTAGACTGCAGTCGCGCTACGAGCAGAGCACACTTTAATTATTATTAAATTCGTTATTTCAGATAATAATCCATATAAATGTTAGTCACAGTTATTTCTTAACAGTAAGTTAGTAAGGACACAGTAATAAAAGAAAACAACAACATTCATATTATATACGATTGCAATAGCGGCATTACGAACAAATTTTGTAGACCTCTCTGCAATGATTCAGAAAAGGTCCATCTAATCTAGATGATAGGATGCTGTTGGAGCTAGCCCCTCCCTGCAGAGCAAGGATGCGCATCATCATCATCATCAACAGCCCACAGTCGTCCACTGCTGGACATAGGCCTCTCCCAATCCACACCATTGATGCGCATCGCTTTCTTAATATAAATATAAAATTGATCCGTCGCGTCTTGCACCCCAGAGGCCGAGGCGAATCCGGGGACTGTGGAACAGGAGCACCCCCCGGCTAGAGTCCCGGGCGCGTTGAAGAGGAAGGCCAAACGTTGCCCGGCGAAGAAGACGAAGAAAGCGAAACGCGTCCAAAGGAAACGGCGTGAACAAAAAGGTGACAAAAACATTTATATTATAATATTACTAGCAGACCCGGCAGACTTCGTAGTGTCTCAATCGATAAATAAAAGACCTAAACTTTTATTTATAACAAGTTACGTCGGTCGTATTGTAATGAGCGATTTAGTGGGCAACTTCATTCTGTTCATTTTGTGTCACGGTGCGCGCGCATCGTAGAATTTCACTCTCACCAATTTTTTATAACGCGCCTAAAGAAGTATAACTTCAAAATAAAATTTAGGCGTGGACCACCCTTAACATTTGGGGGGATGAAAAATAGATGTTGTCCGATTCTCCAACTTGGCCGATATGCACGCTAAGATTCACGAAAATCGGTCCAGCCGTTACGGAGGAGTTCAATCACGCACACTGTGACACGAGAATTTTATATATATTAGATATAATATTTACTGGTGGTAGGACCTCTTGTGAGTCCGCGTGGGTGGGTACCACCACCCTGCCTATTTCTGCCGTGAAGCAGTAATGCGTTTCGGTTTGAAGGGTGGGGCAGCCGTTGTAACTACTTAGTCTGGCCATAAATACTGTTACAATTAAAAATAAATAAAATATTACATTTGAATTTGGAATCTGTCATTTTTATATGATTGCTCATTGAGTTCTCATTTTGGCGCCAATACATTATACAATATTTTGCGATATTAAAATGGAGTGGTGTGATAAAGAGAACCGAATCGCTGTGATTGCATTACACAAAGTAGGTATGGAGCCAAATGCAATTTTTAAAACTCTCCATACGCTTGGTATTAGTAAAATGTTTGTGTACCGGGCTATTAATATATCTCAAGGTGGTTGGCGGTATTTACATTGTAGATGTCTATTGGCTCCAGTAACTACTTAACACCAGGTGGGCTGTGAGCTCGTCCATCCATCTAAGCCCTAATGAGTAAGAGTACAAGGTGAAGTACGAGCACTTTGAGCGAGGAAGGCTCTTTTTTACTGCTCATATTGATAAACGTGCCGTTGAGTGGTCACCAGAGCTCATAGATATCAACCACGTTGAGACACGAGTCCTGAAGTCTCAGTTTTTACAGTACAACGGCTGCCCCACCCTACAAACAAGAACGCGTTACTGCTTCGCGGCAGAAATGGGGCGGTGGTAACTTTGAAAATTATGAAAGCTTTAGACTGTAGCCGCGCTACGAGCAGAGCAAACTTTAATAAAATTGGTCCGTCGCGTCTTGCACCCCAGAGGCCGAGGCGGATCCGGGGACTGTGGAACAGGAGCACCCCCCGACCAGAGTCCGGGGCGTGTTGAAGAGGAAGGCCAAACGTTGCCTGGCGAAAAAGACGAAGAGAGCGAAACGCGTCCAAAGGAAACGGCGTTAACAAAAAGGTGACAAAGATATTTAAGACGGTATATTTAGCGGTAGGCAGCGGCTTGGCTCTACCCATGGCATTGCTGAAGTCCATGGGCGACGGCAACCACTCACCATCAGGTGGGCCGTATGCTCGTCTGCCTACAAGGGCAATAAAAAAATAAAAAAGATCGGTAAATAAAAGACCTAAACTTTTGTATAAAATAAACTTAAAACAAACAAAAGGAATCCGCCCGACGGGGAACATATCAAAGGGAAAACAAAAATGTTATTGAGCATTTTCATATTTATTTACCTTTTAAGCCTTCTCTGGACTTCCGCAAATAATTCAAGACCAAAATTACCCAAATCGGTCCAGCCGTTCTCGAGTTTTAGGCGAGACTAACGAACAGCAATTCATTTTTATATACCTACTAGCGGACCCGGCGCACTTTGTTCCGCCACACAGTTTGTGTTAAACACGTCAACTTCAAAATTCTACTTTAATTACCATAGAATATATTACGTTTAGCTGTCAGTTGCGTTTTGTTATTGTTTGGGGAGGCTTAACGACGAAAGGAAAGATCTTCCACCGAGCGGATGATATTTGCTCGGTAGACCGACGGTCCGAATGTTGTTGTTCGGAACTTGTATATATGCGCTTTATCTTGAAAATGTCGTAAGCGAGATTCAGGCATCTGTCAATTATCTTGCGTTGTATGATGGCTACCCGCCACAATTGCATATCAGTTGCGTTTTGTTATACCACGTTTTATGTCACGTCCCACGGGAACGTGATAAAAAGTATCCTATGTCCTTCTCCTGGTTCTAAGCTACCTCCTCACCAATTTTCAGCCAAATCAGTTCAGCCATTCTTGAGTTATAAATAGTTTAACTAACACGACTTTCTTTTATATAAATATAGATATAGATAGATGATTCAGCGTTAAAAGACGCCATTTTTTTATATTACGAATATTAATGGGGGACCGCGGCTGTATTTGGTATAGGACGTTCAGGGACTAGGATTGCCACCCGTACTTTATAATAAAGTATTGTAGGTTATGTCAGGTAATTGTAACGGTAAAGTTGATTTGTTTTATTTTGTCTATTTAATGTTTCTTCATGTTTAAATGTGTAATAGCGGTGGCTTATCCCCGTGAGCTCGCCTACTATTTTTTTTTTTTTATTGCTTAGATGGGTGGACGAGCTCACAGCCCACCTGGTGTTAAGTGGTTACTGGAGCCCATAGACATCTACAACGTAAATGCGCCACCCACCTTGAGATATAAGTTCGAAGGTCTCAAGTATAGTTACAACGGCTGCCCCACCTTTTAAACCGAAACGCATTACTGCTTCACGGTAGAAATAAGCAGGGTGGTGGTACCTACCCGCGCGGACTCTCAAGAGGTCCTACCACCAGTAAAAACCACTAGTTCTGTGAATGTAGAATAAACCCTCGAGGTTACTAGAGTAGAGAAGGTTGGATAAAAAAAGAAAAAAAATCTACACATGTGAATTCTGATTATTTAAATTAACATCCTATAAGTTTTAGTTAATGATGCTTACTTCCTGTGACTGCTTCAGACCTTGACCTTCAGGTGTGGTGAGCACTGTGCATCTGCCTTTTGAATTTCAGGGACTTCCTCATAACGGCTAAGCACTCCCAGCAGCATGACCTTCTCCGTGTCATGAAACGATTCTTCCATCTGGACACAGTGTAAAAAGAAACATCAATGATCGACGTACAACGATCGAAACAAGTGGACGTAATAATTCGATTTGTGTAACAGCTTCGTAGTTTATTGTGAAAACCCACAATAAACTACATTATTTTCACAATAAACACCATTATGGTCTGATCTCATGTTTTTTTTTATTTTCATTACTTCCAGCGGTCAAGGGTCACCATAAAAACTGTTAGGTGTTTCTATTAGTTTTAACATTATTGAATAAAATTTATTTCATCTGTAAAAAAATCACGTTTCAAAGTTTTTTTATTGATTAGATGGGTGGACGAGCTCACAGCCCACCTGGTGCTAAGTGGTTTTTTTTATAGCTTAGATGGGTGGACGAGCTCACAGCCCACCTGGTGTTAAGTGGTTACTGGAGCCCATAGACATTCACAACGTAAATGCGCCACCCACCTTGAAATATGCGTTTTAAGGTCTCAAGTATAGTTACAACGGCTGCTCCACCCTTCAAATCGAAACGCATTACTGCTTCACAGCAGAAATAGGCAGGGCGGTGGTACCTACCCGCGCGGCTCACAAGAGGTTCTACCACCATCAAAAAACTTACCGCCAACTGCTAAAGATTTCACGACCATAGACAATACACTTTTCACGACCGACTTTTTCAAATGTTTCACAAACTACGACGACGCGTGGCGCTAGTGTCGCGCTCAGTTGATTACGCGGCAGCGCGGGTACCGGCAAGGTGGCGGGAGATTTCAAAATTTAAACCCTCAAATCGAATATTGCCCCCACTGAAATCAGCTCGGATTTCCCATTACGATACCAATAACAATTATATTTTGTTGATTCAGTTTTTCGAACCTCCTACGAGGAATCCCCGCATCCAATAGTTGCGGCCTGGCTCTGCCCCTGGCATTGCTGACGTCCATGGGCGACGGTAACCACTCACCATCAGGTGGGTCGTTTGCTCGTCGACCCTAAGCGGGCAATAAAAAAGAAAGAATTCCTTTCAAAGTGCGAGAACCAACATGTAAATAAAGTTTATGATGATAATCTATTAAAAGGTCTGTAAACCATTTAAACGTATGACGGTACACACATATGACGGATTATAACGTTTTTGTAAAACATGGTACATGGTGCACCAAGGGAGAAAAGTTGAACATTTCCTCCCGCGTGTTTTACACATGAGATGTCCTACTTTTTTCCCGCGATGCACATACTATTTTTTCTACCAGGCCGAAAGTTCGACTTTGTAAAAAACTTAGCACCCGTGGAGTTCCGAGCCGGGGGCGAAGCCCCGGTGGGGTTCAGGGGCGAAGCCCTGGCGGGAGGTTGGGAGGCGGAGCCCATAAAAATAGTACATTGTGCACCAAGGGAGAAAAGTTGGACATTTCCTCCTGCGTGTAAAATTTAAAAAGTATGGTTTTAACAAAGCAAATTGTAGCTTATAGAACAATATCAATGATTTCTTCACTTCGGAGACAATGCCTCGGTTAGGGATTTTAACTCGACAAAGATTAAGAAAGCTTGAATTCGATAACGAACATTAAAAATTAACAAAAAAAAAATCTTTTGGTTATTTTTTAATTCAAGTCTATCTTATTGCTAGCAATGGCGGCAAGTAGACAGACATGTAATTAATTAGTATAAATTTCGCAACAAATATGAAATTAAGTTTAATATTGCAACGAAAAAATACCTAAATACCTGAAAATATCATGAATCATTCTATAAAATCCTTTAATAGAACACGTAACTCAGAAAATAAGTTTCTCACAATAGGTAACGCGCGAATACATAATTATGTACCTATTAACGAATTAAAGTTTTATAGGAACTGTTTTTACCATAATTTACGTTTCTGTTAAACTAAATTACTGGTATTTGATTTCGTAACGGGTAAAATCTGGCCGAATGATCATAAATGTACGAAAACTCGGGTTTATTAATATTTTAAGTTTTGTAAAAATACGGACTTACCGCCAACTGCTATTTTTTTTAAAAAGGATTTTATGACCTGATAACTAAAACCTTTAAGTCATGTCTTATTTTCATTTATATTAATAATTTTATGGAAAATGATGATATGGGAGTGAAATGAAGTAAAGATAATTAATTTGAAACATTAACAACTGGGATGAAGTTAATTGAAATAAGATGATATGATATGGGATGATATATAAACTCAGTAAAATGGTGCATCTTGGTCATTTACTGAGATTTTTTCAGTGGACTTTTTGGAGGATCCCGAAAAGTTACGTCCAGCGGCTTTCTTTCATTTTCCCACACTTGTGCACTTTCACAGACATTAAACAATTAATAACCGCTATTATACATTTAAACCTGAAGAAACACCAAATAGACAAAATAAAACAAATCACACAACTTCACTCCTCGCGTTCCCGCCAAAAAGTCTCCGCCAACTGCTAAAGATTTCACGACTGACTTTTTCAAATGTTGCACAAACTACGGCTATGCTAATGCGTAGCGCTACTGTTGCGCTCAGTTGATATCAGGTGTATTATCTAAGGATGACGCGCGGGTACCGGGCAAGTTGGAAATTTAAAAAAAAATCGAACATCAACAAACGAATAATTTGATACATTTCTTGGGAGTTATTCAAAGTCGTCACATACTTCGTATGCACATGAGTTAAATTGTTGTGTTTCATTTTATTAATCTTCTAAAATATTCTGAAGAATGAACAAGAGAAGGAAAGAGTAAATCAGAGGCAGTGTGAAAGTAGCACCGGTAATTAACAAATTAAAGAGCGGACGGTTAGCATGGTATGGACGTGTGATGCGTAGAGAGAAGATGCTTGTGACTAGGAGATGTATGGAAATGGTAGTGCAAGGTAGAGGAGGAAGAGGTCGACCGAAGAAGACATGGATGGAGTGTGTAAATGACGATATTAGAGAGAGAGAAGTGAGTGTTGAGATGACGGCTGATAGAAAATGTTTTGATTTTGATGAATTTAATAAATAACATAATATATAACAATTTGTTGAAATTGAAAGGTCTAAATACTGTATATACATATACTAAATAGTGTAATATTTATATATAGTAGGTGTTAAAAACCGAATACAAGTTTATAAAACTTATAAGAATATAAATAAATAACCATAAGAATATAAATTAAAATAAGACATGACTTGAAGGTCTTAGTTACCACGTCATAAAATCCCTTAAAAAAATGCAAAATATGTGTATAGCTACTTATCTTAAAAATTGTAAATAAATCGTAAATAAAATAAGGTCTGTAAACCGCGAGGCCAGATTTTACGTTAAAACCCTTTATTTTTACAAACCAGTAAGTCTAAAATTACATGCCGTTCTTGAGCCTCATCAATTACTAAAGCATTTTTAGTGTCACAAAAAATAGAATGTGAAAGTTTATTTGTTAGTTTCCTATCAGCAGAAAACTAAATAAAAACATGTTAGAAAATGATCATTATTAATTGGAAACACGTCCATTAAGTCTAAGAAAACCGTATAATAAAAAACACAATTCACAATGTTACTGTTAATAGAATAACAAAAAATGAATGTAAAAAACGATTCTAAGTCTTTGAATGAACTTTGCGTGGTGTGCCTCTGTGTGGGGCGGTCTCTCCGAGTTATCACCGAAGACAAGATCCTGAAATACTACTTGGACGCTCTGCAAGAGATACCTGTAAGATTCTGCATAATTTTAATTGTCCACTAATCCATTCATCATTCCATTAAATTACTTTATTTATTTATTTTCTTACAGCCTACCTTGTGTTAAGTAGTTACCGGAGCCATATACATCTAAAATGTAAATGCCGCCGCCCACCTTGAATTATGAGTTCTAAGGTCTCAATATATGTAGTTACAACAGCTGCCTACACTTCAAACCGAAACCCATTACAGCTTCACGGCAGAAATAGGCAGGGTGGTACTTACTCGTGCGGACCCCAAAAAGGTCTTACCACCAGAAAAAGTAACTAAAAAAAATTACAGTATCTTTGTTGTTATTCTGTTTTATTATGAACGCACACATGTTGGCTAACAAGTCAGTTCACTGTGCGTCTGATTCTATAAATGCCTTGACTAATACACAACATTTGTTTCAACCTTTTATTGTATTAGATATTAAGCTCATTGTGATGTTAACACTTTATTGTCTGGGCTTGGTTGGGGCTTAAATGGGAGCTGCTGTGTACCGGCTATTGCTTACTGAAGCCCATAGATGTCAACAATGTAAATACGGCCACCTGCCTTAAGACATTAGCTCTAACTGAACCCTCTTAAATTGAGACGCATTACTGCTTTATTACAGTCAGAGGCAGAGTAATGGTACCCATGCAAACTCACAAGACTCCCTATTACCAGTAAGAAATCTTTATCAGAAATTAGGTTTAATTTTTGTCATTTTTATGATGTAATGATGACAAGATGTAATTATTTCAGTTAAATAGGGTATCATCAGTTCTGCTAGTGTGCTGGGAGTGTGAGGTGCTGCTGAAGAGGGCTGTACAGTTCAGACAGCAGGTCCAGGATTCCCACAGGATACTGCAAACCTACACTAAAGAGGTGACCGATTGTTAATTTTGATGTCCATAACAAAATACTTTTGACTGGTTAAACGGAAAACAAAATAATAGGTTTTTTTTTCCTATGAAATTGCAGTTCCACAATATTGACCATTTAAAACGTAATCTATACTAATATATAATATAAATCTACAGTGGTTTTTACGGATGTTCCGTTATAACTACTGAACTATGCATCCGATTGACTTGTACTTAATGGATAGGCTAATATTTATATGATTGTTGGGCTCCCTAATAGTAATGACAATAAATAATAATGTTAATTTTAAATGCCAAGCGAAGGGGGCGAGTATGTCTAGTGTATGTATATAATTTGTATGTTATGTAAATATTATTGTGCAAGACATGGCAGCTTGTGAGGGCCCTATGTACCAGCAGGGTGCCCTAGGACTACAACAACTTACGTCCATTCTCCACCTTGAGACATGGGACCGAAATCTCAATCTGCATTATGTTGTCTCCTCAAAAGTAAAACGAATATAAGGCATTAATGTTTTTAGAATTTAAACGAATATTTGCTGACCGAAGTATCAAGGCCGCCGCGTTTGAAGATCACCAAGAACGAGATCATCGCGATATCGCCGCACGTGGATTGTTCTAGAAGACCAAATGTTCGGGTAGATTTTAAAGATGAAGTCAAAAACGAAGGTAAGAAGCATCGTCAAGGATCATTTACTGCCTCTTATCCCACATTACGTGGAGTCAAAGTAACTAATAAAAAATGGGCGGTGAGCCATCTAGAGGAACAAAAAAAAATTATTGTAACTTACAGTGATCCAAAATTTCATCGGTTCTGTTGAACGCGAACAAGAAGATGCCTTGGTAAACGTCAGGAGTGTGTCGAAGAGGAAATCCAAACAATGGACTCGAAAGAAATTGAAGAGGAACAGAGAGGTAAGTGTCGACAACACTATTTATTAGGGTTGTCTTAATACTAAGAAGACCATTGCTGTGAGTTAGAAGATATGCCATTCACGTGACATTGGACAGAATAATTTAGAAGCTGTTAAAGTCAAGAACTATATTCAAATTTTTTATAATATTTATTGCCTAGGCAGGTAAACATAAGGCCCACCTGTTGCTTGAGTGATTACCTAAGTATATAGAGAATCCACTCAAATTATAAATGTGAAAGTTTATTTGTTTGTTTGTTTGTACTTCTTTCACGTTGATATGAAACTACAGCAACAGGTTGACATGTTTTTAACACTAATCATACCAACACTTACTGGTACCTATTTCTACCATAGCGTCTTGATAACAGTATACGACAAGTATTACTCAAAATAAACAAAACAAAACAACAACATAAGTATAAAAACTGCTGATTAATTGGTAAAAAAACGTCATGAAGTCAAGCGTCTCTCCCCTCACCTCACCCTTCAAACCAAAACGCATTACTGCTTCACGACAGAAATAGGCAGGGCGGTGGTACCTACCCGCGCGGACTCGCAAGACGTTCTGCCACCAGTAATTACGCTATTATTAAATATTATACGATGCTATTCCTTCATAGTGGAAGTCATTCGTGAACATATCTTAAGAGCGTATTTTGTAAGACAAATCGGTTATTGTCTGCGGGATTCGAACCTTGGCACGGCCGCGTCGCTCTGTACGAACGCACCGGCCGTCTTATCCCGCAGGCCACGACAACATTGCAGCACTGTTCATTTATAATGTTTATTTTATGTATTGTCTCTCTGTTGGTCACACAAATTAACCCCCCCTTCCTAGAAATTCTCCGAGTGCTTCCTTAATGAAGTGTCATATGCAACCAGCGGCACTCGCAATCGGAAGGACCTGCAGAGCGTGCTTGTAAAAGATGAAGTTAAAAATGAAAAATCTGGCAGCGGTGAGTATAGCGATGTTAGGTTAGCACCAACTAACCTAAGCATTCTACTGGATGGAGACCGCAACGCATCTCTTGAGGTGATAGATTCAGCGAAGCTCTGCCCTTGCTGGGGCCAGTGTTAGCAAACTCTCTCAGGTTAAGCTCGTGATTTAACATATCAGCCATATCGTAGCTTGAATGGTCCCTTAGGTTATCAATGAATAAGTAGAGAAAATAAATAAAAAGGTCGTCTCTCTCTGTTACGTGACGCACTTGGAGAGATGGAAAAGAAAGGGAGATGACATTGAAGCTCGATCAATGCGGAAGTCACGTAGCCAATGTCGTCTCACGATCATCCCGAAAAACTGTGAGTGAGAGCGTTACGGTGTGAGTGAGAGAAAAAAATAAGAAAGAGAGAGGGAGAGTGAGAGAGAGATGACGAAAAGAGATGCAAAACAAGATGGCGAGGACGACTAAACAAGCGATATGTAAAAAAGATGTCAGTTAATTCTTAATTATATTATATCTACGGTCGTCTCCCTCATTGCTACATATAGGTTATAGCTTATAGATCGAAGAAAAAATGGATGGATTGCGTGAAAGACGATATGTGTAGGAGGGGAGTGAGCGAAGAAATGGTGTATGATAGAGTAGTATGGAAGGAGTAAACATGTTGCGCCGACCTCAGGTGACTGGGTGATGGGCAGGAGAATGATGATGATAGGTTATAGCTTATGAAGTGGCAAGCGGCCGTGGGTGTGTCGTAGAACCGATGGGTGATGGTGCAGACGCGCTCTAAATTGGGGACCACGTACCGGTTAGCGCAGTTGGGCGTCCCCCCAACCCAGTGGACCGATGATTATAGCACCCATGTGAGGGAAAAGATTGGATGCTGAAGACGAACTATGAGAGAGGCCTACCAGCATCAATCATTACCCCAGCCCTAATGAGAAGCGAAGCGATGTCCGTGTCACCTCAAGGAACCGAAGACACGAATTGCGACTGAAGTGACTACCCTCAATTGTCGCGATAACTAAATTGAGTTTTAATCAGTATGTAGGCAAAGAGCTTATTATTTATTCTGAGCTCCAGCTCGTAACAGTACTGACTTGAAGGAGCGCGGTCGTGTTTGGCGACTGCCTCCTGCACCCCGCTACCTACCGCTACCTACCGCTAATTACCGCTAGTATGCATCGAAATTGACCCGTCGACCTCAAATCGCTTAATGAGCGCCCGTGAGCACTCGTGAGTACAACCCGTCTCTAGCTCGAGACCGCGTTGAATTTTAATTGTAACGAAACATTTACAGATATTCGAATGTCTGACGAGTGTGTAATAGACGCGGACTTCTCTGATGACTCCACAGAAGAAATAGGATTGAAAGATAACAAAAATGGCGATAAATTTAGTGGATCTGAGGGAGATATTGAAACCGCCTTCGAGGATGACGTGAGTTTACATGTTGATATTTATTTAGTCATTCATTCAATCATTCGTTCACTCATTCATCTACTCACTCAGTCATTTATGTATTCATTCGTGAGTTTCTCGAGAAACTAGCAGTATACTATAAGTCCAAGGAAAGAAGACACAGGAAGCGGACGTGGCTCGCTTACGTCACGCCGCAGTGACTTCAAAATGGTCGGCGTAGAAGAGGAGAGAAATTTTAATAGCCTATTTATTGCCTATCCCACCAGGAGTAGACGGACGTTCTACATTCGCGAGCTAACTTAGCTACCCACATTTTGTCATTTATTTATTATTTATAGCATAGATAGATGGGCGAGCTCACAGCCCACCTGTTGTAAAGTGGTTACCGGAGCCCATAGACATCTACAACGTAAATGCCGTCACCCACCTTGAAATATGAGTTTTAAGGTTTCAAGTACAGTTACAACGGCTACCCCACCCTTCAAACCGAAACGCATTACTGTTTCACGGCAGAAATAGGCAGGGTGATGGTACTTACCCGTGCAGACTCACACAAGGTTCTACTACCAGTAGTTACGCTATTACTAAATATTACACGATGTTATTCCTTCATCGTGGAAGTCATTCGTGAACATATCGTATTTCGTTAGACAAATCGGTTACTGTCTGTGGGATTCGAACCTTGGCACAGCCGCGTCGCTCTATACGAACGCGCCGGCTGTCTTATCTCGCAGGCCACGACAACATCAAACACTGTTTACTTTATGTATTGTCTGTATGTTCGTCACACAAATTAACTTCCCCTCTTAGAAATTCACCGAGTGCTTCCTTAATGAAGTGTCATATGCAACCAGCAGCACTCGCAATCGGAAGGACCTGCAGAGCGTGTTCGTAAAGGATGAAGTTAAAAATGAAAATTCTGACAGCGGTGAGTATAGCGGTGTTAGGTTCACACCAAATAACCTAAGCATTGCAACCCCGGTCATCGTCCTCGTCGAACCCATCGCTTGCGACGAAGGGCTCGCCGAGTAAATTAACCCACAGACACAGCCCACTGAGTTTCTCGCCGGATCTTCTCAGTGGGTCGCGTTTCCGATCCGGTGGTAGATTCTGCGAAGCACGGCTCTTGCTAGAGTTCGTGTTAGCAACGTCGTCAGGTTTGAGCACCGTGATCTCACCTACAAGCTCGGCGAATCTAGAATAGCCCTTCGAGGAAAAAAAATTGCTACCATCCACTGGATCGATACATCAACGCATTTTTTGAGCCTCCTAAGTTTCTCGCCGGATCCTTGCAGCGGGTCGCAATTCCGATCCGGTGGTAGATTCAGCGAAGCTATGCCCTTGCTAGGGCCAGTTATTTATTCTGAGCTCCAGCTCGTAACAGTACTGACTTGAAGGAGCGCGGTCGTGTCTGGCGACTGCCTCCTGCACCCCAAACAATTACCGATAGTATGCATCTAAATTGAGACGTCGACTTCAAATTTCTTAGTGAGTGCCCGTCCGTCCGTCTCTGGCTCGAGATTACGTTGAATTTTAATTATAACGAAACACTTACAGATATTCAAATGTCGGACGATTGTGTAATGGACCCGGACTTCTCTGATGACTCTGGAGAAGAAATGGGATTGAAAGAAAAGAAAAGTAGCGATAAATTTAGGGGATCTAAGGGAGATAATGAAACCGCCTTCAAGAATAACGTGAGTTTACATGTTGATATTTATTTAGTCGTTCATTCAATCATTCATCTACTCACTCGGTGATTCATGTGTTCACTCATGATTTTCTTTTGAGAAACTAACAGGATAATATAGTCTAAGGAAAGAAGACACAGGAAGCGGACGTGGCTCGCTTACGTCACGCTGCAGTGACTTCAAAATGGTTGGTGTAAAAGAGGAGATAAATTTTATTAACTTATTGATTGCCTATCCCACCAGGAGTAGACGGATGTTCTACATTCGCGGGCTAACTTAGCTACCCACATATTGTCATCTTTTTATTTATTTATTTTTTCTAGCATAGTCGACGAGCTTACAGCCCACCTGGTGTAAAGTAGTTACTGGAACCCATAGACGTCTACAACGTAAATACTACCTTGAGACTAAAGAAGAATGAGAGAATAGTTACAACGGCTGCCCCACCCTTCAAACCGAAACGCATTACTGCTTCACGGCAGAAATAGGCAGGGTGGTGGTATCTACCCGCGCGGACTCACAAGAGGTCCTACCACCAGTAAGCAAGAGGTCCCACCACCAGTAATTAGTAAACCAGATTTCGCCAAGAATGCAATAAAGACAAATAATATTAAAGACAAACAATATTAATCTATTCTCAATTTGACCACAGACTTTAAACAATAAGCAAAAGAATATATATGCGTGTGTGTGTCAAATATATGATAGTCATAGATAGTGTATGTAATGTTTTTTTATTCATCTAAAGTATTTTTTATGCATAATTTAAAAAAAAATAACAGTAGCAATCTGCACTCCTTATCTATGTTCTCTATAAGTGTGGGAAATTTCATACTCCTCCGTCCGCGCAATTTTCGTAAAAAGGGATACAAAGTTTTTCATTCACATATCAATATATCTAATAGACATACAAGACAAATAATATACATATAATTTTCTCTCTCTCTCTCTCTCTCTCCCTCCCTCTATAGAAAATTCAGAACATGAGCGATACGGGGGGCATACCATTAAATGTGAATATTGAAGACAATGCAACATTGGATTTGCAGTTTGATTGTCTGAAAGTGGAGATTGACAATGGGCGGTCGCGCGATGGTGAGTTTGCTGTCCGTCTTTCACCTTTGATATCGTTTGGCTGTGGTAGAAATGTCTCTTCGGGTTTCGAATCATGGATATTCTATGATGTTTTACCATTAATAGCTTACAAATGTTTTGGTTCTACTGTTAGACTGAAATAAATAAGTAAATCAAAGTAATAACACTAAAGGCGGCAACGGAGCACATTCTTAGAGCGGGAAAGCATTTTTGTTATTGTTCTTACTGCTAAAAGTGAGGGAACGTGCTACTAAGTGGTCACTGAAGGTCATAGACATCAACCACGTTGAGACGCCAGTTCCAAGTTCTTACAGTACACCGATTGCCACTTCCCCGGCTGCCCCCTTCCCCTTTCCCCGGCTGCCCCCCTCCCCCCTCAAATCGGAACGCATTACTGCTTCGCGGTAGAAATGGGCAGGACGGTGGTAACTTTGAAATCTCGCGATAAGAGCAGCAACCTCTAATACACTCGACCCATCACGGCTTAACCCCAGAGGCCGGGAGCGGGATTGATCCGGGGACTGCGATGCACGATCACCCATCGGCCAAAGTCCCGGGCACGTTGAAGAGGAAGACCAAACGTTGCCCGGCGAAGAAGACGAAGAAAGCGAAAGGCGTCAAAGGAAACGGTGTAAACAAAAAGGTGACAAAAATATTACAGATCACGCAACGTTAAAAGACTGGTTTTCATATTACGAAGGGGGGACCACAGTTGAATTCGGTACAAGGACGTTAGGGACCTCAATAGGGGACCCCCGGTACACTTGCCTCCAATTAGAATTACTGGGATATAACGCCCGGTGCGTTCGTATCCCGCAGGCCAAGTACCGATTTGGCTAATGAAATACGTACTTAACAAAAGTACGCGATTGACTTCCACGGTCAAGGAATAACATAACGTATAATAAAAATATAGCCGCAAAATTATAATTTGCGTATTTACTGGTGGTGGGACGTGTTGTGAACCCGCACGGGTAGGTACCACCAACCTGGCTACTTCTGCCGCAAAGCAATCGTGTTTCGGCATGAACAGATGAGACAGCTGCTATATTATACAATGGATAAGGTAGACGGCGGTGTTGTTGTGCTCTGTCTCAACCATGAGACATGAAGTCTAAGTCTCATTAACATGACATTACTTTTCACACTGAAAGGTTTCGCACCAGACGTGCGAAAATGGTGCGACCAGACTCTGTCAGGCAATTTTGAAAGCTTTCCAGTGAACTTTGTTGATGCGCTGCCTCAACTGTTCTTATACGCTCCACAGGTGAAAGGATCAGAAGAGAAGCTTTATACTACGATCGAGCTTACGCACGAGCAGATGCTCGACGAGAGGAACGCCGCTCACGGCTCCGAGAGCTTCCAAAGTTCGGCCTACAAATGCGAAACTTGCATTCTCGGCTTTCAGTACCGGCGGCCTTACGAAGCTCATCTAAACTCTAGACACGCAAAGGTATGCGCTTTTAACTTTAATGAGGTAAAAGACCAGTCGTGGAAGTTCTCATGAAAGAAGGAAGACTCCAGGAAACCCCTAGCCTAATGACTAGGTTAGGCTAGGCTATGATATAATATCGGCTATATACAATTGCAGACACTAAATATGATTTTAGAATAAAAGTTGTTTAAACCGACCTCGAAAAAGGAGGAGTTTCTCAATTGGACTGCTTTTTTGTTTTTTTTGATCGCTAATTAAGTGGCCATCGGAGCCCATGGACATGAGCAACGTTAATGCAGTTAACACGTTCTGAAACCCGTGATCGTAGTATCAAGAAATCGAGAAATAGGCATCATGGTGCCGAGCTCTGTCATAACCGAATGTCGATGGTACAATACTCAGAGAACGCTGCTGCTAATGTTCAATGTAACCATCATTTGGCGAGCAAAACCCACAGGGAGAGACGGTGACAGGGGAGGGGGTCATTCCATAGCTTGGGGGATGGGGGGGGAGGGGGTAGTACAAAGCTGATACTACACACCCATACATTTCCACAGACGCTCGGCGATTACGTATGTCCTATATGCAAGACGGTGGTGATGTCCGTGGACTCTTTCACGGCGCATTACAGACGTCACATGAGAAGGTAAATCATTCTATCTCCTTCTAACGTTCAAACGTTACTAGCCGAGATCAATCTAGTCTAACTTACCATCAGTTTTGGTGTCTGTGATCGGAACTCGTGTAGATTACAATGTGGGTTCCCTTTAAAAGGTTATAAAAATCTAAGATAATCTATACTAATATATAAATCTACAGCGATTTTACGGATGTTCCGTTATAACTACTGAACCGTGCATCTGATTGACTTGAAACTTGGTATCCATGTAGAAAATACATGTACTTAATGGATAGGCTGATATTTATATGAGTGTTGGACTCCCTACACCAGTTGCGGGGGCATTAATGATGAGAATCTTTGTGGGGGTGAGATATTATAATTTTAATTTTAAATGCCCAGCGAAGCGGATGGGTACAGCTAGTATATACATATATTCATGATTGGCTCGTCCCGCATCTATGTATCTGTCATGATAATCACCTTATCGTTGTCGCCGTTGACTACTCCCCGGATACTGATCATGCAGGAGCCAATCCCTGTCGACGTCCTTGAACAGGTCCTTACGAATCCATCAGATCTACCAGCGGACCACCAGTAATGCGTGCAGACCGGTGCAGACGTCCGATGCACCGGTGTTCGAATCTCAGGCGGGTACCAATTTTTCTAATGAAATACGTACTCAACAAATGTTCACGATTGACTTCCACGGTGAAGGAATAACATCCTGCCTATTTCTGGCGTGAAGCAGTAATGCGTTTCGGTTCGAAGGGTGGGGCAGCCGTTGTAACTATATTTGAGACCTTAGAACTTATATCTCAAGTTGGGTGGCGCATTTACGTTGTGGATGTCTATGAGCTCCAGTAACCACTTAACACCAAGTGGGCTGTGAACTCGTCCACCCGTCTAAGCAATAAAAAAAAAATATCACTTCGGTCCGGTACCTTAACCAGTACCGACGGCCGTAAAGGTTTCGTCCTATCCACTACTTTAGGTTCCAGTGCAACTTGTGCGAGAAGAGAACCATAGACAGGGGCCGTATCAAGCAGCATCTGTACACGGAGCACGGGGTCGTGATGTCGACGATCAAGTGTAAGCAGTGCGGCCACGTGTCCCGGTAAGTACAGGGTTGGGGACTGCATTGGGTGGGGTGGGGGGCAAGCTAGGGGGACGTGGCTTAGATAGGGGCAGTGCGACAGATAGGACGGTGTGAAGTAATGGCCGGAATTTGGTTAGAATGTCGTGTGTTAGAGTGCATGGATGATAGGAGCAGATTCGAGGTAGATTATCGTGGTCTTGTTGGGGGGTGAAGTAATTAGGGTGAATCAGGACGCCGTGAGATAAAGCAGAATTAGATTGGAATGTAGTGTGGTAGAGTGCATGGAAGGCAGGGGTATATTCGAGGTAGGTTATCGTGGTGTTGTCGGGGGGTGAAGTAATTAAGGAGAATCAGGACGCCGTGAGATAAAGCAGAATTAGATTGGAATGTCGTGTGGTAGAGTGCATGGAAGGCAGGGGCAGATTCGAACTGGATTAACATGGGGTTTTTGGGGATTAATTACCCCTAATGGGGGACCCTAGTTACCATTGGACTGAATCAGGATAGCGTGTGATGAGGCAGAATTGGATTAGAATCGAATATGTTTGGGTAGAACGGCATGGTATAAGTCTAAGCGGAGGGTTGCAGCGTACGAGGTGGAATGTTTTGGCATGGAGATAAACCATTGGCTTTTAAGACCAAAGCCTCATGTTTAAAGAATTGTACGATTGCAATTGTCTTCCAGCTCCTTAGACAACCACATACACCACCTGGACACGCACAAGGGAAGGTTCAAATGCAAAGAGTGCACCAAAACCTTCAAACACAGAGGGGGACTGAAGAATCATGCGATGTGAGTACTCCCAGACAGCGACTGTAGGGACTGATGTTGTAGACAGATCAATAGACAAGGCCAGTTGAGATTTTCAGCTCGTATCTCAAGTTGGACGTCGTGCATTTGTGCTGATGTCCACGGGCTCCAGTAATCGCTTGACGCTAGTAGGGCCGTGAAGTCGTTCGCTCATCTAAGTACTAAAAAGGTGGGCGTATTATTATCCCTAGAAACGTGGTGGTATCTTCAGCCTGTACATTGGTGGGATAGGTCCAATTCTGCCCCATAGCAATGTAACGTTCCTCTCGTCCAAGCTGAATAGGCAGCAAGGAATGTTGCTTTTTATTCTGCGGCATTAGCTCGCAGGGTGTCATATTTTGACACTAAACATACCATAACGGGTCAAATAACCCATTTTGAACTTTTATCATATTGCTTTTGCACATTTGACTTTACGGCTTTTCTACTGTTATTATACTTTTTTGTTTGTTTTGTTTTGTTTATTTTGAGTAATACTTCACTGGTGGTAGGACCTCTTGTGAGTCCGCGCGGGTGGGTACCACCACCCTGCCTATTTCTGCCGTGAAGCAGTAATTGTTTCGGTTTGAAGGGTGTGGTAGCCGTTGTAACTAAAACATGAGACCTTAGAACTTATATCTCAAGGTGGGTGGCGCATTTACGTTGTAGATGTCTATGGGCTCTAGTAACCACTTAACACCAGGTGGGCTGTGAGCTCGTCCAATCATCTAAGCAATAAAAAAATAAAAATAAAAAAACTTTTCGCATACCGTTATCTACCCGCTACGGTAGAAATAGGTACCAGTAAGTGTTGGTATGATTAGTGTTAAAACATCCGAATCGAATCGGCTTATCGACATGGCTTATACCAACGGACTCCGATAAGTCGATTGAGAAATAATGATCATTAATGCCAAGCGTAAACATATTAAAGTGCCTGCCTATATCTGCCGTGAAGCAGTAACGCGTTTCGGTTTAAAGGGCGGGACAGCCGACGTACTGTCAAAAGTGAGACCTTAGTACTCATGTCTCAAGGTGGGTGTCGGCATTTACGTTGTAGATGTCTACGGGCTCTGGTAACCACCAACCAGGTGGGTTGTGAGCTCGTCCATCAATCTAAGTCAACCCAATAAAAAAAGGCAAAGAGTAACATTTCGACGCTTTGAAATGGGAAATTCGCCAATTAACCTTTTGCGCGGAAATCCTCGATCCGCCTCATACCAGACCCACCTGTTGGTCCGCAGCGCGGTGCACGAACTCAAGAATAACTTCCCGTGCAGCGTGTGTCAGAAGGTGTTCCGCTGGAAGAACAGCCTGAAGAGGCATACGGAGGTGCACCTAGCCAAGGTAAGTAACCTAACGACTTTGCAGGTATCCCCAAATGGCACTTTTCCATAGATCCGAGATGAATCAAAGCAAAAGATCCCGAGAGTTGTTAGCTATTGATACTAGTGGTTGCCGGACGAAATTTACCGGTAGTAGGACCTCTTGTAAGTCCACACAGGTAGGTACCACCGCCCTGCCTATTTCTGCCGTGAAGCAGTATGCATTTCGGTTTGAAGGGTGGGGCAGCCGTTGTAGATGTCTAGGGGCTCCGGTAACCACTTAACACCAGGTGGGTTGTGAGCACGTCCACCCATCTAAGCAATAAAAAAAACAAAATAGTTTGTAAGAAGACTGAAATAAATAAATAAATAAATCAAAGTATCAACTGATGCCTCAAAATTTAGTTTCGCACGAAATAAATCGGTCGACATTGTGAGTCGGCACGGCTTGGTGCCACCGCTCTGCCTATGTCCGCCGCGAAGCCTTAACGCCTTCCGTTTTGAGCCTTCGGACCATTGTAATAGAGACTATAGAAGCTTAGAGCTCATGTATCGAGGTGGCGAAAGTTCGGCTCTAGAATGAGCCCCAACGGTGTCTCTCGAGCGCTATGACATGTTCTTCTTCTAACCAGGCCTACGAAGAGTACTCAACGGTAGGCAGCGACTTGGCTCTGCCTTCGGCATTGCTGATGTCCATGAGCTCTTACGCCTAAGTATAAACAAATTAAAAAAAATCTGAAACATGTCTGCAATTCACACGTGGTAGAAGTGAAAGCTTTAAAAATGTTGGCTTCAAAATAATGAGACGAATGTAATTTTTCGCGATAATTGTAGGTTTTACTAATGATCATAGTGATAGAAAGTTTCATAATTATATAACATATGATTCGTATATATTACATAGATTTATTCAGAATGTATTAAGTACGAATATCAGGTACGAAGCCGAGCACAAAGAGAACCACCAATATCAGAAACAATGTATAATGCTGCCTATCTCTTTTTCTCCCACGTTAAATCTTATGAATTTATATATCTGTCTCTTTTTACTGTCGCGTTTCATCGACTTTCGAATCCCAACGATGCTAAAGAAGTTTTCACTTCAAAAATGTTTCCTCAAGGACACGACAGAGGCGGCCTACTGTGAATCCTGCGGTATAGGGTTCAAGTCGGTATGCTCATTTCAAAGACACATGAAGAATAGCTTGAAGCACGTGACGCACGATCAACGGAAGTGAGTTTTTTATATATACATATTTAGACCAAATCCTCCAAATTCAACATTCAACAGCGTCCTTGTTCTGATCTCCTTTACACAGCTTACGCCCAAATAAATGATACTAGAGCGAATTCAGCTTCGTCATGTGTGACGTCATCTGTGGCCAAAATAACAGACGGCGATAAGTCACACGGCACATAACGGCTTTCGATCCACTTCGATAAAGTGGCACGACACGAGAACCCTCTCATCGTGGACGCCGGTAACTACATAGCCGATCCTGCGGACAGAATGGAAAGCAGTCGACGTCGCCCCAGACACGTCATTTCTCCGTCGGCCGTCTGGTGTAGTGGTAAGTGACATGGTCACTACACAAGGGGGTCGCGGGTTCGAATCCCGCCAAGGGAGGATATTTGTATCATCATCATCATGCTTTCCTATTACCCTCTGCTGGGGTGTAGGGCTCGAATCAAATTTTTCCATTTGTATGATAAATATAAATGTCTTTTCCAGGGTTATGGATGTATCTTAAATATATCTTCCATTTATTTCCGTTATCTGGTACCCGTAACACAAGTTCTTTACGAACTTACCACGGGACCAGTAAACGTGGCAATAAAAAATAAAAAAAAATTCGGATCCTTCCGATCTACTAACGGTGCTTTTAGGTACCTCAAGCACCGGTCATCGTTCTAAGTAAATTGACCCACAGACACAGCCCACTGAGTTACTCGCCGGATCTTCTCAGTGGGTCGCGTTTCCGATCCGGTGGTAGATTCTGCGAAGCACGGCTTTTTCTAGGGTTCGTGTTAGCAACGTCATCAGGTTTGAGTCCCGTGAGCTCACCTACTAGTTAAGGCGACGCTGATATAGCCTCTCAAGGCTATCAAATGTTCACGATTGACTTCCACGGTGAAGGAATAACATCGTGTAATAAAAATCAAACTCGCAAAATTATAATTTGCGTAATTACTGCTGGTAGGACCTTTTGTGAGTCCGCACGAGTAGGTACCACCACCCTGCCTATATCTGCCGTGAAGCAGTAATGCGTTTCGGTTTGAAGGGTGGAGCAGCCGTTGTAACTATACCTGAGACCTTAGAACTTATATCTCAAGGTGGGTGGCGCATTTAAGTTGTGGATGTCTATGGGCTCCAGTAACCACTTGACACCAGGTGGGCTGTGAGGTCGTCCACCCATCTAAGCAATTTAAAAAAAAAATCGCTGGCAAAATCTACTACAAGTATGTATGTCAGTCTCTGGGGCCCATAACACAGGAAATCCTTAATTTGGGGTCGGATGACCATGCTTAATTTGTTGCCAGTTATTTATTTATTATTCTTACCCGCTTAATGTCCACGATTCGATGGAAAGCGAATAAAAAAAACCGCTATTAACGACAAAACGCGTCAATAGCATACAGTCATCGTGGTTTCATTTCTGTGTTGCCAGATACGTGTGCGATCATTGCAACCGAAGATTCATAGACAAGACGAAACTCCGAGATCACATTGAATGTAAACACATGCACAAAACCTACCAGTGCCACATATGTTTGAAGGTGAGTCTTCGTGTTCACGGGCAGACGTACGTGCCTATCTGGTGGTGGACGGTTACCGTTCGTCAGTGACGTGAGCCACCGCTGACGAGTAGCGATGATGAAGAACGGGTCCCAGCGGCAAATATAGGTGGTAACAAATATAAGGTGGTAGGACCTTTTGTGAGTCTGCGCGGGTAGGTACCACCGCCCTGCCTATTTCTGCCATGAAGCAATAATGCGTTTCGGTTTGAAGGGTAGGGCATCTGTTGTAACTATACTGAGATCTTAGAACATATCTCAAGGTGGGTGGCGCATTTACGTTGTAGATGTCTATGGGCTCCAGTAACCAGTTAACACCAGGTGGGCTGTGAGCTCGTCACCCAACCAAGCAATAAAAATTAAAAAAATATATAGGGGAGGGAAACTCGTACCAGAGCCCGATGGTGTGTGGTCAGATATCGGGGTGACCAATCCGCACCCCTCACTGGAACCGAAGATCTTGCGTGGACTCAAGATATCACGGACGATCTTTGAGAATGAGATTACCCAGGGACCTTCTTTTATGTGCAGTAGTAGTAGGCAAGGGATGGGGGAGGGACACGCGAGGGACGGTACTGAAGTTTGTGTGAGGGACGGTACCGAAGTTTGTGTTAGGGGACACGCGAGAGACGGTATTGAAGTTTGTGTGAGGGGACACGCGAGGGACAGTACCAAAGTTTTACCTATTTCTGACGCAGTTTTTTCTTTCTTTTTTTTAGCCTTCTAAGAACAGAGTGAATCTAGATCAGCACATAAGGAACGTGCACAAAGGGCGACCGAATAATAAAATATGCCATCATTGTGGCAAAGGATTTCCGGTAAGATGTTTTTTTTTCTAATTTAACGGTAGCTTTTAGCGGTAGCTTTAACGGTAGGTTTTACGAAAATATTTGTTATGATGCTTTAATCGTGCTAACGGTATTTTTATGATAAGTTTACCACCACACCTGATGACAGCCACGCGACGCAATGTATGTATGTATGTATATGATGTCTGATCCCCCTGTGCTTATATTTCTGTAGAATAGTGTTACGCGCTGGGGTTCGGGATAAATAAAATTCTACCAAAGTACAACTTAAAAACTGTATTCAACACTTGAAACACTTAAACACTTCACAAACACTTTAAAACTCTCAACTCACTTGTTCCGCTTCGCTTCAGATGATCTATTCGCTGTTTCGCTTCGAGTAGTTCCGATTACTGAGTGACTGCGCGCCATCCCTACAACGCTTTTATAGTCGATACCTCATCCCAAGAATTATCGAGAATATTCTTCACATCTCTAGTCGTCGTTTCCGCTATCTGTCAATAAATGGCGTTGTAATTCTCGAGCATTCTGGATCCTTCGATATTCGTTCGACTATTCGGCGATAGATGGCGTTACTCTTGCCGGCGTAACAATAGGATCGCAGCGCATAAAATGAAACTTCCACTGTTCCAAAATCTTCTGTTATAATAATAATTTAAAATTAATTAACATTTTTATTGCTTGCTCATTTTGTAACCGCCTATGCGCTATCTTCCTTTTTCTCTGTCATTCTCTTTTCCTCTTTCTTTCCGTATCCTCTAACTCACATCTTAACGCTCCGTTCCGTTCTTACCGATCCTACATTTTCTTCCATACTTTATCGTGAGGTTTTTGTTTCAGACCAAAGTCCAGCTCGACTCGCACATGCGTACGCACACGGGAGAGCGTCCCTTCATATGCGAGTATTGCCCGACCACGTTCACACAGAAATCGAATCTATACAAGCACTACAAACAGGTGGGACAGTTCATATCTATACTAATACTAGCTGACCCGGCAGACTTCGCAGTGCCTCAATTGGTAAATAAAAGACACATCAAGGGGACACATCAAAGGAAAAACAATATTGTTAGTTTTACTTAATTCCGAGCATTTTCATATTTATTTACCTTTTAAACCTTCTCTGGACTTCCACAAATCATTCAAGACCAAAATTAGCCAAATCGGTTCAACCGTTCTCGAGTTTTAGCGAGACAAACGAACAGCAATTCATTTTTATATATAGAGATTATAAAGCTGAAGAGTTTGTTTGTTTGAACGCGCTAATGAATCTCTGGAACTACTGGTCTGATTTGAAAAATTATTTTAGTCTTCGATAGCCCATTTATCGAGGAAGGCTATCTAACATTACGCTAAGACCAATACAAACGGAGCATCAATAAAGAATGTTTCAAAATCTGTTTTTTTTTTTTTCGTTTTGAGAGCTTTAAGCTCTGTTCTGTAAAGTTGCAAAAATGTCGCTCAAACACAATAGCCTTTCACTCCTCGTTATCTATTTCTGGTGTTTCAATTTTACTTATAGACATGAATCCTCTTAACTTTTAATTATGTAGTACACATATCGCCCCGCCTCTCAAATCGGAACGCATTACTGCTTAGCCGCAGAAATAGGCAGGCCGGTGGTCCCGCCCCGTGCGGGTACCTTAATATCTGGCCGTTCTGTAGTGACTCTTAGTTTTCATCGCCAAAACCATTCGAAATCTGACGTCCCTTTTAACTATAGCAACGCGTGACGTCACATGTGGTTAATCGCGTCGTCACTCTTAAAATGAATCCTCGTTTCCGCGAACAGGTACACCTCAATATAAAATCGAAGAGGTATCCGCCGGTCAAGAAACCGAAAGACGCGCTAAACTGCCAACCGTCCATCGGGGGGTTCGAGAGAATCAATGGCACGACGTACCCGCCAGAAAGAGGTCTCGTGCCGTGCTGATTGATGTGTTCCAGGCAAGTGAAGGAGTTAGATGGTATACTTCTTTCAGGCGACCACCCCCCCTCAATCCCACTCTATGTGGGGTCGGCGCGGTCCTGCTACACAAGCATCCGGCATGACCTGTCCGACTGGACGCCTGCCCCAAGTGTTCAAGGCAAGTGAACGAGTTAGATGGTAGACTTATCAGACCCCCTCCCCCTCGCCAAATCCCACTCTATGTGGGGTCGGCGCCCCTCATGCTACACAAGCATCCGGCATGACTTGTCGACGACCGGACGCCTGCCCCAAGTCGATCCCCCCGGGTAATGTCTCCAATAGTTCGTCCACCCCAACGTGCGATGAGGGGGGACCGCTTATGATACGTATTCTATCAATAATAATCATAGTATCGTTTGTAATACTCATATAGTTTCAAAAACATGTTACAAGACTGAAATATAATTTATTGATTTTAAATTAAAATTTGAAGATATAATATACTGGGTGTTAGGAGACCGCTTCCGAACACGAAGGCAGACGATAGTACTAATGATAACTTTGATGATGGGACGGAAAAAAAATCGATATTGGTTTAAAAAAAATTATCAAGTTTTTAAAACGTTTTATTAGCATTATTTACGCTCCATCATGTTAGTACAGCTAAATGAAACAGTTGTTACATAAAAAATACATTACTTGAAAAAAAAACCAGCAATGAAAGACAAAATTAAAAACAGCTGATGCTCGGGTCAACGGCCGCCCGGGCGCGACGCGGCGCAGACTCGCGCGATCACACAAATACTTATTTACAACATTTGTCTAAATAACTATCATTAGTAGTACTATTATCTGTCTTCGTTTTCGGAAGCGGTCTTCTAACACCCAGTATACCTAATAAATATGACGTATTGGAACGAAGTTCCTTATCGCGCGTTGTGAAAGGGGGCTAGACGAAAAAATTCTTACGAAAAGTTGTCACGACACTTTTTAGATCCGTCATTCTGACCAATCAACGTGTAGGCGCTTATCGCGTGACATTGCTCGTATCCGATTGGTCCGCGTAATGAGTACAGTTTCTCGAGATAGCGTTTCAACAATAGTAATTTAGTTCATAGTATTGTTTTTTTTTCCTTCATAATGCCGTAATTTATTATTATAACTTTAAAAAAAAATTACAATTCCTTCACTAATTAATCGAAAGGAACTTCGTTCCATCCGGGTGTCCCTTGACACCTCTGAAGTTTTTTTATTAATATTATTTTTATTTTTCATTCGCATACTAAAAATAGTGTACTGATGTATATTTGGTATATCAAGCGGTGAACGCCTATTTGGTATAAGCGACATTTTTGCAACATTACACGAGAGCCATTAAGGGTTTAAAATTTGGAAAGAATATCATGACAAAAAAAGCGAATTCAACTATATTTTGATTGGATAAACTTAATCTAAGTTTAATTAAAGACAACGAACTGTTGATGCCAATATGACCTAATAATACCAGATGCCAAAATTGATGGTAATAATACCAAATAAAATGCACCTTTAATTACAAAGATAATTGTCGCGTGTTAAGCGAAATGTCACGTAAACCAAATAGCCTTTCAGCCCTCAGTATATAAGTATATTTACTGGTGGTAGGACCTCTTATGAGTCCACACGGGTAGGCACCACCACCCCGCCTATTTCCGCCGTGAAGAACGTTGTAACTATACTGAGAACTTAGAACTTATATCACAAGGTGGGTGGCGCATTTACGTCGTATATGTCTATGGGCTCCAGTAACCACTTAACACCAGGTGGGCTGTGAGCTCGTCCACACATGTAAGCAATATTTTATATTTGTTATTGGATGTTCGTGTTGTTATAATATCTGACAGACATAAGTGAATGTGGATATGGTGGTACCTACTGTAAGCCGACCTATAGTCGGATTTTTTATTAGACGAAGTAAACTGACGTTTACTGTGTTGTCAGTTTTTGATGAAATAAAAATAGTGTTGTGACAAAGTGAACGATTGAAAAAACTCCTGAATTAATGAAATTGCCTCGATTGTCTAGTGAATAGTTAGTGTGCCGAACTGCCGATATCGGGCACGGGGTTCGAATTTTAGCCGTGCTTTGTACATACCAACGAGTTTTCGACGAAACATTATGTTCCTATGGTATCTACCTGTACTGAATACCGAGTGTTTTAAACATTAAGAAAAACATTGCGAGGAAGCTTGTAAGACTGTCCTATTTCCAATGCATCATATAGTTGAAACTATAGATGTATAAAATATAACAATTATAGGTACATAGGTAATGAAAATAAAAAAAACTGATTGTAATTACATACTACTAGTAACATATTATAATATTGGATCACTTTAATACAATTTTATTGTAAAATATAAATAATATTCTTTTAGAGTTTGAAATTAATGATTAACTCTTCACACTCATTGTTCATTTATGTGATTGAACGAGAACTGAACGCATCACTATTACTTTAAATATAGCAACATTATTTCACAAAGTGACATTAGCTTCTGTCAGCTGGCTTCGTCTAATTAAAAATCCGACTATAGTTGTGAATTCGATTCCAATGTCCATAAGAGGGCGGCGACATTCTTAATTCTCACTTAAGATCAGATGTGACGTGGACACGTTCAACTGTCTATGGGAAAAAAGGGATCACAGCCTACCCGCGTAGGTACCACCATTCCCCCTATTTCTGCCGTGAAGCAGTTAGCTTGGGGGAGGGGGGGGGCAGCCGTTGTACTAAAGACTTAGAACTCGTGTCTCATGTGGTTGATGTCTATGGTCTCCGGTAACATAAAAACCAGGTGGGTTGAAATTGTGCAATACAATATTTAGATAGACATAATTATGTATCGAGAGGTGAAAGTCTATTTGGTTTGTTTTTTTTCTTTTATTTATTTATTTATTTATTCTTCTTTTTTTTTATTTGGTTTAAGTGACATTTATCTTTGATATTAAAGATCCGTTGAATTTGGTATTAGTATCAACAGTTCGATGTTTTTAATTTAAACTTCAATTAAGTTTGCTCCATTCAAATAGTTGAAGTTTTCTTCTTGAGATATTTTTTTCAAAATTTTAGACTAAAAGGTTCTCTCTCCTGTATACCTTTCAAAAATGTCGCTCAAACCAAATAGCTTTTCAGCCCTCGATATGTTGTCCCTTGTCCCGAGCGTTTATTAGAAAGATCGAGAAAAAAAACCCAACATTTTTGTACTAAAAATTGTATTTTATTCCTCTTAATAGGTACAATAAGGCACTTATATTAATAATTATTGTTTATAAATTCGTCTATATATATGTATATAAATTATGTGGTGAAACTTAAAAATAAATTCAATAAAATTTGGTAAACTAAAAAACTATTTGAACAACATTGTATGTATAATTAAAATTTGTACGTAAATATGTTTTTTCATTTGAAAAATAAAAGGCTAACATTGAATACATTCCATTCATATCTCCTTCCCTTCTCCCAGTCACCTGGGTCGGCGCATCATGTTTTCTCCTTCCATACTCCTCTATCATACACTATTTTTCCCCTCTTACACATATCGTCTTTCACGCAATCCATCCATTTCTTCTTAGGTCTACCTCTTCTTCTATATCCTTCCAAATCCATAGTTAACACTCACTCTTACCAACCTCATTTTCATTTCGTCTCATCACACGTCCATACCATCCCAAACGCGCACTTCTCAGCTGCTCTGTCACAGGTGCCACTTTCAGACTTCCTCTAACATATTAATTCCGTATTCTATCCATTCTCGTTACTCCACACATCCATCGCAACATTCGCATCTCTGCTGCATGCAATCGCCTTCCGTCCCGCCACTTTAGTCACAATATTGAATACATTCTTCATTCTAAATACTTTATACGCATCGCAACGATTTCGAAGCCTATGCGATTTTAAGCGGTCACAACAACAGAGTTTGTTGATAGTGATGTCCGATTAGTATTGATATTTCGGTGTATCGATAAAACTGAATGCGACATATCGATATTTTCTATCGATTCACGTGGATGCGATCTCTAGCTCCCGATGTACTGACCTCGGACGACCGCTTAACATCAGACGGATCGTATACAACACATCTATTTAATGGAATGAATTTTCACAATAAAATTGTACATTGGTTTATCGACTGAATTTCTCGCCGGATCTTCAGTGGGTCGCGATTCCGATCCGGCGGTAAATTCAGCGAAGCACTGCCATTGCTAGGGCCAGTGTTACAAAACCCTTTCAGACGGAGAAGAGCTCCGCCCCACCAGGGTTAGGCCGGTTAGGGCGAAGCCCGAATAGCCCTGGAAGTCTATTTATAAATAAATGATAAAAACGTTAAGTTTGAACTTCATAACATTGCAATTAATCAAGCTATCTCCATCTCCGAAACAATATCTTGAAAATGAATTTTTATTATCAAGAAGTGTAACATAACCATAGCGCGATTCGCGCGATATCGAACAACGCCATCTATCGAACGCTTTTGTAAACAAAACTAATACTCTCTTTAGAATACAGACAATAATAAGAAAACTTAAAAAAAATTATGAATGCAGTAATCTCCGATAGACTTCTAGCCTTAAATATATACATATACGTACAGATTAAATGCATTTAAATGTAAAAAGAAAAACTTAGCACCTAAGTTTTGGTAAAACAAATAATAACTATTATTGCAAGCTTTAAAAAAAATACGGCCTTTTTTAGTAACGAGAAAAAAAAATTATTAATTTCATACCCTGTTTATTAAGGCGTTTGGGGCAAATACGTGTCATCTGAAAAAATGTGGACGGATGCGAGGGCCGGCGTGTTCACGCGCGGACAATAACCTCGTATGAGCGGGGTCAACGAACCCACATTCATTAGTCATACATTGCGGGTGCAACCCTTAAATCTTGTTTCGGTCAATTATTCGAAATACTTGTACCCCTAGGGCCAGTATAATGTATGATGAAATTTCCTAATCTAGTAAATACTAATGTTATTTATTTTTGTACTGCAGTTACCGCATTGTCCGATGGTGCCCTCCAAAAGCGCCAAGCGTTTCTGCAGGTGCATTATGGTCGCGTCTTTCTGTTTCAGCTGCATTCTGAGGGTGGTTATAGAATCTTCTAGGGCCCCATAAACAGCTTGAACTTCGGGTTGATAGCTGAAGTCCTGGGGCGGTTCGTCCAGGCAAAAGAATTCCCTCACTATTGGATTATTCGGTAGCTTGTACAGTATGACGTTGACGAATGTCTGCAGGCCGCGGACTCTTTCCTCCAGGAATGTCGGCTCGAAATTGTCGCGGAACCACCTTTTGCCGGGAAGAGGCAGTTCGATATTGGGCTGCTCCGATTTCAATCTGGTGTACAGCCTGACGAAGTCTGTGTACCTTCTGAAAACTAACCACGATTGATCGCGTTTGTCGTCTTCGACTTTGAGCTTGTATATCGTGAACCTGGCCCTCTCCTCCATCACTTCGTAGCCAACAATGGGAATCTGGAGCTTATCGAACTTCTTGATCTCGGCCCGGTGGAGGCTCAAGTCGATGTTGCTGATGCTGTTCTGTATCGAAGACAGGCTTCGGGTGTAATCGTTCCTCTGGTTCTCGTGCAAGTTATGCATGCTTTTGTGCATTCTTTGAGGACGAACTGGCATCTCGCTGTCGGAAGTCGAGTCCCGTCGGTTCTTGTAGTAACGCCTGATCTTGCCAAACGTGGTGTTGTCTTCGCTCGATGCGGACGATACGTCGTTGTTCATTGCGTCGCGACTTTGAAGGTTGATGTTTTGCACTATGTCCATTGCGGTTCGGTGCTTTTAATCTGGAATTTATAGAAATTGTTATTATAAATTTCGGTTGACTCGGTGGTGCAGTAATTAGCACCCCTGGCTGTTGCGGCAAGGGTCGTGGGCGGTAGATAATACACATAAATTAGTTATAGATAAGCAATAAAAAAAAAAAAACCATGGAATAACCAACACACCTAATCTGTTAACCCAGATAAAAATATCAGCCCATAAGTACCTACCAAGAACGAAGAAATATAAACAGTTTATAAGAAAGCCGTTCGAATTTAGGTGCTTACTCTCCCTTAAACAGAATCCTTGGGACTACAATAATGTGCACTGAACTAATTTTAAGTGAAATAGATGTTTTTTCTAATTGTCTCACATCTTACAGGAAAAATCTGTCACGGATCATCTCCCAATTAAATATAAATTAATCTTAAGCAATGAATGAAATGTAATCAAATCTTAGTTGTATATTTTTTTTTATTTTTGATGTTAATGCACTGTCGATTGCACCTATAATTGAGGTGACATCTTCCAGGAACTTTTGTCAATTGTTCACTGTTTTGTACTGATGATCACTTTGTTGGTGCAACTTAATAAATAAATAAGCATACTGGTGGTAGGACCTCTTGTGCGGTGGGTACCACAACCGTACCTATTTCTGCCGTAAAGCAGTAATGCGTTTCGGTTTGAAGGGTGGGGCAGCCGTTGTAACTATATGTGAGACCTGAGAACTTATATCTCAAGGTGGGTGGCGCATTTACATTGTCTATGGGCTCCAGTAACCACTTAACACCAGGTGGGCTGTGAGCTCGTTCACCCATCAAAGCAATAAAAAAAAAGTATTCTCTCTCTCTCTCTCTCTAAAACCTGATTAATACATTGTGGCCTAGTGTTAATTTAGAATCGTTTAACTATGATATAGGTTATAATTTATTCATGACTGTCTAGATTCTAGTGCATTTTTGGTGCGATTGAACTATGATCATCACATTAATTTTCACATGAAGTCTTCCTAATAGACAAATAACACATATACAGTTAATAAATGGATTTAACTGATGGAATTACTTATTGTAATATTGTGTTCAGATCGTTTATTACTCTCCTAGTTACAATAAAATATACTCTACTCTTTGTGACATCTCTAAGGATACAACTTTACTAAGGATAATCTAATCATATATTGGGTTGCTATATGATGTTATAAGTCGTCATAAACTCTTGACTGGCTATATTTATGGCATGAAGCCTTCCAGTTACATTTACAGGTAGGATGTACAAATTTCGACATTGGGATGAGGCTTCATCTCCTATGTACATAATATGGTTTCTTTTGATATTCAATGAACTAAATTACTAAGAATCTACAATGGATTTTAACTGACAATTTAACATAGTTACCTTGTGTACTTTATGGGATAAATTACGATAAATTATGTCAAGTTTTGGAAAAAAATATACTAGTGTTCGCGAAAAAGTACTAGGCTTCCATAAGCGCGAAGAAGTGCACGACCTTCGAATCTAATTATACAAATCACTTACGTCAATGATGCATATCCTTTACGCTTACGTTCTATCTTTTATAGCACACCCACTGGAATTAATTTACGAAATTCGGTCACAATAACATTTTTTGTTTTCTTTTTTTTTTGTTATCTAGAGCTTCCGATCAACTTTCTTTATTACAAATCCCTGTACACTTGCCGACAAATGTCTTGACATTATTAAGTTTGGAAAATTACGGATCAACGCATTCAATATGGTATACACACATCTGTTCGCGTCACTGTTAAAAAAATAAACAAATTTACGAAAATAAATCACGACGTTTTACCCTTTGTCTGTTGTCAAAAAATGGAACATGTCAACGTTTGACGTTTTTATTTATTTCATTACCCATAGTTTAGGCAAAAGGAACATGCCCATAGGTTCATCATTTATAACAAAAGTCAAGGCTATGTCCTATTCTTTCAAAAGTTAAAATGAACGAAATTAAATAAAACAACCTCCTTGAAATCAGACTCTTGGTTATTTTTTTAAAGATCCTCGAAATCCACGTCCTGTAATTTTGTTCTTTTTACCACAATTGTATACTTTCACAGATTATATAAATTAAACGAATTAAATTTCATTTCATTTAATTTAATTTTGTTGTATTTTTTATCAGAAAAATTAAAATTTATGTAATTATATGTGAATTTTTTATGGGCTTAAGTTGCCTGAAATAAACGCATTTATTTCATATCATTTTTTTCATAATAATGACCGAAATAAAACTCTCCAACTTAATTCATTTAACTAAACGGTCATAATTATTTACATGGAAGCTTTATATACACGTGTGCTTCTTTAGGATAAAAAAGGAAATCCTCGCAAAACGTAGAAACATAATTTTGTTTTCATTATTTATACTGTAGTCGTCCAAGTCAAAAAGTTTGGACATCTTGTATTACAATATTGAAAAGCTTAACGTTAACAAATTTCAATGGTCTTGCATAAATGAATGTCAAAGAACTTTTGGCGGGAACGCGAGAAGTGAAGTTGTTTGATTTGTTTTATTTTGTCTAGTTAGTGTTTCTTCAGGTTTCAATGTGTAATAGCGGTAGTTCATTAACTGTTTAGTATCTGTGAAAGTGTACAAATGTGGGAAAATGAAACAAAGCCGCTGGACGTAACTTCTCAGATCCTGCAAAAAGTCCACTGAAAAAGTCGCAGTAAATAAAGACCATTTTATTGAGATTATATTTCATCCCATATCATCTCATCTCATTTCATTTCATGTCATGTTTCATATTAATCAACTTTATTTCATTGTATTTCATATTACCATTTTTCATTTAAAAAAATTTATAAATGATTAGACCTAATGGTATGATAACTTTGCCTTTCCAGTTGGAAAAATAAAACTACTACTCCTGATACTAAATGTCAAACGTCAGTCATATTCAAAATATTTCAAAAGCTTAAATTAATTGTTATCCACTTAAAAAAAATAGAGAAAAATTTACTTTGAAATCCCTGTAAAAGTTAAATAAATGGTAATTGCGTCACGGTGTCTCTTTGCAGGCTATCAATCATACGCTCCGTAGCTGACAGTTGACACTGCGGAATCGCATCAAAGGACTAGAATAAATTATTAAATTTAGTGATTGTGGCGTTGCAAAAAATCTAAACAATGACCAATATTTCGGTAGGTCAATAACAACAAGAAAATGGGTGACTTAAAAACTTTAACCACGATTAAATGCAACCAGCAAGCTATTCGCGCTGTCAGGTTTAATGTAGACGGCACATACTGCCTCAGCTGTGGTGCAGATAAAAAAATCAAACTTTGGAATCCTCATCGCGATCTCATGCTCAAAACATACGGCGGACACGCCAACGAAGTGTTAGACGCGGCAGGATCTTGCGACAGCAGCCACATCGTCTCAGCCAGCGTCGATAAATCAGTTATTCTATGGGACGTTACTACAGCGCAACCATTACGTAGGTACAGACACCATGCAAGTTCAGTGACCTGTATTAAATTCAACGAAGAGTCAACTATGGCTGTGTCCGGATCGGTAGATAACACCGTCGCGTTTTGGGACATTGTCAGTCGTAGACAAGAGCCAGTGCAAGTTCTTAGAGATGCAAAGGATTCTATCACATCCCTCCAAGTTACAGACCACGAAATTCTGACAACCTCCGTTGATTCTCATGTTAGATTATATGATATTCGGATGGGGAAAATGATTTCCGACTATATTGGACATATTGTAACATTTGGGAGTTTAACAAGAGACGGTCAATGTTACATACTCAGTTGCACGGATAATTCAATAAAACTTTTTGATAAGGACAGCGGGGAACTTTTGAATACATTTTCAGGGCATGAATGTAAGGATTTGTTACTAGAAAATGCTGTGAACGAAAAAGACAGTCATATTATTTCAGGTTCTGCAACCGGAGAGATATTCTATTACGATCTAATAAGTAGTAGTATTAGTAAAAAGTTGGTTCATTTCAATGGGAAAGCTGTAGTATCCTTGAGTCACCATCCCACGGACAACTATTTACTATCAGCTTGTGAAGACGAAATCAAATTATGGGGGGTGAAATCCTTGGACGAATAAAAATGTTAATTATTAAAATTTAGGTTTTTTTTATATTAAGTTTTAAGATATAATAAGTTGTAAGAACAGACATATAATAAGTTATAAGAACAGACAGAAGAGAAGAGGAAGGAACAATGTCATTGAGGTCACGTCTTTCAGCTCTAAGGCCAGTTGTAGTCGCATTTGCAAATGTGAGCCAATGTAAATAGTCCAAAAAAACTGAACTTTTACTGTTGGTAAGACGACCCTCTTGTGAACCTGTCCAAGTAGACGCCAACAATCTGCCTATTTCTGCTGTGAAGCAGCATTTTAGTTTGAAAGGTAAAAAAGGGCAGCTGTTGTACTGTAAAATTAGAGACTTAAAACACATGTCTTAAGGTTGAAGCTGCATTTACGTTGTTGATGTCCATGGGCGCCAATAACTTGACACCCATCTACCCCATATATAAAAAAATACCACTGTTAATCAAATATACTGAGCTATGAAATAGAACCTATTGACTTTAAGAACACTTAATATCAATCAACTAAGAAGTGATTTTCTTTTTTCATCTTCGTAGGACATTAGACCGTGGCAATATCATTTGAGAGCATTTAAAGTATAAGTTTTGGGAAAAATATTGTAACGAAAAAAAACTTCTTCGGCTATTTGAATGTGGTTAATTTAATTGAAGTTCAGTTAAAAACATCGACTGTTAATACTAATACCTATCAAATCAAACGGACCTTTAATAACAAAGAGAAATGTCGTTTAAACCAAATAGCCTCTCGATATAATAATTTTATTTTATACATGCAACAACGGCGACTTATTAACTGCTTATCATATGAGTCGTCTATTATCAAAGGTGGCAATCTGTACATTTGGACAAATTTTTTTTATTGATATGTCAATACAGATTTATTTGAATATAATCGTCTCCTTCAAAGAATACGGTTCAAAACCTGCATTAAATAAAGGTTAATAGTTAACCTGTTATTTATCTAAGATGTCGTTCCGAAGAGTTTTGTGACTGCCAATGGAATACAAAGTCAATAATTCGTTTTTCTGATTTACCAATCATTGTCCAAAAGTCAGATTGCCGCCTTTGATAATAGTCGACTCATATATGAAAGCGGTTATTATGGGAAGATGAAACGAAATCGCAGGACATATGAGTTCTCGGATATCTAGGTGATCAGGATTCGGAGAGTAGTCAGGGGCGGCAACGTTAAGGCAATTATCATGACGAACCGTCTTAACGAAGTACCGTTCCGACGCTGACTTTATGTCAGGGCTGTCAGATATAAAATTAAGATAATAGTATACCACCTATAAAAAAGTAGTACATTTCGGAGATTTGAATAAAAACAATAGTACACAAAAATATTTTTTATTATAATTACATGATATGCTTTATAAACAATACATTGCTTGTCATTTTAGCCATCATTTCTTTTTTCTTTTTTTAAATTAGCACAATAATTACCCGCTTCATTTAAAATATGTTGTTTGGCCAGTAAGGTACCATTGATACTTTCATTGGATAAACTATTTCAAATTTTAGTCTTAATTAAGCTTACTTGGCTAAATACTCTTTCACAATCAGCACTAGAATGCGGTAAAATTAATAAATTCAATGAAAATTGGGGACTTATACCTACTCTTCAAAATGTCTATTAACATTGCCTCAAAATTTATCAGGGCTTGTTGCCAAATTAATCTTTTTATATAAGAATGAGATTGTATAGTACATGAAATTTTAATTGCTCTATTATCATTTTTCAGTGACGTGAACAAATAAATTTAAATTAATTATATTAAAAACGCATACTAAATGAACCAGAACCAGATAATTGTTGATTTATGTCAGCGCGAAAAGCATTAGCAGATAAGGAAGGATTTCTCAAGCTCACAGTGGAAATCAGTTCGAAAAATACAAATTTAATGCGCAAAACTCCATCTGACGCACTGAAGTAGATCTGACGGCACTAAGCTTGCCTGTGTAGGTATTTGTCTATGGTCGGCGCAGATTAAGCACAAGAACCCAAAAAATACAATTGTTTTTTTTTTGTCAAATGCTTGTTTTGTTTGTGAAATACGGCTACATGTTGTCAACTTTTGGCCCTAATAACCGCTTAGCACCAGTTGGGCAGTGTACTCGTTAGACCATTTATAGTCCTAGTGAAAAAAAATGATGCATCATCACCATAGAATTGATGCTGAGAATAATTAAATTGCTCCTGTACTGTGTAGAGTGCATGATCTTCTATCCTTGTTCAACTTCTTAAACTGTGACTTTGTTTTCTCTTTCACCTGTCCGTAAGCGTTAACGTCACAAATCCGTTCCATTGTTGACCTGAATCTATGGAACGTTTTCAAGATTGTTCGCGTCGCTTGAACAGTGAAAAAAATACACTTTTATGACCTAATTGAAACGAATGCTGAACATAAAATGGGTTCAAAGATACCAGGAAAGTTGAGAAGTCAACGGTTGACGTGTAAATGTGATACTTGTGCTCTAGGATTCAAAAATGTGCAAGCGTTACGTTCGCACCAAGCCGTTGCCCATCCGCTGAAGAAAAGGATTGCATACCGACCTAAAACCGAAGTTATAGCCAAAAGGAAGCTTATACCCCATAAAAAGGTAATAAAAGTGGCCCATAAAATGAACAAAATTTCCGAAAATGCTTCGACAAAAAAATCACAGCCACACAATTTATTAAGAAAATACAATACTAAAGCGCCAATACCTAGTGAAGACGGGAAACAATCCGAATTTGAGTGCCCGGTTTGTTCTAAAATATTCAAGGTTTACTCCTGGGCTTGGAAACACATCCAGAAATATCATTGCATTGACGAGAAAGGGAACCCTGTGTAAGTATAGTTTCGCGCCATAAATTTGATACAATATAAAGTTGACGACCCCACGTAGTTCTTTTTAAACCGCTGCCTGTTATGTAGTAATAAGTTTATAAAATTAATAATGCGCGCCTGCGCTTTGCTTTTTGTAGTAACCAGACCAAAATTTCTCTGAAAAATGAGACGATTACATTGTTAATATTATATACAGCTTTTGCGCTGTTTCTGCTGGCAATGGACAGGATACAATATAATTATGGTAACCAGACAGAATTGTGTTCAACAGAAAAAAAATGTACCGATCGAAATAACTCTTCATTGTAGCAGTTTTTTTTGTTGTTTCTGTACAAATGTGTATATTAATTTAGTTTATTATTTGCTTTAGGACGTTTATATTTTATTGTAATAAATTCTTAGTCGAAGTAGGTCTCTATTTAAATAGACATGAAAAGTGAGTTTACTGCCACTTGGAGACATTTGGAGAGCAATTTCTCACTGCACTCATCGATTGCTACATTATATAGGTCTGTATTACTAAATGGCATACTATATAGGGTCAAGTGGAGACAACTTGTAAGAGCCCTATGTACCAGCGGGATACCCTAGGACCACAACAACAAGAACAAGAAATATACTACAGCGGGAGTTCAACTACACATTTTTTATACATCATTAGCTATGTGTAAAAACACTCTAATTATGATATATTTGTAATTAAGTATATTGTGTTTGATATCCTTCCAAAAGACATTCCCTGGCCTTCTAATATTAATTCTTTTATTAACTTTAGTCTATTCTAAACATGAAAAATATTCTGTGTAAAATTTTATTTGGTAATAATATTTATCTTTAAAGTAGTTAGTCTAACATATTTTATTTGTTTGGAAAAACTAATCAAATTTATTTGTATTTAGTAAATTTTTTCCCTCTAAGTACCTGTCATTTTTGTGCATACTTTGACATTGGCAAAATCAATGCCAAATGCATAGGAGCCAAATTCCTATTTAAATAAAAAAGTATATTGTGCAATGCCAATAAATGTCTGAACAAATTATGATTTAAGATACTACAAATATTACTAAAGTATTAGAATATTTTTATAAAACAAATCATGATTCTCATTAGACTATAGCTTTAGGAGGTAACCGAATCTCACAATTTCTATATACCAACCTAATAACACCATGGTTTTGCAGTTTACCAACATCGAAAGATATAATCAAGCCAGTTCGTATAGAACGTTGCATCGCCTGTAATGTATTAATAAAGTCCGATGATCATACATGTGGTATATCATTCTCTAACGTTCTGAAGAGCCAGTACTCTTGTCTCGGTTGCAATCAGCAGTTCAATACTTTACATTTGTACGAACTACACATAGCAGGACTTCACAGTGAAGGAGCTGAGAACCTGTTCTTTCCTGATGAGGCTGGTGAGTTTTAATAATGAATAAATTTGAGTTTAGCTGTAATCTTTCATAGGTAACATCATTCCTTCTATTTCCCGGGAAACAAGAACACTTTTCAGATTTATGAGTGACATCAGCTTTTACATTTTGCTTTTTTTATAATCTTCAGAACCATCCAGGTTGAGTAATAGAAAGATGAGGTATCAAATTGATAGTGTAGCAACCTCAAAGCATTAACGTTACTGGTGATGTCTGGATGTCTTGTGAGTCCGCACAGGTAGATACCACCACCCTGCCTATTTCTGACGTGAACCAGTAATGCGTTTCGCTTAAAGGGTGGGGCAGTCGTTCTAACTATACTTGAGACCTTAGAACTTATATCTCAAGGTGGGTGGCGTATTTACGTTGTAGATGTCTATGGGCTCCAGTAACCACTGAACACCAGGCGGGCTGTGAGCTTGTCCACCCAACTAAGCAATAAAAAATTACTATAATAAAAATATGAATTACATTTAATGTCACCAGCATATAGGGGATGAGTTTTTAACCACATGCTAGTTGATTTAGTTTTAGTCATTTTTGTTTTTCTATCTAAGCTGATACCTACACGTAAAGGGCTCAAACCTGACGACGTTGCTAACACGATTACTGGTGCTTGAGGTACCTCAAAGCACCGTTAGTGGATCGGGGGGGATCCGAAATGACGTGTTTTGTGCGACGTCGAATGCTTTCCATTCGGTCCACAGAATCGGAAGAGTATAATAGTACAATATTATTGAGGGCCACTAATTGTATCTTTGTAAGACATTTATATCCCGACTTCATGAATATATGGAAACATTTCTGTAACAATGCAGGTAAGAGAGCTGCTAGAATGAGAAAAGCTTAGTCAAATTTATTCTGAATTAAGAAATAAATACATATATTGTACCAGGTATCAATACATATATTGTATCGGTAAAATGCAAATAAACACTTCAAAATATATTTTTTTATTGATGTCTTATGTTGGTGTAAAGTTTGTTATCAAAAAAAGTTTTTAAAACTTATGGCGCCACGGTACCGAAATGAAGTCTACATAAAATTGCTTGTTAAAAAAATTGTTTCCCATTACAGTCAGATAAAGTATAAATTAATTACCCACACAAAATTTTTTAATGATAATTGTCGTTCTGAATTACCATATTGTAATTCATTTGAGGTTTGATAGCACACGGACCCCATTTTGACTGGTGTTCGTAATTTCATTACTTTTTTAACTCACCGGAATTTTTGTGAAAAAAAAAGTATGCGTCTCGGGGAATCCTAAAGAAGTGATAAATTAAACAAATCTAAGTTGAACTATTTAATATTAAAATTATTTAACTTGAGACAAAGCTTAGGTTATTACTTAAATTTTATGTATATTAATATTATAATATAAGGAAAATTGTAACATAAAATGAAAAAGATATATAAAATAGTTAGGAGTTACATACGTTCTCAGTGCCACCACCGTGTGCGTGAGAGAAAGGGAAGCCAGACAGACTGGCGCCGTAACGCGTCACGTAACGAAGCGTCTTACCCGCCCATAAGAAGTTACTACTTCAACAAAAGCAAGAAAAATATTAGTACACAAGCTGTACCCGTCCGCTTTGCTGGGCATTTAAAATTAACATTAATATTTCTCACCCCCACAAAGATTCTCATCATTAAGGGGGCGCAACTGGTGTAGGGAGTCCAACACTCATATAAATATCAGCCTATCCATTAAGTACATGTATTTTCTACATGGATACCAAGTTTCAAGTCAATCGGATGCATGGTTCAGTAGTTATAACGGAACATCCGTAAAAACCACTGTAGATTTATATATTTGTATTGATTTATGTATTATTGTCGAAATTTAATAAGCGATTTGTTGCAGCGTTCTCGGCGTGGCGACAGGACACGGAGAAACGTTGCGATATAAAATACACGACCCTAAGCAAAATTGATAATATGCAAATATATCACTGCAGTCACATGAAATGCGACAGCTCTACGGCCAGCATGTGCCCGTCTAGTTTCACGAAGCAAGAGTTCAGCAAAGGCATACAGGTCGTGTACTATAAAGCTCATTACGGGCACATAATCGATGAATACACCCTCCCCGAGGAGTTCAAGAAGTACTCAATAAGCTCACTGTTGAGAGATACGGATTGTTACACCGTGCTGAGCGTCGACTGTGACTCGGACGACCTAAGCGTGCAATTCAAGAGGTTAATGGACACTATTTTGGGTAAATCGTTGCACGTTAAGGAGAATGTATTGAAATTGTTGTACGGAAAAGCGCTGGAGATGGCTTCGCTGTTGAACGATGAGGCTGGCTGTAAAATTGAGTGCCAGAATGGTAAGGAGCTCGCTAAAAAGACATCCACCGATGACATTGTCGAGGACGAATCTAAACTTGACACGGAAATGAAAACAAAAGTGCCCGTTAAGACTTACAGCAATACGAGGAAGAACGTGAAGTTTGAGGACAACAAAATTGGGTCCCCGAAGTTCGGGTCGCCCGCGTCGCTGACGTCATTCAATGATTCGTACCGGCACTTCGTCGAGGACACCCTGGGCGCGGTCGACGAGAAAATTAAAAAGAAAAAAATGATCGTTAAAACCAGAATAGGGCAGTTCAAGCCCACCTCACCGACAAACGACAGGGCGACAATAAAAAAATCGCCCAAGTCTTCAACCAAAGTTAAAAGTAGCCTAAGATTGAAACGCGACTTCGAATACGAAGTCATAGAAAGGGACAAAGAATGCAACATTATGGTTATAAAAATTTAAGAAAAAAAAAAAAACAATAAAAAGCAACTTTTCGTTGTTGTAAATCAAATTTAAATTACGCATCGACTGAAAAGAATTAAGTTTTTAAAAACGTCTATAAATTTTGTACAATAAATCTATTTTTATTTTATTTTTATTTCACGATTCTCATTGGTGCGCGGCCTAATGGTAACTTCGAGTTTCTGAACGCATTTCACATGGATTTTAATATATTGCGATTAGAAAAAAAAAAACCTAATTAAAAAACTACGGAATGCCCCTTGAAAATTAAAACAAATTATCGACTGATATTATGGAGGGTAGAGAGAGGTAAGTAGCAAACTCAGTGTATGCAAAAAGTGTTCGTTAAAATGCGACGTTTTTTCCCTACCATTCGCTGGTAAGTGTAAAGGGCTATTCTAGCTACGCGCGGACAGCTAGGCTTACAAGTTCAATCTGAGGGAATTTGCTAACACTAGCTCTAGTAGGAGCAGTGCTTCGCTGAATTTACCACCGGATCAGAATCGCGACCCACTGAGAAGATCCGGCGAGAAACTAAGTGCGCTCGAAATGCGACCGATCAAGACAGCGCCACCGTAGCAAGTGGTATATTGTCAAAGATGGCGCCGAAAGTTGTTACATTGCTTATAGGTTTCGCAGTTTTAATTTAATTGTCATAATTGCTCATTTCTTTGACTCATCCCCCCTGCCCGCATATGAGATGTCACCACTAATTTCTATGAAAGCGGATAAATGCTTTTAAATAACTCCTGACTTTCAGGCCCAACATAAAAATCGTTAACTATTGTTCGCTGTGTTTAGGCGAATCGCCTACTTAACCAACCGATTCGACTCGCTTCTGTGTAAGAACGATTACTTAGATATCTCGAACTGTCTAATTTAGATGGGCGTTTAGTAAGGAAGGCCGTCTTGTAAAAGGGACAAGTTGATAAAGTATCGACCTGTAAACAGTGACTCATTGTTGGAAGACTCACCGATATAACGCTGGTGTGGGAAGTGGAAATGATATGAATATAGCGGTTTTAAGCAGATTGAAATGTGCTGGGTTGAGATATTTAATATATTTCGTGATTTGTGTAGTAGCGTGAAATATTTAAAATCTCAACTATTTATTTATCTTACTATTTACATAGGAAGTGTTTCTTTTCCTCATAATGTTATGTTTATGACGCTCTTTTTTTAAATCCTTCCACTTGCTACTAATGTTTCTACTGTTTAATGTAACTACTGATAATGTTAATAGACTGAAATGGTGCTCCTTATATCTACCCTCCATAATTACGAATAAGCACAAGTCATGTATATCCTCATTTTGTCTTGCACCTGCGTAGTTTTTTTTTGTCTGACAACATTTGAATTGCCTCATTCGAACATCATTGCGCGGTGAGTTATTTGTGATATAATGATAACGAGTGCACTACGCGCAATGTAACTCGTCCTAAAAACTCGTTAACCTTATCCATTATTAGAGTAGCGACTCTTAGCACGATTTTGTTCACGATTTACTTCTACGGTGAAGGAATGACATCGTGTAATACAAATCATACCCGCAAAATTATAATTTGCGTAATTACTGGTGGTAGGACCTCTTGTGAGTCCGCACGGGTGGGTACCACCGCCCTGCTTACTTCTGCCGTGAAGCAGTCATGCGTTTCGGTTTGGAGGGCGGGGCAGCCGTTGAGACCAGAGATACTTGAGACTTTAGAACTTATATCTCAAGGTGGCTGACGCATTTACGTTGTAGATATCTATGGGCTTCAGTAACTACTTAACACCAGGTGGGCTGTGAGCTCGACCACTCTTCCAAGCAATAAAAAACACGCCCAACGACGTAAAATTATATATAATCAAACTATTTAACCTACTTTTATAGGTCACGTCGAGTAAATATTTGAACATTTGATTAATTACCTTAAATGTACCCCGGAGATGGAATTCGTCAGGGTCACTCTACAAATATCGTATTTATAAATGTTAGGACGCGTAGTTTGAGCACCGCTGTTCCAGGAAATGTGCTTTAGCTTTGTTTTCGGTTTAAACGTGGAAATTCTACAGGTGTCCAAATATATATATTTTACTATTTTGATTTTAATTTCCTATGGGCGTTCAGCTGACGCCACTTGTTATTTTTCCGCCAGTAAAAAGAACCTCAAGAATTTGTACAGACTTATACATCACCAATAATAATACTAAGCATATAAAAAATATTTGTATTTTTTTTGAAAATAAACATTCTCACGGCCAAACTTATAGGTACATAGATTAATGTACCGTTGCTCTTGTCACGTGGCAGTCAAATTACTATTGCCGCCAAAATGGCCAACGGAAAAAATGCTTTCATTTCTCGAATTAAAATACACTAAAATAAAAATATGAAGAAAGAAAACGCCAAATTGAAATGAAATGTTATTATTTTAATAGTTTAGTAGTGGTAATTTGTAATCATTATATTGTGCACATACTTATTCAAATACATTAAGCGATCGGGAAAAAAATCGCAATTGTTGAAAAAAAAACAGGTTATAATATTACAGTTACGCGAGTATGATTGTCTACTTTTAATCACTAACCTAAAATACTGTCTAAATAAAGATCCAAAGAAATAGAGCATAGAGAAACGGTTTTTTTTTATGAAGAATTAATAAAAAGCTTATTTTTCAAAATTCAGATGGCTAAAAGAGACATTTCCAAGGCCGCTTATGATTTTGAGTAATTACGTAAAACATTATAATATTTTTAATTGTGTGGCTTCAATGTACTATTAGAAAGTATAATAATATCCTTATAAAATATTTCGTGAAAACTATACACTTGTACGTAAACTAATGTTATGAATATGTAAATTTAATTATGAACAAAAATGTTTCCCGACAAACATTTTAAACGCAATTAAAAAATGTTTTTTTTTTATTTGCGCAATCATGTTTTTACATTCTTATTAGTATAAAGCTATGAGAGCTATATCAAAAGCATTTTGAGAATATTATAAAAAAAAAAAAAACTCCAATAACTCGCTGTGAATGAGATCACGAATGTGTTACACTCTTTTTATTTTATATAAACAACGTCAGTTATGTTTTAGGTGATAGTGATTTGTTTAGGATAACTTCTAGAATAGTCTAGAATAGTTTGGACGTAGTTAAGCAGAAAGGGCTTGACTCACATAATATATCATTAAAATTTATCTATACGTCTTGTAATTTACGAAATAGATTATTATGTACTTCATCGTGTTTCTTGTTTGATTGTTTTCTTAGAGACCTATTATTTTTTTAGTTAATTGAGTCCTGCTAGCAAAAAAGTTACGTCTACTTATGCACTTACGACCCTTTGCCTCTGTGTAGTTTTACCTGTTTTTTTTAAGTCGAGTACTAATTATTTTTTCTTGAAAATATAATTTCGTAAGTTCTTAATTATTTTGTTCTTATTAAAGTATCTCTATTCGAAAGACACTTTCGTTGTTGTTTTTGCAGTTGTATGTAGTACACAATTGTAACTAATAATAAAATTGTTAGAAATGTATGCATATTATGCTCTTATTTTGTATCTTAAAAGTATAAATAAATAAATGAAACAAAAAATGCATTATTTACTTTTAGTTAATCTAGTCAATAAATATTAAATCATAGTCAAAGCTGGCCGGTTTTTGTTTGCTCGCCACTTAGCTTCACTTTTGGGTCTATCTGAAGATTCCGTATACTTTCAATAAGATGGGTCCATCCACTTCAGAGTCTGTAGGGATCACACAACACACATCGAATTTTATATTTATATTTAGAGACTAACTGTTACCTTCGGCTTCGGTTGTGTAGTCAAGGAATATTGTCGGTTTAATTTCCCGCGATATTTTTTCGGGATGAAAGGTAGCCTATGTCGTTTCCCTGACCACTAAAACTTTGACTTTAAAAAGATCACGTGAATCCGTTGCTTAGTTACGACACGAAAGAAGGACAAACAAACACTTCCACCGTAATGATATAGTTATAGATGACAAATTCTCCTAACTAAACCGCAACATTTGAAATGGCACCAAATTAATTTATAGTCTTGTCGCAACTAAAAGCCCGTTCTCTGTGAAAACAAGCCCGTTCTGCAGACTGGGGTTAGTTTTACATAAATCGGTACCCTGAGTTATTAATTACATTGACATCGCGAAAGGAAATAAACGTGATTATAACCAAAACGAACAAACCTATTTAATAATACTAGTGGCCCCGCAGTAGTCGAAATTCGACTATAATTGATTGGAATTGTAAGTTTATACACTATTATGATTGTATTTTCAACGCAACGACTACACTATAGAAAAATATTAATAAAGACAAACAATATTTAATCTATTCTCAATTTGACCACAGACGTCAAGAACAAAAGTTTGACAATAAATAAATAGTATGCCTGCGTGTGTGTGTCAAATACATGGTAGTGTGTGTAATGTTTTCTTTATTGATTTAATGTATCTTTTAAGCATTATTTAAAAAAAATATTAGCATTGTGCACTTCTTCTCTATAAGTGTGGAACATTTCATAGTCATCAGTCTGCACAATTTTCGTAAAAAGGGATACAAAGTTTTTGCTTCACGTATTAATATATAGAAATTAATACGTGAAGCAATGTCTCCCTTGCATGACTTACGGCTGTGAGACATGGACATTAACTGACAAAAATAGAGAAAAACTTGCTAAAACAGAGAGAGCAATGGAAAGAAGCGTGTTGAGTATCAGACTTAGTGACAGAATTCGAAATTGAGAAATAAGAAGGAAGACAAAAGTAACGGATATAATAACTCGTATAGAAAATCTTAAATGGAGTTGGACAGGTATCCAAGAGGGGACACCAGAAGACAGGGGCGACCAAAAACGAGATGGAGTGACGATATACGCCTAACCCTTGGACCATAAAGGACCAGAGTTGCAGAGGACCGAGCCCATTGGAGAGAGCTGGAGGAGGTCTATGCCACGAGACACGCTGAACTGCGAGATATACTATAAGAAATAAAATGTAAAAAAAAAAACACACAAATGTAAAACTTCATGGTTGTAGTTCGGAATTAAAGGGCTTTATTATTATTATTATTAATACGTGAAGCAAAAACTTTGTACCCCTTTTTACGAAAATTGTGCAGACTGATGAGTATGAAATGTTCCACACTTATAGGGAATATGGAGAAGTAGTGCAGAATGTTACTTTTTTATTTATTTTGCATAAAAATATTTTAAATCAGAAAAAAAAGCATTACACACACTACCATGTATTTGACACTCAACACACACATAAATACTCTCTTGTTTATTGTTAAGGTCTGTGGTCAAATTTAGAATAGATATATCAATATTTTTCATCTATAGTGAAGCCTTGGCGAAATTTGTTATTTAAATAAAATAAATAAATAAATAAAATTCATTTAATTCAGACCCTCTTAAGTCCATATGTTGTAAGTTGAATAATACTTAGAACTATGTTAGTAAAATTAAAATTAAAATTAAAATTAAAACATTTAAACATTTAATTCATAATAAATAATAATTAAAGAGGTTTATGATAGTCTTTGACAATAAACCCTTGATAATGTTCAAAGTTATAGTTTAAATTAATTGTAGTCGAATTTCGACTACCGGGCGACTACTAGTTTTCATAATACCTTTAGAATTAAAATGGCTCAATCTAAAATTCATGTTTTTAGTACATTCGAAGAATGTAATTGAAGAATTATATTTTTTTGGTTTTTCCATTTTAATACTCAAAGGTTATACACTTGATTTGAAAGAGACGGAAAGAGTACATTTTTCCCTTTCTGGACTAAAAACGACTGTTTCATTTTATAAGCCGATAGAGGTCCTCTATGTTTATATATATGTCATTCGAAGTATTAAATTTATTTTCTTAATTTTTTTTGCTAAGTCACTTCAATTCCAAAGACGCGATATGACAACGAAATTAAAACATTCATCATTGTTAAATTCCAATTTAAAAAATATATATAAAAAAAAGTCGAATGATATTATCGGAGAAAAAATCACAGCCTGTCATCTGAACCTGAATATGACTCTTTGTACTACCGAAAATCGGATAGTCGCATATATACTTACTTACATAAGTACATTTAGATGGATGCGTAAATAGATAATAAGTACCTACTTTGTTGAATATTTTCAAGATGTCCGCAGCTGGTATAGCAGTGACATTGTGAGGTTTGGTAGCGTTCAAAATCAAATCAAACATCGGTCAACAAAGAGGGTTTGATGGTAAATCATTTACCAATATACAAAACCTCATAAGAGCTCAAACTTTTTAATAGGTAGTGAAAAGTAAGATTTTTTTTAACACGTAAACTAACTTAATAATAAAAAAACACCTTCAGTGAAAAACACAATATGTATAATGTCGTCCTATGAAAATATAACACACACACTATCAAGAAAATGATAAGGTTGTGTACATTATGGCATTGCGTCAATGAATAGATCATATTAGTAATTATCAGACATCATTAATTTTTTTTTCTGCTATCCTATTTCACTTTCACACAAATATATCGAAGCCGGCAGAGCGAGAAACATCAAATTTATTCAGGCTATTTCGGGCTCATAATGGTTAGCTTGTGATTGTTATTTATTACCACATTAGCGAGAAAATTTCACTCAGACTTAAATAAGTTAATCACACTATTTTATAAGCACAATGTTTTGATAGTATACAGTATAGTATAATATTAACTACTGAGAAAGAAAAGGAAGATAATTAATTATATGCACTAGGAGATGGTAATTGTATTAAATTCCGAATATATTATTTTTAAGTTTTAACTACATACAATAAAGTGCGCGCGGAACTAGTTTGCCGCGTCTTAGGTGGCGACGGGTGAGGGGGCGGGTTTCCCACTGCTCGCAACGCACATGAGATTAGACAGTGAAGACCAATCTCGAGATATCGTGAACAATAATTGTTCAAATATTGAAAATAATTAATAAAAAACAATTGAACTTTTAGAATTTTTAATTGTACCTATCTAATTATATTGTAATTAATAGTAAAATAAACCAAAAATAAATTAAGTAGGTATATGAAATTACTCTGACATATCCTCTGAATCACTTGATTCTGAACTCTCTGAACTTGATCAGAATCATCTAAGTTTATAATGATTTCATCCATCATCACAAATCTCATATCATGATTCCAGTATTCTTGTTCGTTTTTTTGTACGTGGTCATCGCATTTTTGCCATTGTCCGGCAGAGAATTCAGAAAATAGCCTTGATAATATTGTAATTTTCTCGTCCAATGTAGCATTAATGTGATCTCTGGCCAGGCAATTTTTAATATTTGCCCACACAATCTCGATCGGGTTGTGGTCTGGATGATATGGAGGTAGTCTTAGAACAGTATCACCTGCAGCTTTCAGAAGTTCATCAACCGTGTATATTTTAACCGACTTTAAAAAAGGAAGAGGTTCTCAATTCGACTGTATGTTTTTTTCTTATGTTTGTTACCTTATAACTTTTGACTGGGTGAATCGATTTTGATGATTCTTTTTTTATTTTAAGAAAGCTGACGCTTCCCGTGTGGTTCCATTTCAATTTAGTTCAGTTCTGATAATCGTATCCATGAGAAAACCATTTACGTCTTAAATTTGCATTAAATACGTGCGCGGCAAATAGATGAATAACTCAATAACTCAATATCACGCCAACCGATTTCGATGATTATTGCTTTTAGTGTTATAATGTTTATTAATGTTGTTTTGGAATATCTTTTTTTTCTATTTGAAGTCGATTTTTGTTAAAGCATGTTTATTTACAACTAGAGGTCCCGCAGTAGTCGAAATTCAGCAGTATAATAAGTTTGGACACTATTATGATTGTATTTTATACTTCTATAATCACAAATTTCGCCAAAAATATTAATAAAGACAAACAATATTTCTATTCTCAATTTGACCACAGACGTCAAGAACGAAAGTTTGACAATAAATAGTATGCATGCGTGTGTGCGTCAAATACATGGTATGTAGTGTGTGTAATGTTTTCTTTATTGATGTAATGTATCTCTTATGCATTATTTTAAAAAAAAAAATAGCATTGTGCACTTCTTCTCTATATTCTCTATAAGGGTGGAAAATTTCATACTCCTCCGTCCGCGCAATTTTCGTAAAAAAGGATACAAAGTTTTTGCTTCACGTATTAATATATAGATTACTATTAATGATGAATAATAATAATAAAGTAATAAATCGCGCGTGAGTGGTTGTCGACTGACATTTAGAGACACGTGCGTATTCGAGTAAACGTAATTAAAGTTCAGTTATAAAACATCGAATTGTTGATGCTTTTGAACTAGTAGGTATATTTTTAGCTTTTATCCTTTATGCGCGTAGTGCTTTATTGACATTCCCTGTTTTCCAATTACAGCACAAGAGCGCATTATGCCGCATGCGGCAGATTATCTTCCTTGTGTGATAATGACATTGACAAGCAGCCTATATTGACTTTGAGGTTTTGTAAATTTGCCAAGAGAACGGCTGAATGTTACAAAAACCTACTTCAGTGGAATGTTATCGAAGATGACATTGGCATTCGGTTCATGTAATTGCTATAGTATTGCATAGACCTAGGTTTCATATTTCAGTGTGCAGAAGACACTTACGACTATTTTCATTTGTTAGCTTTAATTACTGATGATTCCTCGTGTCGCCCATGCTGACACTTGAAATGCTCGAAAATTAGTCTTAACCCAAATATCACATGATAAAAAACAATTTGCATACGTTCCGTCATGAATTAGGCTAGGGTCATTACCCTTGCTCACGCGGCCCGAATGCACATAAACTGTCTCCAGGTCACCGGAGCACCGTGATACGTGAGAAAGACGACCTTCACAACTATCTAAATTTAGAACCGATACGTAAGTACCTTAAAGTAGCGTCAGACCGCTACTTCGATAAAGCGACGCGACATGATAATTCCTTATCGTGGCCACCACCTATTACTTATCTGACCTAGGCAAGGGGGCAACGTAAAAGCGGCCGTCACACGGAACATGTTTTCTTTTTTCAGTGGATCTTGATTCCGATCCGGTGGTAAAATCTGCGAAGACTGCTCTTGCTAAGGCTAGAGTTAGCAAATTCTCTCAGGTGGGGCCTGTGAACTCACCTACACGTCCATGCGTAGCTGATATAGCCCCTTAGACTACTAGTGAATAGGTAAGGAAATAAAATAGTTATTTTAAAACACTTGGTTTGTTGCTTTATTATAAAATAAATCTCAATAAATTATAATTTAGAACGGAATGTGGCCGTTCATTCGTTAACCTTTGCTCTTGAAATTACTGACAGTTAAAAAAGCATTTCAAAATTCAAATCGTCAACCGCCATTTTCAATTTGGGTACAATTTATTATTAAATTTGTTTGAAAATATCTTATTTATGTAGTTGCGAAATATCTTTATTTGAGCATAACATTAATGAAAGTCGAACAAAATGAAGAATTCAAACAGTAAGTATTCAGTAATATGTATGAGCAAAACAAAAAGCAACTTAAAAGCGCTAAAAAACCTTAAAAAATATATCTTAATTTATACAGACATACCTAGCTTTGCTGTTTAAAAATACCACACGAACAAATGTTATTTTCTTAGATTTTGACGAATCGCAAAAGCTAAAATGGTAGGCGTCTGCTCTTGGATATGCATTGCATGCATTTGTAAATATGAAATTCTAATGATTGATTCTGATCCCATGATCTTTGATTCCATGATTACCCTCATCTCAGGATAGTGTAGAGCACCTAAAAATCAAGATTTTTAGACAAGATCAAGACTTTCTGGTCGTTCCTTCAATGCTGAGGATCGTGACTGTTTGTCAATCTTCTCCACTCGGTCCGGTTCTGCGCCATATGTACCGCTCCCCATATCTGGCCTCCAGTCACCTCCTTGAGTTGGTCAACCCATCTAGCTGGCGCTCTTCCTCTAGGGCGCTTCCCCTCTGCTCTTGGATATGCATTGCATGCATTTGCAAATATCAAATTCTAATGATTGATTCTGATTCCATGATCTTTGATTCTATGATTACCCTCATCTCAGGATAGCGTAGAGCACCTAAAAATCAAGATTAACTTGAACAAATACATCTTAAAATAATCTAAGAATTATAATAATTATTTAAATCTAAATAAAAATAAAGATATTAAAATTGAAAACATTAATTTTGCATATTTCAGAGTTAAAAGACCTTCAAATGACAATAGCTCGGATGCCTCTTCAACAATGCTGTGTGACTGTACTGCCCGAGTTCGGTGTGAAATGGAGGGAGGTATTTCGCGCGGTCAGATTGGCCAGACTGCCGATGACAGCGGCCAGTGTAGCCAGAGTACTGACCAGACACATTGCCAAGTCTCTAGAGGCTCATGAGTTAAACGATATATTGGCAAGACTAAAGTTGAAACGTAAGTATTTTGCGAATGATTGAAGAATTTGTTGTTGCTCTCAACACGATCTTACAGCTCAACTGCTTTTGAGTGATTGATGTGTATTTATTCTGCCTATGAATCAATTCCCTAATCCTTGTTGTAGCCCATCACAATATATTGTCTTCTGCATAATGCTCCTTCGTCGGATCTAACTTAAAATAGAGTACACCAACCTTGGTTATTTGTCACCATTTCCTCAACTGACATGCACATAGAAAATGCTTACTGAGTTAGAATAGAAATTTTGTTGGATTGTCAAATGTACAGTTCATGAAATGCAGGTCAATCATTTTCTGCCAAGACCACATTCCAAAAGGGAAAAATAATCTCTGATTCTCCATATCCATATCTCTTCCTAGTCCATGAATGTAGGAAAGATTAGAGCCAGGGCTAGTCTTTATTGTTTTATCGCTGATATCGAGAGGCAAAAGTGTATTTGGTTTAAGCGACGATTATGCAAATTTACAGGAGAGCCATTTAAAGTTTAAAATTTGGAAAAAATATCTTAACAAAAATACTTCTTCAACTATTTGAATGGGGTTATGGAACTTAAATTTTTAAACACCTAATTGTTAATGCGAATACCAAATAAAACGACACATTAATTTCGAAGATACATATTGTGTATTAAGCGAGATGTCATCTCTCTACATTATGTTCAATGCCCATCCCACCTTTCAAAATGGAAACGATGTAGAGCTTTTAGGCCTATATAGATATCATGAAATCTATCTCTGCATGCTTATTCTATAAAAAAAACATTCTACCTCCATAAACAAGATTTAAACTAAACAACCTGAGCGAATACTAATTATGTTACAGAACTCATCTATTTTCATTGCAGTGGTAGTGTCACAAAATCGAATGTGGCATGTTGTTAACATGTCCGAGCAGCACACCGCTGGGCCGATCACGGAATTAATAGAGACTCTACCTGAGGTCATTGAGAATAATTTAAAGAAAGGAAAGCATCGGTTCACTAGGCCGGAGGTGATTGTTTTATTATTATTAAATAAATATTTAATTGCGGTGCCTCTATGTTAAGGATTATCTCTGAAAGCTTCTAACTGTCTACATAAGTAAATATATAGATACCAGCTGCTATTCTCAAATTAATGGCTGTCAACAAGCAGACGTGGTAAGATTTTGGTCCGTCTGAACTGGATATGAGATCTATTGTGTTAAACAACTGTAATATTTTAATTGGGACACCAGTAATATAGGCATAGGCATATTTGTTGTAGTTGCAAATAACAAAATGTAATTTTTTGTCAGTAGTGCTAAATAAATTTTATAAGCTACAGGTAAATTTGACTTGCAATAATAGATTAGATTAAAATAATCTTAGCTGTGTCTCTGGTCTGACGAAGGAATCTTGACAGCGTGAATGCAATTTTTAACCAAACCCTTATGTTTTAGGTGCAAACAAATTTGATAGGTGATCTGTTGTATATTAGTGTACAGCTGGTGTCAGACACTAAGGAAGGGAGCACGTTGTATGTCGCGACACCGCCTGGGGAAAGTGTCGCTCTCTTCAGTACACTTTCGATGTCTGCACAGATAAAAGCCTGTGTCGATGGTAAGTAGGCCCTCAAATGTGTCTCTTTAATATTATATTCGTAGAATCGATTCTATTGAACAAATAAACAATAATTTTTTTACGTGATAATATCTTAAAAATCGACGAACACTGGGTGCACGCACGTAAAAGTGTCACGTTCCGCCTGAGCCTCAACGTGTGAGCGAGACCGCGGAACAAGCGATAGAGACGACCGATCGGCCCAAGCGTCAATTTATCGATAAAATTGTAATTTTCAATTAACTCCTTTGTATTATTATACAAAATAATGATAATTCAGTGATAAAATAATTCAATTCATAAAAGTATACAATTTTTTATCAATGTTTCTTTATGACGTTATCAAGTAAAATTATCGTCAGTAAACTGACTATACAGACAACCAATTTTTTCTTGCCAACCGATTGCTTGTCTGCAGTGATGAATCTCTGTGCTTTGTCGATAACTCAGGGTTGCTTCGGATGACCTCATCTACATTCATTTTAAAGTTATAGCTTAGACTCATAGGAACCTCAACGGCTTGGTTCTGCCCCTGACATTGCTGAAGCCCATAAGCGATGGTAACCAATCACCATCAGATGGGCCGTATGCTCGCCTGCCATAACTGGCAATAAATTTTTTTTTACCATCCAGCACTTGATTTACAACACAGCATTTACTGGTGATAGGACCTTTTGTGAGGCCGCGCGGGTAGGTACCATCACCCTGCCTATTTCTGCCGTGAAACAGTAATGCGTTTTGGTTTGAAGGGCAGGGCAGTCGTTCTAATTATACTGAGACCTTAGAACTGATATCTCAAGGTGGGTGGCGCATTTACGTTGTAGATGTCCATGGGCCCCAGTGGGCTGTGAGCTCGTTCACCTATATAAACAATAAAAAAAATTTTTTGAGTCCGAATCTGATATATATTTTATTTCAACAGCTCTAGGTTACAGGAAGTATGAAGACGCGAAACTCCACGGCAAAGACATACCATCGTTGCTGCGCATCAATGATCGCGCGTGGAACGGAATGGCGCAGAACCTGGCCTCGGTGCCGGATTACGCGCCAAAACCGATCCTAACCTATAACGGGATCGATTACACGAACAGAACTTATGACGCGGAGTACATTGAGAATATTTTGGGGCCCGTTCCTCCGTTACTGACGGATCTGACCATCAAAACGTCGAAGCCCTTCTTCGATGCGAGCATGCTCAGTAAAAATATTAATATGAAGATAACGTTGAAGAGTGAGAATGTCGCGGAAACTTTAAAGAGTTGGGTGGTAAAGGGAGCTTTGGCTCCAACTTCGGAGTTCTTTCACATATTCCACAACATAAAATCGAATAATATTAGTCGTAACATTGACGATACAGATTAGTTTAGTGCGTGTTTTTTAACGTTCTCGATAGCGTAAAAGTTAAACTAAACTTAAATTTTGTATGGAGTTGGAACAGCGCTCCTAGCGGCAAACGTTCCAACTCCATACAAATTTGCGTTAACTTTTTCGCTATCGAGAACGTTAAAAAACTCGCACTAAACACACTGTAATACGCCTTATAACACGGTAGTCTTATAACGCACTTTCGTATTACGCGATTTGTCTCTCGTATAACGCGGGTATGCCCCCATATAACGCGGAGATTTCGCACGTTATATTTTTGTACTACTGTGAAATTTATAATGATTTGTACAATTCATACTTAATTTCGCGTACCTTGCACATTGCGTCAATTGTGTTGTTTTAAAATGAAATTTTTAATTAATTTATTATATTTGTGTTCCTAGTTTTTGAATTGTAAATAAATTGGTATTATTGTATTATATTTGTACATAACGCGTTATATGGGGTCGCACGTCGTAAAAGCGCGTTATGCGAGAATACTCCTATAACGCGGAACTAATCTACCGTGTTATAGGGGGGAATTATTGGAATTGTAAATAAAAGTTTGTTTAATGAGAATTTTTTGGTGTTTTATTTGTTTAGTTAATATAAATATTTTGTAATTTTTTTATTCTATAAAAATTCTCAACTTCCGTATTTCTCAGTATACTGAGGGCTGAGGCCTTTATTTTTGTTCGAACAATTGAAGACATGAGTGGATGAAGGGGATATGACACAATTTGTAAATTTTGAGAAAACGGGCAACAAACTTTTGTTATTCTGTTCTTCGGACATAACTCCTTCATCACATGCAATTTCTAAAAATAGCCTTTAAACCCCGAGTTTTAAGGTCTAATAAAGTTCATAGGCGCATAACACCTTCATTAATGTAAAAATCTTATAATCTTTCCGATTAAAAAGGAAAACCTGTACAGGTACTATACAAATGAGAATTGTATAGTACACACCTCACATCTCAATTGGTGATGTTCACGTTGTCTTAACCCACTTAATATCCCGCGGCCCGTCAGCTCGCTCACCCATCAACGCAATAAACAAAAAATAACCCTCGAAATAAAACACACAATTGACTAGCCATCTTTAATTTTTATAAACATTCATTATTAAACATAAAATCTTCATTCTAAGAACAATTCAATTTAATTCTAAACAGAACACAAGTGCTTACTCCGAACGTACGAAGTATTCAAATTAACTTATACAATTATCATATAGATATTTCGAGTCTCTTTCGTTTGACAATTCCGAGCGCGGGTATGTAACAGAAACGAATTTCAAAAACACCTTTTTTTTTTCATTGCTAAATTGTCATTTTGACAGTACAGAATATATTTTTACCGCCAAAAAAAATGTCATTTTGACAGCGCAGATAATATATTTTATTTCGAAATATAAAAAAAGGTTCCGGAAACACTATTCTTTTGTATTCAACAAAACCTCTAGGAATATTATGTCATGAGGGGAATGGGTCGGGCTATGCCCCAGGAGTCGCCGTTTGCGGCGATAATCGCTTTTCCAACGAACCGATCCATTACATAATTCAAATATAGTCTGTCCTTTTCTTGCGTGAAATTCTCAAACGGAAAAGACACTTGTCGTATTTATTTAATTGAGCATTAAAATAGTTATACGCTATCCTGCTCGTGAGCGTATAGAAGTTTCGAGATAAAACATAAAAGCCTTAAATCGAACATACAACAGATAAAGTACTTAAAATGTAGCTGTAATTAAAAAAAAAACGACTTAAATATATGGCAACACATTATATTGCATTCGCACATCGAAATGACACACTTTATAGAGATCAAATTTAATTTAAGACCAAGGGTACATGTTAATATTCGAAATTGAATTTTAAAAATATATAATAACTAGCGGCCCGCTCCGGATCCGCTCGGGACTTTAACAAACATTTCAACGATATTTGACGTATTTTGTTTTTTTAAATAAAATAACACTTATTGCGGCATAACTATAATAGTTAGACATATGCTGTCGCGACACTTTTTGTAAATAATAATGTGTTCTACAAAGTCGTAGTACATTCTTTTATTCTATCATCAATAGTTTTCGTAGGGCAAGCGATGTAAAGGATATTTTAGGTCATTTTTTATACACCTTGGGTTACATTATTGGAGTTTTAGTAAGGATCCCTAATTTTTTTCAAAAAAGATTATAGCCTATGTCACTCGGGAATAGTGTAGCTTCCAAACAGTGAAAGAATTTGTCAAATCGGTTCAGTAGTTTCGGAGCCTATTCAATACAAACAAACAAACAAATCTTTCCTCTTTATAATATTAGTATAGATATCGAGGGGTGAAAGGCTATTTGGTTTACGTGACATTTCGCTTAACACGCGACATTTATCTTTGTAATTATAGGTGCGTTTTATTGGATATCAAACTTAACAGTTCCATGTTTTGAATTGAACTTCAATTAAGTTTACTCCATTTGAATATCAAAATAGCTTTTCACCCCTTGATACAAACAATTACCACGACGGAAGTACACGATCAGATAAAAAATTTGATTTTAGAACGTTTATTTATGGCATCGCGACTTCCGTCACGCGCGCTGCAATGGCGTCCAAGAAACTGGTCTATTAATATTACACCATTCCTAGAACAGTATTATATTCAGATACATCTGTCTAACGTTAAGAAGACGGACTCATTGAGGCAGTAATCGCGAAAAATAAACTTTGACTGCCGTGTAGGTCACCGGTGCCCTACGCGGCGCGCTGAAGTAATTATGTCGATTTACTGTTACTAAGGCGCCGGAATATCTAATAGACTGTAGGAAAGACGAATCCGAACGATACTGAGAATGAATCGTTTTTCCAAGAGACCTGTAAGACTAAAACATACATTAACAATCAATAGAAGGCAAAGTTAGGCGCTTTTTTTTTATTGCTTGGATGGGTGGACGAGCTCACAGCCCATCTGAGTAGTTACCGGAGCCCATAGACATCTAAAATGTAAATGCCGCCACCCAACTTGAGATATAAGTTCTAATCTCTCAGTATAAGTTAGTTACAACGGCTGCCCCACCCTTCAAACCGAAACGCATTACTGCTCCAATACGACCGCCAATTGTACTTTTTTTTTGTATTTAATGATTCGCATTGATTTTTTTTTTGGTGTACAATAAATAATACTCTTTCCCTCTATCTCTCTCTATCTACCTATCTCCATCTATCTTTCTCTCACTCTTATGATTCATTTTAAAATCACACTTCGAAGGCCAACAAGACTAACGGGGTCATTCACCTCGCGCGCCCTCTATACTCTGACTGTATGACACTCCGTGCCAAATATAGCTTTTTAAATTTATTTATTTTGAGACGCTTTTATTAGCTTTTTATGTCACGTCATTCTCATCGACTTCAAGCCGTCAGATTGTCTTGACAATTCGCATCAAGTACCGATGACGCTACAACAACTTTTATGGCTTCGCTCTAATATTCGGTACCGACAGCATAACAGAATATGAAAATTAATTGTTAATTTCGGTTTGCTGTTTAAAACTGTTTATTTTTAATTTAGTTTAGACGAATATTTCGCGGGACTATTAGTTTTTTTTTTTATTAACGCCCTCTTGTTACATATTCTATGTTGAAATTACGCGGGCGCCATAAATCACCCGTGGATTATACCGAAGCGAAAAAACAAGCATTTTCTATATTATGAATTAAAAATATTAGGTACTTTCTTAACGTCGAATGAAACTAGTGTCATTTCGATAATTAAAAAAAAACCAAAATAATACGGCTATAATTTTTTTTTTGAACTGGCAAGAACACGGTTCAACTATCGCGTAATACAATATAACCTTATACGCAAATAAAACTCAAAACATAGGAACGTTTTTGAACGAAACAAAAAAAAAAACTTTTTGACTAGCGCCCAAGATCTTTCACAAATATACGAAAAAAAAAAAAAAAAAACACATCCGAATAAATATACTTAGCTTTTAAAGTAATCTTAGCACCATATTTGAAAATAAAAAGAAAATCACACGCCATTAACTCTATACGTCTGGCGTTCCACACCAAAATTATTGACACATGTCAGCTGTCAAATTTTACCCTACTGCCGAAAGAGGGTAACCTTTTTAACACCGCAATCTACATCACGTTTTTATCGCACTATAGTTGTGTGTATCGCCATTTTTTAAATTATCTAACATAAACAGAAATATACCGATATTAAAATAACAACAAAACATGTGCCGTCGCCCTAATGATAATAAGCCATTTCCGTATTTAAGAAGCATATTTTTTTTACTTAATACCTATTAGCTTAAAAAGAATTGACAACCTTTCCTTTTTCAAAGTCGGTTAAACGATTTTTATATTTTAAATATATTTTTTTTTTAATATTGCAACACCACGTCTAACCAAGAACAAGATGGCCGGCTTAATCAATTATATTGCAGGTCAGGGCTGTCTGAATACAGAGCGCATACAAAAAGCCGCGTCTTTGTGTTAACACACAATTCTAGGGCTGTCAAAAGAATATATTTTTCGTAATGTTCCTAATATATTTTCATTCAGAAATTATTTATGTGGGATATTTTTTTTTATCGTTTATTCTAACAGAACGCTATCTGCAGTTTTGGGTTGATTATACCTTATGTATAAACTTAGTGTGTGCGAGCTATGGAGAGGGCTATGCTTGGTATTTCTCTACGAGGCCGAATCAGGAATGAGGAGATCCGTAGAAGAACCAAAGTCGTTGACATAGCCCGTAGGATTAGCAAGCTGAACTGGCAGTCAGTGGGCAGGCCACATAGCGTGAAGATCGGACGGCTGATGGGGCAGAAAGATCCCCGTGTGGAGACCACGTATTGGGACGGCCACCTACTAGATGGACCTGGCGAAGATCGCTGGGTCACGTTGGCATTTGACCGATCCCACTGGACATTAGTTGGAGAGTTCAGTGGACATTGGACAGGCTGAGATGAATGAATGAATCAAAATATTTTTGAGACAACCTGCATTTATAGAGCTATTATTAATATAGCATATTTTTTGTCTCTAAATAATCTGTGGACAGCCCTAGTTTAAGCCAATGTCTATGATTTTTTCTTTTTTTTACAACGGACTCAAATGTAAGATGACGTTTCTTAAATTACAAACTAGTGATATTTCCAATTGGTAAATAACGAGTTAAGATTAGAAATGTATTTTTTTTCTATTTAAATAACTTCATAAACTCGATAGTGGTAAAAATACGAATGGCCACATTGAAAGATTTAAAATTTTTAAAATTTCGTTTTCTTTATAAACTAGATATACGAAAGTTCTTTTTTTTTCTTCTTTTCTCGAAAATCTTAAAACATAGACAACTTTTTCCCGAATAAAAAACTTTTTTTTTTTCCTTTTTAAATAGTTAATTAATTTTGTACTAAACATCCGGCCGAAGCGGTCTAAGACATTTCTCTGTTGTACCGTAAAAACGATCGCTTCTTCAAATTTCAAATTACCTCTATTTAGCTACAAATTCGAGGGGCGAAAGGCCTTATTAGTTTTAAGCGACATTTTTGCAACTTTACATGAGAGCTATTTAAAGCTTAAACATTTGGAAAAAATATATTTTCTTTTATTGCCCTTGTAGGCAGACGAGCATACGGCCTACCTGAGGGCGAGTGGTTACCGTCACCCATGGACTTCAGCAATGCAGAGCTAAGCCGCTGCCTAACGTTATAAAAAAAAAAAAAACTACTTCAACTATTTAAATGGAATAAACTTAATTGAAGTTCAATTAAAAACATCGAACTGTTGATGCTGATACTAAATAAAAAGGACCTTTAATTACACAGAAAAATGTCGCGTGTAAAGCGAAATGTCCTCAAAACTCACTCACCCCTCCCATATGTTTGGGGGCGAAATTTTTGGAAACGCACCACTAATAATCATAGAAGCACCAGTAGGTAATATGGACAAATTCTTTAACCCTAAGAAGACACAGAAAAACAGCAGCTTGAATTGAAAAAAAAAAAAAAAATATTTTTTTACCTATTTTAGTGAGCTCGCGGGGCTCTAACCTGACGACGTTGCTAACACTAGCCTTAGCAAGAGCAGTGCTTCGCAGAATCTACCACCGGATCGGAAACGCGACCCACTGAGAAGATCCGGCGAGAAACTCAGTGGGCTGTGTCTGAAGGTAGCTTTTGAAGAAACGACCGCTTACAGTAGCTTTCACCGCACACCACATCACTTAACCTATCATCACATTCCGTTCTGATCACAGATACATTGACCCGATTTGCTTTGAGCAGTGTTGCCATGTTTAAGTTCTTTTTTTTTTTTTAATAATCAGTTAACATTGGTTTTTTTGGACATCACTTTGAAAGCCGAATCTTAAAAATTCAATTCACGTTATTTGCAATTGCATATAATTTAATGCATCAAGTTTCGATTCAATGAATTTTTCCAACACTCACGTATGTATTTTTTTTTACCAATTTATATACGTTAGGGTATGACTCAGTTAGACAAATGGTAATCACGACTATAAACCATACAGCCAATAAAAAAAATACGTAGTCAACAAAACACCTCAATTAAATATTACCCTAATTTCTGGACGATTGGGATAAAAATTATAGCACCCTTGTAGAATTCTCAAAATATGGCAACACCGGACCAAGCACCGCACAATACCCAACATTCAACATTCCTTGTCTAATAATTCTTTTCTTCTTTTTATATATATCTATACCTTTTAATAACCACCAAAAACTTTCGCTAGTCTTTATTAAACTAGTAACTTATAAGAAGACATTATGATAAAATAAAAAAAAATAAAAAAAATATTGCCATTTTTGTGTGACCAAAAATTTATAAAAATTTACTATCTATGGTCGCAAGATAAATCTTTTAAAAACTAAAAAAAACTTCTAAATTTGTTACGAACAGAAAAACAACTCACATCCGCGATTAAGAAACTAATCACGACATCCAAAGTTACCATAGACAACAACTTTTTTAGTGTCTTTGAAATTTTGATGACTGGCAACATTTTTGCCGTTCCGTGAGCAAGCCTCGTTGTTAACGGGTCCTTCGAATCTCTTGACTGGGGGTCAATATATGAGACATTGACATGTGCCGCCTGAAAGAGACGAAAACAGTTACGCTGCAACTTAAGATTGTCCTCATGTATCAAACCGCTCTTGTAGCCGCTTCGCGTCAAGCGAACTGTGAGCTAGTCTCATCCGCTCTACAGACTCAATATTTTTGCTAATTACACAAGTTGGGATGACTTGATGATAATACCAGAGTCCGATGACAGCAAAAAAGGAATGTCGCCATTCACTTTCAGGCTTGAGGTTGAAGTTTTAATTTTTATTGCATATATGACTGGACGAGCTCACAGCCCCCCTGGTGTTAAGTAGTTACCGGAACCCATAGACACCTACAACGTAAACGCCGCCATCCACCTTGAGACATAGGGTCTAAGGCTGCCCGACCTTTCAAACCTAAACGCAACACAGCTTCACGGCAGAAATAGGCGGGGTGGTGGTAACTACCCGCGCGGACTCACAAGAGGTCCTACCACCAGTAATTACGCAAGTTATAATTTTGCGGTTTGCTTTTTATTACACGATGTTATTCCTTCACCGTGGAAGTCAATCATGAACATTTGTTAAGTACGTATTTCATTGGACAAATTGGTACCCGCCTGCGGGATTCGAACAACATGCAACAGTGCATTGCTAGATACAAATACACCGGACGTCTTATCCTTTAGGCCACGACGACTTAAGCAGTAATTAATTTGGAGTAACCATAGCATCCCAAATTCTAAAACAGAGTAAATTACCTTAGACCTCTTTCGCCTCTAAATAACAGACCGCATAGAGAACAATTTTTCATTTCCATTATATTTTCATTTTTGATGTTCACTTCTCTATGATCCTCAGCCTTCGTTTCTATGGTGGACGTTTTAGTATCTGTACATTGAGCATTATCTGTGGTTTCCCTTTTGTTGTGTTTCTTTTCCGGTGTATACAGTTTTGGTTTTAAGCCTGAAAAAGATATGTATGTATGTATGGTCTGTGTGTGATCGGTGTTGTCCGATCACTCTTAATCTACATTTTCAGATTATCCTAGAATTATTAGCATTGTGGACACAGGTGATTGTTATAGCTCTGATTTTTCATATAAAATTTTATAGTGGTAACAGATAATGAATATCTTATAATAATAAATAATTCAAACAAATGACACATACTCATCTGTACCCAAACTAGGATTCTTTGTACTGTGAGGACCTGATACTGACATATGTTGTTATGGTTAAGCACATACATATATAGATATAAACCCATGGACAAAGAGTAAAAATAGCATGCTATCATACAAATGATTGTCTGATTTGAGAATCAAACCCAAAAAATATATTTTTATATGCAAAAGTTTGGTAAATGAAACCCTAGCAGGTACTCTAAGATTAATTTACAAATCATTCAGTAGTTTTGTGATATTATCTTAGCTTATTCATATGGATTTTGTAAACTGTGATGAAGGAATCCACCGGTTGCAGAATTTTTTCAGGTTTTTTTTTCCTACCTATGCTGATAGCCTTGAGAGGCTATATCAGCGTTACCGGAAGAATATCTTAGTATTACACCAGCAATGACAATTGCCAACCAAGTTAAACTTGTACTAAGACATTTTGGGGACCATTTTAGATGGATTCACCATCATTCACAAAGTAATAATTAATTCTGGTCGAATTTGGGAATGACTATCATGAAACACAATTGACTTTTTTATGTATTTCTTTTATTGCTTGGATGGGTGGACTAGCTCACGGCCCACGTGGTGTTAAGTGGTTACCATAGCCCATAGACATCTACAACGTAAATGCCGCCACCCACTTTGAGACATGAGTTGTAAGGTATCATTTTTAACAGTACAACGGCTGCTCCGCCCTTCAAACCGAAACGCATTACTGCTTCACGGCAGAAATAGGCAGGGTAGTGGTACCTACCCGTGCGGACTTACAAGATTTCGTATCACCAGTAAAATTACTACACTATATTACTCTTCTCTCATATTGCCACATTTGGATTGTTATCTCTAAGTTTCAGTAGCTAATACATCAATATATCTTCAATGGCTAACTTCTTCATAAATAATTAAAACTTACTGGCTACAATGACTATGTTGGGCACACCCATAACATTATGCGGGGAGTCGACTTGATTCGCCTTTATGCTCATGTCTGTCTCAACGATGCGACTCAAAGGCGCTTCATCACTGGAGCCATCTGTATCGATCTGATGAGGTCTTGACTGACGCTTCTTTACTCGCTTCCTAAATCTGCAATAAAATATTTCTTACGTTTATTATGAAGAAATCCTCCTTACATTAAGTTACTGATAGCTGGCCGCTATCCACCTCAATATATGAGGTCAAAGATTGAGACCTTTTTTTTTTAAATCATGCCACTGATATACCATCTGTGTACACCTAAATGTCTTTTATGCTTTTTTTTATTGCATAGATGGGTAGACGAGCTCACAGCCAACATGGTGTTAAGTGGTTACCTACCCGTGCGGACTTACAAGAGGCCCTACCACCAGTAAAGCATTAGTGAAAATGGATGTAGTATCATCCTTGTTCTTTCTATATCTTCTAATCACTTCATGTAAACATCTATGTTGCTTTGAAACTATAAAGGGTGTTTCTTTTCCAAAAGTCAAAAATAAGACTAAATTACATAATTAAAAAGACTTTCTTCCATTTAGAGTCAGGACGTTAGGCAAAATAATAAATTTATTGTTTAGATATAATATATACATACATGTCAATTTTATGAAAGTGTGTAGGTATGGAAAGTTCAATTTTTTTCTCCAGTGTCTTTAAGTAACAAAAAAAAAAACTGATACAAATCAAGTGTGGCTGTACACTTCGAGGCAACAGCCCTGCCAACAGCCTAGGGCACTATGGGCTAATAACCTGTATGCCTGAAACTTTTACATTACTGAAACTCGAATCAAAACAAACCGGACTGATAAAACACCAGGTGTCCTGGGCATGACGTGGAAGGAGCTAGAACAGACTGCCCAAGACCAATGTAAATGGAAAAATTTGATTCGAGCCCTACACCCCAGCAGAGGGTGATAGGAAAGAATGATGATGATGATGATGATGTCTTTATTGTAATTCGAATCATACCGAATCTGGTCTAGGGGTAGCGTGCAGTTGGCTACCTCCTACCCTCCCATTATAATCGTTCGCAAGTTCATAACAATTGCAATTTTAGCAACAAATAATACAATCTGTTTTTAATTTACTTCAGGGTTTTGGGTCAGTTTCGAGAACACTCCCTCATTGATTCATGTAACTCAATTTTTTTTACTCATAAGTAACACATATGTTTATATAGCAGTATTTTTGAAAAATGATACCTTCTGCAACAGTATCTGAAGAGAACTATGGTTTTTCTAGTATTACCGGTTTCCATGAACAAGAATGACCATGACCACCAGTTTAGTTAATAAAAATAATCGACACTTATGTTTTTATAATATGTTTGTGGCAGTCAATTGTTTTTCCTACCTCTTACGCGGTCTACGCTGAGCAATAACCGGTTTCTTGTTAGTCTCCTCATTATTATTGATATTGATGTATTTCTCGCATGATGCCTGTGGTCGCTCCGCATCTGTACTACTCGATATGCTGGTCTTATCGCAAGCAAACAGATCTGTACCGTTACTTAAATCATTGCTGTCTATTTGATCGCTGTAATAAACACTTAATTATCATTATAGCTCTAGGTTTGTGGACAAATAATGACCCCCCGGATGTTAATCTATTACTGAACCCCTACAAATCATGAAGTCAATGTTGCCACTCATCTCGAAACATGATGTTAAAACCTATGACGTATTATGGTTATGCCATCTCTTTGAACAAAACTCATAATTGCTTCACAGCCAGTAATGGACAAAGTTTGTACTTATTGCATTGTGTCCAAATTACCCACTTATTTTAATTTTCTTGGTATAAAAATTTTGAAAACCTAAACAGTTCTACTTTAGGAAATTTATTGAGATAATTGACCAAAACTGTGTTTGCTCAGCAATTTTCAATATCTATAAGGAATTATGAGGGTACAGATGAATGGCTTTACTTGCATAGTGAAATACAGATATTTTTTTACTTTTCTTTACCAAGCACATCTAGAGAGCTGATTGATGATGGTAAGAAATATTGTGAAATTAAAATTAATTGTGTTGTAAAGTTCATACCTATAATTTGATAAATCACTCTGTGCCTCTAATTTCTTGATCTGAAAGGTGATGTTTATTCTTTTGTATATTTCTTGAGTTATATTCAGGCATTTTTCGTATTTTGAATCAAGTCTCTCGCCTGTAATCGCCCATGACTCTTGAGTACCTTGTAAAGTCGACATTTTGTGTAAAAAACCCGTCTTGGAGCACTTCTAGGCACGCTGTCATCAGTTTCATTTACATCCAATATATTTAGATACATTTTCTTTTCAATGCGAACATGTTACTATGAGATTCCCCCCAATTTTCCTGTTTTTTTTGTGATGAATTTTATTTGAATGTGTCGATATTAAAACCACATTTTCGATGTCGAATTATCTAGAAGTTTCGGTAAATATATGCAAAATGTTATTTCGAATTGTATTCTTTATGTAAATTCGCTGATTTATCAAGGTTTCGTATTCACAAACACAAAGACCTGTACTTCAATTCTTATTTTATGGCACAATAAAACTGTCACTATCTGAACTTCAGGTCTACGGCAACAAGACTAGATAACGCTACATATATAAATATAAAACGATTGACTAATAAAAAATAATAAATAAACAAATAACAATAAAATAAGAGCCTTTCCGGCTTTTTTTTTGTAAATTTTTTGACGTTTTAATTTAGTGTTGCAACTTCACATGATTAATTGCACATAAAGATAATTTAAATGCGAATCATAGACAAACCGAAAAAATGAGGGCGATTGTCACAATGCTGTGAACGTTCCTAAACGGAAAAAAAAATTCCCGCCAAAAGATGTTGTCAAACTGTCATTTCGTTCTAGGAGAACCGAAATTATGTTTTGATAACAAATTGATAGAGGCTTCAAATCTGATTTTATGCCGAAACGCTATGATTGAAACTATATTGCAAAATAAGAAATGTTTACCTTTTTAAAATAGCTACTAATAGGATTTAAGGAACAATAAATATGGCTGGAAAAAAGGGTAGGAAAGTTGAAATTTCGGCAACGCTTGTGACTGAAGACATAATCCCGTGTGCTATTTGTGGTAGAGAAGTTGATGATGAAGTTCTATACGGAAAAATATACGCAATCGGAGATATTCAATGTCATTATTTTTGCGTGGTACGTTTATAGAATCGTAAGGCATCCATATTAAACAAATGCAACCCTTGTAATTTTAAATCATCATCATCATCATCTTAGGCCTTACAGCCCAGGGTGGTCCTTAGCCTAATCCAGTATGTCTCTCCAGACTGCTCTGTTCAGGGCTTTCTCCTTCCAGTTCCTGACACCGATAACTTTATGGTCGTGCTCTACGCCATTTAACCATCGGAGTTCGGGCCTGCCACGACTTCTGCTGCCCTCGAGTTCGCCATATAATAGTTGTCTTGGCATTCTGGTCTGGTGTAATTTTAAATATGTTGTATTTATTCAGAATATAAATGTATAATTTTTATAATCATTCATTTTTACAGACTGAAAAAAAAAATTAACTAAATTCACAGCTAACAGAGTTGTAGAACTAAATGTACTATTATTATAGAGCCTAATTATCAAAATATATACAAAATTCACATAAATTTTCTGAGCAGAGCAGGTGTACTGGAGACAATCATGGGTGCCTCTATGTCAGTGAGCATTTGGGATCCTGAGAAATGCCTTTTGGATAAGACTATCTTCTTTCATTTTAAGTTCAATGTGACTAATTGAATAATACTAAATACTGGTGAAGAAATTATGCCAACTACCATAAAAATGTTGTAATAGTAATTAATATGATTTTAATGCAGCTTTTCTGTTTGTACCTCATAGTTGCTGTCCTGCTGCCTGGTGCAGAAAGGAAGAGAGACAGATGGCCTCTTTGGGTTTCTGTATCGAGATATCTTAGCCGAGATCGAGAGGGCCAAGAAGCATGTGAGTAAATACTTTTATTTCCTCACATTGTCTCAATTAATTGAGAAAATAATTATAAGCGGACTGTGAGATACAGTGAGTAAAATGACATCAACCATAAAATATCACAATCATTCTAAACAGAGGAAGATTCCTTTTGGTGGTAGGACGCTGGTGGTAGGTGGTAGGTCTTGTGAGCCCTCACAGGTAGATAGATGCTAACCACCCGTCTATTTCTGTGAAGCAGTAATGCTTTTTTTGGGCTCGAATGGTGGTCTGGCAGGTGTACTATAAACATTGAGTTAGAACTCATGTTAAGGTGGTGACATTCACATAGTCTGAAGAAACTTAATACCAAGTGGCCAGTTAATGCATTCACTAATCTATGCAATAAAAAAATTGTGTTGTATTTAGTATGCTCTGAAGTATTTGATGGGAACTATTTTATCCACCATCTGTCATCTTAACTGTCTTGTGAATAAGATGTGTTTGATCTGTATTTTATTAATTATTATGGTTATAAATAAAAATTGCAGAAATGCTCATACTGCAGTCGTGGTGGTGCCACCCTGGGCTGCTCTGTGAGCCAGTGTCGGAAACAATTCCATTTGCCGTGTGGCAGAGAAAAGAATGCAGTATCATTGTTCTACGGTAATTATAAGTGAGTATTGGTGAAATCAATAGTTCATTTAAACCACTAGATTTTTTTCCACATAAGGTCTTCATAAACACTTTCAGAATCCTACACTTTTTTTATATTACTTAGATAGATGGACTAGCTCACAGCCCACCTGGTGATAAGTGGTTACTGGAGCCCATAGACATCTACAACATAAATGCTCCACCCATCTTGAGATATAAGTTCTAAGCTCTCAGTATAGTTACAATGGATGCCCCACCCTTCAAACCGAAACGCATTACTGCTTCATGGCTGAAATAGGCCGGGTGATGGTATCTACTCATGCGGACCCACAGCAGGTCCTACCACCAGAAATTTAATTAAATTTTAGATCCTTCTGAAATTGATAAAATCCCAGAATGAGTGTAGTTTTTACACCAAGTACCAATCAAAACAATTTTTTTGTGAGTCCACTTTCTCTCAGCGTGTTGTAAAAAAAAAAATATGTACAATACAAAGGAGATTTTTAAAAAATTTACACAATGGACCTTAATAGAAGGCTCCAAGGTCACCCAAACAGCAATGGAAATGGGCTATGCTGGGAGTTTCCCTGCGAGATCAAATCAGGAATGCAAAGATTTGCAGATAAACTATTGTAACCGACATAGCCCAAAAGAATGCGACATTGAAGTGGGAGTGGCTGGGGCACAATGACAACCGCGTATACCAGAAGACATAGAAGGTAGAGTCCACAAACTGGACCGATGACCTTTAGGACCGGAGGCTTGACCGGAGGCTTGACCGGAGACCTCCGGCGGCAGACCGGAGGTCTGTGTCTAGCTGTGAACATCCAGAGATAGAGAGTAGCTGTGATAGAGTTTACAATTAAGCTGGTCCTTGATGAGTAGCAACCTCAACTATGATAGGTTGATAAACTATTAAAAGAGAGTTGGAGATACATAAATATAATTCAACAACTTCCCAATTACATTTCCATTCCACTATATCATATTTTCTTGTCTCTAATTTTCAAACTTTTTGATTTTATAGCAGAAACTAGTTGAAAACATTTCAATTAATTTTCAGATCATACTGTCAGCAACATGTCCCGAAGCAGAAGGTACATGACAATGTAATGGAAAGCATCAAACAGCGGAGAAAAAACAAAATTAAATCCAAAAAAGGTGGAGCAGATGTCTTTGAACATGAAGGTATTATAAAAAAAAATTATTTTAAAATTGTATTCCAAATAGAACAGTATTGAACGAATCCTTATCCAATGCTTGATTTGATAAATATTGTAATATTATTATGTAGCAATTAATGTACCTCAGTTCAGTCTACATATTCAGATTAGAAAATAGCATCCCAAGAGTTTCCGAATTGTCAGATCGCACATGGCTTATCTATACATATAAATAAAATTGGAGTGTCTGTTTGTAATATTGAAATAACCGCTTTTTACTACATGCATGTACATTTTTTACAATTTTTGTCTGTATGTCTGTTTGTTCTGGCTAATCTCTGGAACGGCTGGACCGATTTTGACGAGACTTTCACTGATAGGTAGTGATGATATAAGGAGTAACTTAGGCTACTTTTTTTAGACTAGCTTCGCCCCACGGCGTCGTTCGCGGTACGACAATAACCGCGGATAACATCGCGACTCTCAGCCATCAATAATAAGATTTAATGTTTCCGAAGCGAAGCGAGGGCGGGTCGCTAGTTCAATATACAAAACAAAATCATTTCAAATGTACCCTATATAATAATTACAGAATCAAGCTCAGAATCAGAGTTTGTGTGCCTGATATGTTACGAGGAGGTTGAACCTTATCCCGGTGTGCAGACATTTTGGCCGCCCTGCTGTGCCAGGGATGCTTGGTTCCACCGAAGATGTTTACAGGTAAAGGTTTTTGAAGTGAAAACCTCTTTAGAATCGTTGTGATTTCAAACCGGATGCAACGGAAAAAACGACAGGTAAGAGACACAAATACAAAAATGTGTAGGATGAAGCCAGCAAAGAATGAGACAGAAATATACATACTATTTAATACAGCGCCATCTGTGAGATTTTTTAATACTAACGTGTGTATGAAAGCTCTTGTAGTGAATTTTAATTTAGGATTATACGTGAAATTAAAATATCAATTCACAGAGGGCGCTACCTTACAATTATTTACTAATGACAAAATTTTACATATACTTAAGACGTTTAGGATAATTGTATTTTAATTTTGGAAGGTTTCACTTCTACCACGTGTGAATTGCACACATGTATTTTTTTATTTTTTATTGCTTAGATGGGTGGACGAGCTCACAGCCCACCTAGTGTTAAGTGGTTACTGGAGCCCATAGACATCTAGAATGTAAATGCGCCACCCACCTTGAGATATAAGTTCTAAGGTCTCAGTATAGTTACAATGGCTGCCCCACCCTTCGAACCGAAACGCATTACTGTTTCACGGCGGAAATAGGCGGGGTGGTGGTACCTACCCATGCGGACTCCCAAGAAGTCCTACCACCAGTGATAAAAGGTAAAAGGTCTTGTTTACTTCTCATGTCTTCTTGATTACCACTTATCTGGAGAGATAAATGTATTACGGAGCACAATGATGAGTTCTTCTTGAAAAAGGGTTGAATGCAATAAGATTTAACAAAGTGGTAACAGCTGGTATTGCTTATGTCCACAATGGTGATACTAATTATATGACCCTTGTAAATGGACTCTGATAAAATTTCGACATCATAAATAAGGCTGATATTTGTTAGTTAAGTAGCCAGCGAAAAAAATACCACATCAATTATTTTTTTATATTCCACAAATAGACATCAGTCACAAATAAAAAAGTGAATGTGCATTAATTGGGAAGCACTAATTTTAAACTCGAGCCGATTCGTATTAGCGGCTTATGCGATTGGTACCACTGTGGAATTAGTTATAGCAGTCATTCGGCCTCAAATGAGGATTTTTTATGGGTAGTAGAGACTGACGTACATACTTATATACATTTAAATATATACTTATATATATAATAAACACCCACACAAGCAGCAAACAAACTTTTTCATCACACGAACGTTTGCCCGATATGGGAATCGAACCAAACCAAAACCAAAGACCCTCGGCACAACAGTCAGAGGCTCTAACTAATCCACCACCGAGTCAGTCGGGTCAGCTGATATTGTCAGAATTACAACTGACCGTGCGAGTGTCATGTATTGGGAGAATGTTGACTTTGAAGTCGTCATGGCCTAAAGTCTAAAGGATAAGTCGTCCGGTGCATTCGTGTGTAGCGATGCACCGGTGTTCGAATCCCGTAAGCGGGTACCAATTTCTCTAATGAGATACGTACTTGACAAATGTTTATGATTGACTTCCACGGTGAAGGAATAACATTGTGTAGTAAATATCAGATCCGCAAAATTATAATTTGCGTGATTACTGGCGGTAACCGCTTAACACCAAGTGGGCCGTGAGCTCGTCCACCCACCTAAGCAATAGAATCAACAGTGGTTGTAATTTTATATAGGAAGGAATCACTCCCTCATTCTGTACAAAATTAAAAATGAATTAGTTAATAAAATAATTAAAATTTCGAACCTCTTTCTTAAGATCATTGACATCTATAACTTTCTGATATCTCTTTTGGCGGGGGTAACCACTTAACACCAAGCGAGATCTGTAAAACTTACTTGATACTTGTTTTTTCAGCGAATGGCGCTCACTGCCGGCATGCATTATCTGAAATGCCCCTTGTGCAACGACAAGGAGCGCTTCCACGAGGCCGTCATATCGCAGGGATACTACATCCCCGACCAGGATGCCGCGTGGGAGCTCGAGCGGAACGCGTACGCGGAGATATACGAGAGGAATCTAAGATGTGACGCTGAAGTCTGCGAATGTCCTCAGGGCAGAGACCACGATAGCAACGAAGGGTGGGTTAAACAGTTTATGTACCGAATTACCATTTTATTGCTTAAGAACAAGGAATATGGCCCATTTAATGATAAGTTGTTACTGCTATTCATGGAAACCAGTAAGTGTTATTTCTTAAAAGAGAGATTTTCGTATCGGCAGCTTTGGTTATACCAATGTTCAGATCCCACTGACAGCTACACATTTTTGCAATGAGATGCGAATTTAACATATGCTCATGAATGACTTCTACAATGAATGATAATTAAAATCAAATCTGCAATAAAAATGTTTTCATGTTGTGTTTGTTCATTTGATGAATTTGGCCTCTACAAGGACACGATCTCTTTCCAGAAAAAGAGTGCTATTTACAAGGAATGATATTTTTCTAGATTAGATGTGGAAATATAGAATATAACAAATGTTCACGATTGACTTCCACGGTGAAGGAATAACATCGTGTAATAACAACCAAACCCGCAAAATTATAATTTGCGTAATCACTGGTGGTAGGACCTCTTAGGAGTCCGCGCGGGTAGGTACCACCACCCCGCCTATTTCCGCCGTGAAGCAGTGATGCGTTTCAGTTCGAAGGGCGGGGTAGCCGTTGTAACTATACTGAGACCTTAGAACTTATATCTCGAGGTGGGTTGCGCATTTACGTTGTAGATGTCTAAGAGTTCCAGTAATCACTTAACACCAGGTGGGCTGTGAGCTCGTCCATCCATCTAAGCAATAAATAAAAAAATATATAGATAAATAGGTAGTAGATATAGAAATAGATATTGTTAAAGTACTTTTAAAGTAATGGGAACCGTCTAAATCTATCTGAAATTGAGAGGTTCAAATGAGGTATTTCTTTTAGAAATTCTAAATATCGTTAGTGCGTTTTTATTAAATTCTTCCTGCCACGCACTGGACACAGCGTGGTGTAACTATTGTTACGCCGGTAAAAGTAACGCCACCTATCGCCGAATAGTCGAACGAATATCGAAGGATCTAGTAGCACCTAGAACGCCCGAGAAGTACAACGCCATCTATTGCCAGATAGCGGAAACACAATACTAGAAATGTGTGGAATATTCTCGATAACTCTAGGGATGTGGTATCGGCTATAAAAGCATTGCAGAGATGCCACGCGGTCAGTTAGTTAATCGGAACTACTCGAAGCGAAAGAGAGAACGAATCACTTAAAGCGAATTGAGAGTTTTAAAGTGTTTGTTGAGTGTTTTAAGTGTTGAATACAGTGTGATTTGTTTTATTTTGTCTATTTAGTGTTTCTTCAGGTTTAAATGTGTAATAACGGTGGTTTATTAACTGTTTGTATGTTGTGTGTTTTATTAACTGTATCTGTGAAAGTGCACAAATGTGGGAAAATGAAACAAAGCCGCTGAACGTAATTTCTCGGGATCCTCTAAAACAGTCCACTGAAAGAGTCTCAGTAAATGACCACCATTTTCCTGAGATTATATTTCATCCCATATCATCTCATTTCATTTCATTTTATTTCATTTCATTTCACTTCACTTCATATTATCATTTTTAGTTAAAATAAGAATATAAATTAAAATAAGACATGACTTAAAGGTCTTAGTTACCAGGTCATAAAATCCTTTAAACAAAAAAAAGAAGGGTGCGTGTACTTATGTACGCGCGTAAGAAGTTATACTTTATTTGTTATTAAATTTATTTCTTTTTTTTTAATATTAAATAATTAATAATAAATATTTAACGTTAATAATTTAATAATAATAACACTTTTTTTACGAGTGTACATACGCGAAAGTTCACCTGCGGCTATATTCAGACTCGCCAAGTTACGTCGGTCGTATTGTAATGAGCGATTTAGTGGGCAACTTCATTCTGTTCATTTTGTGTCACGGTGCGCGCGCATCGTAGAATTTCACTCTCATAAATTTTTCATAACGCGCCCAAAAAATTATAACTTCAATAAAACACTATATAGACAATGTTCTGTGCAGGGAGTGGGACCTGCAGCCGTGCCTGCTGTGCGGCTGGAGCGGGCGCCACGCGCGCTGCGGGCCCGCGCCCCCCGTGTGCGCGTCGTGCCGCCCCGCCGCGCCCGCCGACCTCACCCGCCTCACCGCGCAGCTGCGACACGGTACTGCTGCCTCTATGTATACTTACTGGTGGTAGGACCTCTTGTGAGTCCGCACGGGTAGGTACCACCGCGCCTATTTCTGCCGTGAAGCAGTAATGTGTTTCGGTTTGAAGGGTGGGGCAGCCGTTGTAACTATACTGAGACCTTAGAACTTATATCTCAAGGTGGGTGGCGCATTTACGTTGTAGATGTCTATGGGCTCCAGTAACCACTTAAAACCAGGTGGACTGTGAGCTCGTCCACCCATCTAAGCAATAAAAAAAAAACTTGAGACATGAATTCTAAGAACTCAGTTTTAACAGTACAACGGCTGCCCCTTCAAAATGAAACGCGTTACTGCTTCACGGCAGAAATAGGCTGAATGGTGGTACATACCCATGCAGATTCATAACACGTCCTACCGCCAGTCGAGAAAGTTAATTCAGAAATGGATCTAGAATGACACTTTTATAGCAACTTAATAATCAAATGACCAGAAGTAGCTTGTAAATAAAAGAACAAACTTATCCATCGGTCTCTTTCACTCTACACCCTTCCTCTATAAACACAGAGTTCAGTTTGAAAACTTTATTTAATATTTAAAAAAAAAAAAAGGCATTTTTCAGATTTGGTCTTTATAATTCTAAAGGTGCGATATAGTATGTGTGTGTGTACTGAAGTGAATCCCTATTCCAAATAAATTAATGTATAGTGTTTATATGAGGCCTATAAAATCAAAGGCAGCTAAATCCAAGTCTGTCAAATATCCAGATAAACTACAAAAATCGGCCCTAAACACTTCATCACGGATCCTCCCGATCCATCGAAGTACTGCTCTTGCTAGGGCCAGTGTTAGCAACACTCCCGGTTTGAGAAACTGAAATAACTTTGTTCGGATAGCTACCGATATTCTTTTATTTTAAAGCAGATTTACAAAGAATGAGAATATTACTAATAATCTGAGTTTTAAATGATAAAACTTTGTTTATTAGTACTTAATACAGAGTAAAAATGAAATTTTGGAACTGAATTTGTTAGAGATTTAGCTGCATTTGTTATAACATGAAAACACTAAAGCGTGTTCAACTAACTAAACAAGATAGGGCCATTGTTAATCCATTTTACGACATTAAGGCGTTTAGCTGCCTTTGATTTCATAGGCCTCATATGTACTGGCACATGCCCTATATTCTTTTTTTTTTTTTTTTATTGCCTTTGTAGGCAGACGGGCATACGGCCCACCTGATGGTGAGTGGTTACCGTCGCCCATGGACTTCAGCAATGCCAGGGGCAGAGCCAAGCCGCTGCCTACCGCTTAATACTCTCCATAAGCCTCGTTTGAAGAAGGACATGTCATAGCGCTCGGGAAACACCATGGAGGGGAGCTCATTCCATAGCCGGATGGTACGTGGCAAAAAAGATCTCTGGAAACGCACTGTGGATGACCGCAGTGGCTCCAGGTAGTATGGATGAACTCTAATCCGGTGGCGGGCGGTGCGATGATAAAAACGAGATGCTGGTATCATCTCGAACAATTCCTCAGAGCACTCCCCATGGAACATACGGTACAAAATACAGAGGGAACCGAAGTCCCTCCGCAGACCCAGAGG